AGGATGCCGAATGTGACCTGTGAAATGATCTGGATGGACAGACAGCGGAACAGCTACAGAGTATGAGATATCACTGGCTTGACCTCAAGGCCAGGGAGACGGATAAGAGAGAGAGGCTATAGCTCTATAAGGAAGGTCGACGGAATGGACAGGCATCGTGTGCAAGCCAAGGACCAAGACTCACCGAGCGCAGCGGAGGTGTCGGTCAAGATTCTGCCCTCAAAGATGGGAAGCACTCAAATTTGCATCGGCTCATCGTTTTCATGTCCGACATCTTCGTCGACCCCTCCGTTTTGGTCGCAAACGGTGTAATGTTTGTCCACTCTACTATCTTCAGAAGGGTCGGGTAAGGCCACATGGGCCGATCTGGCTTTGTGCGTCGTGGGTGGCGGGCTCAGAAGCGAAACGTGACACGCTGGCTTCGAAAGAAGGACCGTGTCTCTCATCAGCCCTCTCTGAAAAGCAGACCTCGATACCGGTGTTTCGCCGACGTGCAGGTAAGAAGGGGAGCTTCGGTCATCACCCGGAAAGCATCAGCGAGACAGTAACCCCCCCCTCACGGCCACCTCTGTGGGAACGATTGCAGTAGCGCATTGCGAGGTTGAGTGGTGATGAGAACCCATCAATCTTGATTGGGACAAATGTGACCAAGTGTTTCTGATCCAACCATGAATGGGAAGGGTCCTCGTTGAGAGGAAAGCGCTCTGCAGCATGTACCCAGTTGTGGGAACATCAAATCTCGGCGGTGCAGGCTTTGAGGGAGAGGGCCTCGACTGACTACTGCAGATAGCTGCGAATTTGCAGCCGCAGTTGCACGGAATGTCCTTGCAGTCCTGGTGCTCGTCCGCGGACGTGCGAGATAAGCGGTAGATTCCCTACCGTCTGATTACCGCGTTGAGTCACTTCACATCAAGTTGAACGTTCTTCTTGAGTCAACATGTTGCTGATGTTGAGCCAGGCAACGGCGCCCATCAAGAAGAGCGAACCTACGGATGAGTGTAGGCATGCTTCGTCGAATCTTGCGGGTGTACGGATACTCATTGTAAGAGGTGTGTGCAAGTGGGATGGGGGTCGAACGCTCAGCCAGCCACGAGAAAGTCTGGCAGGGCGGGGACAGGGCAAACTCGGGCGTATGACAAGCCAGGGACGTACCTTACCAGCAAGGTATGCGGAGTCCACAGGGAAAAAAAAAAAAAGAAAAAAGAAAAAGACAGTCGTACGGACCGATACAGAGTGAGGCTTCTTTTTGTTCTTTCTCCGCCTCCCCATTACTTCTGGAAGACACGAAGAAGGAATGGATCATGGATCATCGGCGATATTGCGACATGTGGGTAATAATCTGCGATCAAGGCAAGAACAGGCACAGGGCCACAGGCCTTGTTTGCCATGATTGCTGCGTGCTGAGAGGAGTGGGCAACATGTGGATTCCTTGCGTGGCAGCTGGACCCAGTTCGCACGAGGAGACGATCGGCAGTGCGAGTCGCGAACTTCTCAAGGACGGGACCCTTTTGGACAGGGAGATACGAAGTAATTAGATCACAGATGTGTAGGTATCTTCATACACTTTGGTAAAACATACCGAGGGCGAGAGTGATGAACAGAATGGATGGCTGATAGGGAGGCGCGCACAGGGCAACTGCACGTAGAGAGTGTCATGGCGGGCAATCTATGTAGGTACGGTTGCAGGGTTGAAGCGAAAGCCGAACGCAAGGTATCCGTAGTTGTGGCGGACAGAACTCAACGCATGCAGCGTGAGTGATGACGGCGACTTGAGACGAGGGCGTCCACCTTGAGGGCATAACCTACAGGTAAACTAAGAGGTTGATAGTCAACTGTCGCAAGAGAGTGCGACAGGCGACCAAAGACCAAAGAGCGGTGCAAGCCGGCCGGCCTAGAAAGCGATTGTTGGAAATCGTGGTTGGATGCGCGCGGCACGCAGCAGGCAGTTTGAGTTCTCACTTTGCAGCCTGGGAAACGACAGAATGCCACGGCATGTGCGTGGAGCACTGCAAGCCCAAGTTACCGACCTGGTGGGCTGAAGTGTGGTATGCGTAAGGTATCCGTAGTATGGAGTTGAATCCTGCATCCGCTTCTCAGGGCCATAGGTTGCGTATTCTGTTCAGGTTGATTGGGGGACGCATCGGAAGAGCCCCAAGATGAAAGATTGAAGACGGTTCTTTGGGGCCTTTGGCACAGTGGCAGACTCAAACAGGGTCCAACCAGGGGGCGTTGGAAGTTGAAGGTCGGATGTCGTGGAAAAATCGCATGCAGCATCCGTGACTACTGTGTACTCCGTAGGGTATCTAAAAGATAGACAGCGCTTACGGATAGCCGACGTGCATCTGGAGACTGACGGCTGGAGACCTGAGTTCTGGACCAGATGTTTCGGTTCCCCTCTGAGAAATTTCATCTGCGTGCTTGCGTTGCGTGCTTTGAAGTTTGACAGTGACACCCGCACGGCGACCGACCGCACGGCGGAGGAAGAAGGACGTCTCAATGCTTGCTCATTCCCGTACATTCCCAGTAGTCGGGCTGCGTGTGTGTGTGTGTGTGTGTGTGTGTGTGTGTGTGCGAGTACCTGAGCCATCCCACCCGCCTGGTTGCTGAGTTGAAGGTTGAGGTTTGATGATTGAAACATGTATCTTTCCTCCCGTCTACCGCGGTTGGTATACAAGCTAAGGTGAGAATGGAAGCCACGAACCGACTGCGACTGCGACAGCGAGACTTTTGGGTTCGTCACCTTGGGAACCTTCCGATGCCCGACCTTAGTCACCGAGGGAGGTGGCTTGACTGTGCACCTGCCTGAAGTGCGTCGACTCCCGTCGTCGAAATGGAAGGAACCAGTTGCTAGGTGTTGAGGTCTCGAGGAACGCGTCTCAGAACGGCAGGCACGCCTCGCAGCTCGCAGGCGCAGGCGCAATCGAAATGGAAGCAGCCACCAAGGCGTCATCCAGCAGATGGTTGCGCCAGTCAGAGATGGCGGCGGGCGGGAAGGTGGGTGCCGGTGTGCCACGGCGCAGACGCCCAGGTGCTTCTTTCCACCACCCCTTCTTGCCCACCCAGGTCGGGTGCTTCTTACCTCCACTGGCTTTGGGGCCCTTGGGGAGGAATGGGAGAGGTACTTGGGTACCTCGACCTGGATAGATCCAATGTCATGCCTGAGGCACATATACAAGCAGAGAGGTGGTTGACGGGATTGGTCAAGGTACCGGGGTACGGATGCACTACCTTCCACGAACACTGGATCCCCCCTACACCCTTGCCCTTGCGGCCTGCCTTTGACGTGCTTCTCCCCTGCAAACCCTGTTCCCAGTGGTTCCAGTCGCCATCCCCGGTGCGCCCCTCGACTGCATGGCAAAGTGGCTCCGAAGAAGGCTTCGTGGGCTTCCACACTTTCGATCGATGTTCGAGAAGGCGGCCAGAAGACTGGATGCAGGGCCCTGTCCCTTTCCCCCGCTGCTGGCCCCCCTTGCTTGCGAGCTGCTGCCCTGCTGCCCCCCTCACACACACACACGAGATAAGCACCACCAGCCCGAAAACTGCAGCGGCCGATCACTGATGCATTGCCTCACACTACAGTCTCACTACTAACTCCCACGACCAATCCCTTCGCCCATCCATATTACCACATATCCCTCCATCAATTAATCAAGTGAGTCCATCACCAGTCGTTTCACCAATGTCGAAAGGCTGACGCGCTCACAGCTTCTGGAGCAAGCGCAGGGCGCGATTTTGACAGCCACCGGCACCCACAGGAACGGATGCGCAGGATGGTCAGCCACTGCGGGACAAGGTACCCTTTTGCAGGCATCTTTCCCTCCCCCCCTCCGTCATCGTCCCATGCCTGCCAGGGGCTTGGGCTTGTCTAAATCCAGATCTGACATTCTGAGTCCGACAAAGTCTTCCTTCCGCCTTGCCTCGCACCCCAGGCCCTGACAAGAGCCTACCTGCGCTGCTACAGCCTACGAATACCTACCACTAGCATTTGATTTTCTACCAGCCAGCTGCCCAGCAAGCCATTCAGCACGAGCGCCAGCCGTCCGTCACCTTTGCTCTGGGCGTCTCAGTACGGATGCCTATCAGATAACTCGATCGAGAATCTGTCTCCAATTGTCCGCTTTGTCGGCCTGCTTCCCGTGCTTGCTTTCTGTCGACTTTTTGTCCGAGTCGAGTTGCGTTGATGTCGAGTACCTGCGCAAGACCAGTGTATGCTCGGCACAGCTATATTCTGCAGAATACAGTCAACAAGAACAAGGGTCGGGTCTGAAGCTGCCCGTCTTGGCATGCTGTTGTTTGTCACGAATCTTGGGTCGGAGGGAATGCTTCTGTTGCATCTGCGCCAGATTCCCAAGCGAGAAGAAAAGAGAAAGGCAGACACAACCGTCACCAGAGAGACTCCCAAAGAAACGCCCCTTTCTTCACTCAAATGTAAGGTGGTAGGGTAGGTACCGGTACCGGTAATTTGAAGCATGTCGCTTGGAAGCCCAGCCATGCCCTGGCTCATATGGCGTTGCAGTCACATTCAACCCTCCTGTCTCGAGGCCTCAGTGAACCGTGAACCTAGGCTCTTTACATATCTTCGTACTCACGAAACTGGAATCGGAGTCGGAAGAGAAAAAAACAGCACGAAATTGTGGAATATTTGGGCCAAGCTGGGCTGAACTATTTCGGCTGGAGTTGTTTCTGTCTCTACCTGTCCTTATTCGGCGTTACTGGGTCGGTTCGTGGGGTTTCGACTGAACATCTTTCTTTCTTTTTCCATTCTTTCTGTATGTATTATGGGCGAGAAAGCAAGCAGAAGCCATGTACTGCCCACCTTACCATGTCTGGATTGTCGTCTGCATTCCCGGTAGATTCTTTTTTGGTTCTGGTCTCTGCTTCCATCCATTCCTCCCAAGTTCGCGGCGCCAGTCAATCCTTGGCTTTGGAAGACAGGCGCAACCCACAGCAGACGAGACCACGCCAGACCCCATTCGAAGTGACCTCGCTCCCTGAGTTTACGGATATAGTGTAAAGTAGGTATTCGTACCTGGTGGGAAGGAAAACCGACGCCTTCCATGGCTTCCATTCCTTCCCTTCAGGCTTCAGGTATACGGTGCAACTCCAAACACAACCCATAGGTTAAGGCCACACATGTTAACACCACACACCTCACACAGATTTACACCTCTCACACACCTCCAAGTCACAACTGCCTGCCATTGGATTACCACATTACTTACCACTACCACCACCATCTACTTCTTCTTCTTTCTGCTCCTCTGTCAATCCCATCCGCATTCGCAATTTACTCTCCTGTCTCTCGCCTCTTTTCTTTTGGCCAATCCCTTTGCTTCTGTAATATTGTTACTGACACCGGACCGGGGCGCTTCATGCTTTGCTATTCCTCGTTCCTACTGCATACGCCTGGTAGATGGAGTGACACGGTGCTAGACTGCCGGCAAAGAGAAGAGGACGAAGAAAAAAAACCCCATTCTCCAGAGTCTAGACTAGAGAAATAAAAAAAGGCGCCAACACCATAAACACTCTTAGTGCCGAGGACTCAGTCGCCTCCCCCACCTCACTTACTCATTCGCTCAAACTCTACGTCGCCACTTCAGGGCACAAGAAGAAAAGACTCTGTGGGAAGTGGATGTTACCATGCTAGCCCGGTGTCAAGTTACACTCCTCTAGCTTTTCCACAGTTTGGAGAGCTTCGAGTTCTGTTTCTTGTTCTGTCCCGCGATGCTTTGTTGGGCAAAGTATGTAGGCACATATGTACTTGCACTCGCGTTCTGTCACCAAAACCTGGGTAGGTAGGCTGACGGGAGGGGAGCCATGGCCCATTGGGAGGAAACACCTACTTAGGTACAGCAGATACTCTGTAATTGGTACAAAGACCTACCTTACCTCCTCATGCCCGGTAAACCTCCATGGTCTCTGAGCTGCGTTGCTGCGCTGAGGAATGGCAGTCGGGGCTCCCAGTGGTGAACGTGAGGTGAGGTGGAAAGGTAAAGGCAAACCTGAAGGTAGTGTGTGTACTCGCTACCTTGCCCTACTTTACCTGATCTGCCTGATCTTAGCACTTGCTCGCTCGCTCGCCTGCCTTCCTTTTCCCGTCTGTTTTATTCGCAAGCAGCATTTGGAGCCCATTTGGGGGTGCGCTCTACCTTACCCAGGTAGGTAGGTACCGTCGTCACCTGTGCACCTACCGCGTACGGTACGGTACGCCTGTGGTGTTTTCTGCCCACCTACCCACCCAACCCACACACCCTCCACACCTCACATGCACACCACACATTCCCAGTGCCTGCTCCTGCTGCTTGTTGCTGCTGCTAGGTACTTACTGAGTATGGTAGGTACCTTACCTCTCTTGCCCGGGACTGCTTGCTGCACCTGCACCGCACCCGTACCCGCACCCGCAACACTGCAACTGCAACCACCACTCAGCGCTGAGCCTGGACTGCCTAGGTGTCTCTCTCTCCCGTTGTCTCTCCTCCCGTCCCCGTCTCTACCTTACGCAGTAGGTACCTGGCTCTCCCACTCACCCTCGCCCTCTTTCGCACCTGGCACGCCGCCGCCCATCCACCCACCCCCCCTTGCGTTGCTTAACAATTTCGTACTCGACCCGGTCCATTGTACTTTCGTACTCCTCCTCCCAGTCCCAGTCTCCCAAGTCCCAGTCCAAGGACCCAAACTCCAATCCTCCCCGTCCCAGCTGGCCGCCCAGTCGCCCTCTTTCCTTTCTTCCCACTTCACGCCCGTTCGTCCCAGCCCTTGCTGTACGTAGCCTACCCTTCATGATATCACGTCCATTTGTCGTCGCTTCCCTCTTGTGCTCCGCTTCTCTGTCGCCCAATTTTGCAATTCTTTCTTCCTCTCATCTTCTTCCTATGCCAGACTGACCCAAAGACCTCGCTCGCTATCAACAGCGCCAGCGTACCGAAGCCTCCACCCTTCGCCTCGAGTACATGCGAACTTTCCGCGCGACAGTACCCGCAACTGACTGCGAAACGACAAATCCCCCCCCTCTCCCGATCGCCCCTACTCACACAAAAACCCAAAAGGATCCGTACACGCCTCGACACTACGAGCAAACATCACGTCCATGATCTCGGCCAATCCGATTTCGTGCGACTACCATCGATGCCAATTCTGGTGACCGTCGGAACCACCGCGCTACCGCTGCTTCGTCGCCCGCACTTGGTGAAATACCATTCATGAGACTCCTGGTCCAATTCCCGACCACCACTTGCCTTCCAATCTCGACGACTTTATCACGAAGCCTGCTTCATTGAATCCTTCGTCGCGCATTGCGCATCCACTAGGACGCTAAAGGCGTTGCGTGCTGCTTTTCGACAGGACTGGGTCGCCGTCCTCGACTTGTCCCGCTGCAAAAGCTCAACAATCGCAACTTTGGTCAATCGCATCGTTACGCTCGTAATTCCTCTTTGCCCTAGTGGCCAGAGCGCTCCGGTCGCGAGACTGGTTGCTCCCTAAAGCCATGATGGACAATGCCACTTGCCATGTCGTCTACGTGAACCGTCAGGTTCGCCAGGACAGGCTTATCCGACCTAATGCGCACAATGATCAGCCATTAGACGCTACCGAACCCGTCGTGCGGGAGAATGACGATATTCAGAAAGATGCAGACTTGCTAGTGGACACCTTTGGGGAAGGTAGGCTCGGGCTGAATACCATACACTCGTGGCATCGTGTACTAACCACTTGTTCAGTTTATCTTTGTTCCACAGGATCGGCCTGCATATCTACGCTATTCCAGCTGTCCGACGAGTCCATGATGGACCTCACGCCAACTTTGGTTCTCATTGATGTGCCCCACGACGAACGGCTACCCAGAATCCGGTCCCGGTCTAGATCACCATCGCCGCACTCTCGCCCGACTACTGCCGATATCAACATCCACACTCCTGAGGAGGATGTGTACGGTCTCAAATTGCTACAAAGGATCATGACCGAGTCGCACCTCCGTAGTTTATCAAAGCTGATTGTGCCGATACCTATCGTTAGCTTTTCGTCTCTTGAGGATGGCAACGCAACATTTCCGGCTAGCGACGATGCGAAACCCAAGTCCTCGTCATCAGTTGATCGACGCCTAATCATTCGATGCCTGGATCTAGGAGCCGTGGATGTCATCATCAGTCCTCTACACCTCAAGTGCATCACGAGTCTAGAAATCCATGCTTATCGGGCACATAAGGATGCGGCCCGAGAACAGCAGGAAATGCTTGAAGTACGCCGCGGCAGAAAACGGTCATGGGTCGGGATTAATGAGGAGAAACCGTTTTCCTATCTCAGGGAAGCCATGGTATCCGGACTCATGAGGGGCATTTGCCGGTCAGGAGCGGACTCTGACGATGATCGGATCTCGAATGTCAGCATTGCCGTCTCCACCGATCGCCAAGCTGCTGTCGCTGCCGCCGTCGGTCAGTGGCACTTTTGCGCGCACAGTTTCACAGATGACGAGCTTCTTGTTGCGGCCATGGTGATGTTCAAGCATGCTTTGACAATGCCCGAGTTGGATCGCTGGCGGATACCGACAGGTGAGTACATTGCGCCTACATCAGCCATATGCGGACAGCTACTGACGATCCGAGTAGACCAGCTCATAAGCTTCCTGGTCGCTTGCCGGGCTGCATACAATAATTTTGTCCCTTATCACAACTTCCGCCATGTTGTCGATGTCCTGCAGGCTACTTTCCACTTCCTGGTTCGTATTGGTATTCTCGCGCCATATCCCGCCGATCCCTTGTCGGATCAAGATCCCCCGCAGAGCTCCCCAATGGCGAAGCTGCTTCATCCGTTCGACGGCTTGACGCTGTTGATCACGGCGATTGGACATGATGTCGGCCACCCTGGTGTCAATAACGGATTTTTGGTCACTCTCAATGCCCCACTGGCACAGTTGTACAATGACCGATCAGTACTCGAGTCGTTCCATTGCGCTGCCTACTCACAGATCCTTCGAAGGTATTGGCCAAGCGCTTTCGAAGATTCCAAGATGAGGCACCTCATGATCAGCTCCATCCTCGCCACGGACATGGGCCTGCACTTTGATTACATGAAAAGGCTCGGTGATACTCAGGACAAACTAGATGTTGACAACACAACGGATGGTTGGAATGGTCGCATGCAGGAGGAACAAAAGGCTCTCGTATGCTCACTGCTCATCAAATGTGCAGACATCAGCAATGTGGTCAGTGATCAACAGTTTCTCATGTTCAAAGTTTGGCAACTAACTCAACGGCTTGCAGGCAAGGAAGCACGAAACCGCACTGAAGTGGATGTACATTCTCTCGGATGAGTTCTCTCGACAGGCTTCCATGGAGAGCGAACTGGAAATTACGTCGTCTCTTCTGTCGCCCCCGAAGAAGGACCTGATCTCACTGTCTAAGGCCCAGCTGAGCTTCATGAATCTATTCGCCATCCCTCTCTTCCAGGGAGTGGCGGACATATTGCCAGCGATGAAATACACTGTTGACGAGCTCGAAATCAATAAAGGTCTTTTCGAGCAACGGATTCGGGAAGAGCAGGCGAAGGAGGATCCCATCCGCAAGAGACTTATGCGCAACGATGGCGCCTTCTCCCCACGAACTATGAGTTTGGCTGGCGGGCCCGAAGGAAGCAGAGACTCCATGACCCCGCGGGTAACGACGCCTCTGGCCGAGCTTACCATGCCGCCTCCGCTGCTTGACGACTCGAAGCAAGAAGATGGCGGGCTTTCCCCCGAGCCAGCGGGCTCGGAGCACACAACAGCGCTAGTCACAGACATGCCGGAGCCGGAAGACCCCAAGGAGGTGAATGGCATCGTCACGTCATTTGATTCGGTGGCCGACTTCGCAGCAAGCGATCCCTTCCACTGCAGGGACAGGGCTAGTAGCTCGCCAGACAATCATCACGGTCACAACGGCAAACAGCGGTGCAGCGAAACGACGGACGGCAGCACTACGGGCCCGTACACCGGGGACTGGGCTTCGCAGGCTACAAGCGCCACCACCGGCAAGATGCCTCTATCGCCAAGCACTCAAGGCACTAGCATTGTCAGCAGAGAGTCGACGGAGCAGCTTCCGGGTGTGCCCACGATTTCGGAGCCCAAACCGTTCGCCGAAGCCAAGCCTGAGTCTGCGTTCCTGGACCACGATGCCAACGGCTCTCACTTGTCAAACGGGTCTTTGGGCAAGACAGAAGGCGGCAAGGTGGTGAAGAAGAAATCTAGTAGATTCCGCATGAACGCCTTCCAGTTCTTCCGGCGCAACAGAGCGTCGAGCCCGTCCATGTCGGCGGCCGACACAGCTACCTAACGAATCATAGGAGGTTCGAGCGAGCCGAGCCGATTCTGGCAGCTACATTCAGATGGCGCGGCACTGGCACAGGAAAAGCCACAACTGTGGTGACTCACGCAGATGTCCCAGCGATCGATATACCCGAGTCACCACAGAGTTGTTAATCTAATCGCGATCCGAGATGACGGGCGCAGCGCCACAGTCGAACAAAAGAGTTGTAAAGCACAGTATACGGAACTCGCTATTTATGTACAGTATTGGGGATGGAGTTAATGCGTATTGGGTGTTTGAGTGCTTCGCCTACATTGGCGACGATAACGAGGGGGACACGGCCGCGCAAGTCATGAGCTGGATGGCAAGGCCTACGACATTGTTCTTCCGGGCCTCGACCGCCTGCTCAAAAGCAGGCCGGGTGGGAGGCGGCGTTCTGGGCAAGTCGGCAGGTTGTGACGATTTCAGCTTTGGGCCAGACAAGGGACGGTCTGATATTGGGCAACAATGGCGGCATTGCCATATTTTGGTCTGGCTAGTGGGTGTGCTATCGGACCATGGGATTGAGGGAGTAGGAATGTGACGGCATGCGGCTAGAAATGGCCGACAGCCCATAGTAGATGATAGCAAATCCTAACAAGTTCACTACGATGATGGATCGACTTGACGGAGTATTGATGTGCACCGAGATATGTTCGCCGCGACCGCTAGGTGTTGTTCGTATCGAGGAAATAGACTGGTGAACATAACAGATCAACGCCTCACTCTTATGGCAAGGCAGGTCTGCGTTGAATAGCCTTTGAGTTGATCGGGCGGAGCGACATGGCCTTGGTGGATGGATGGGTGGGTATCCATCCGGACGGCCGAAGAGGTTCTCGCCCACGTCTTGGGAAGGACCCACCCACATGAAGTCATGTCTCGGCCGCGACGAACTGTGGTTTTCTGGACTGGCACAGCCTGAAGCATCTGAGAGTAGATGGGCACAGTATCCGTAAATAACACAAAAGACATTGGACAAACGAAATGCCAGCTGCATCTCGCTGGCATTTGGTGGGGGCTCTTGACTGGAGCTGCGCCGGCGTCATTGAGAATAGGTAGCTCCAACGCAGCATGAGGTATCACAGAAAAGCAACTGAGGCTTGGGTAACGGCAGCTCGGCGAGGCAATTCTTCTATTTGGTACGGAGTAAGTCAATTATGAATACGGCCATCTTCCTCCCTCAAGCTCCTCGGTATACCGAAAGTACGAAGATAAATTTTGTTGCTGGGGCATCCAGCCTGGCACGTCTGGGTTGTTTGCGTTTGGAGCGTTCAATGTCGGGTTCGCCTGGAGGTGAGATCCCTCCCCCGTTTGGTTTGGGACAAGTCTGGCGAATGAGAAAGCGGTATCGGCTTATCAGCAAGGAATAATTATGGATACGCCGCAGCAAAAGGTCCCAGGGCCAGGCACGGCGCGCGGCACAGGTTCCTGGTCGTGGGATTGTGAGGTGGTGCCTGAGGTGGTTTGTCGGGCGGTACGGCGGTACCTGACATGACGCAGACGAAGCAGGGCGGGCGAGAGCGAGTGACCGGTGGAGGAACGTACCGCCTTATCAGATGGCCGCGTGGAGATGGGCGAGAGTCTGTTAGCAGCAGATCTGCAACAGGCAGGTTCCCATCTTTAGCGTCCGAGGCGCGGGGATCAGGTGGACAGTGTTTCTCGACTATCGTTTGGCCAACCCTTGGGGAGCTCACGAGCCAGTCGTTTCTCTGCATTGCGAGCTGGAGCTCCCCACAGCAACCTCTGTGCATTGAGGGTGGTCCACGGGTTTGTGTTGAGCTGTTGCTCGAGTTGTGTCGTTGCCATCCATTTGCTGCTGCGAGCCTGCGACAGCGGTAGCGCGACCCAGCTCGGCCAACGCACCCCAGCCCCGATGGATGGCAGCAGCAGTGACAAGCTGTGCACCTCTCCGCTGCCCTCTGAGTCTCTCTCCCCACCCCCAAGCACCCAGAGTATGCAGAGCACCCAGCCAACCCGCCCGCCTCCGTCATGTTTCATTTATTACGTCCGCGAGCTTCCTGCCTGCCGCCTGTAATACTTCCTCCGAGCTCCCTCTTCCTCCCAAACTCATCCAACCTTCCATCACCACCCTCTTCTTCCTCCGCCATCTTTACTTTCTCCCCCTCCCCATAATCATCTCTTTTCATCTTATCTGTATTCGATTTCATTATCAGAGCTCATCAATCGAGCTGTTTTCGCCCATCATGAGGTTCTCAACCTCCGCCCTCGTCCTCGGCGCGGCCTCCACCGCCCTTGCCTTGGACCAGCAAGTCCTCGGCGGCCAGGATAGCCCCTTTGACTCCATCAAGACCACCGGCGAGAACTGGCTCTCTGCCTTTGAGGACAAGTTTGGCAAGATGACCTCTGAGGCCAAGGCCGTCTGGGACGAGATCACCCTCCTCGCCCCCGAGGCCGTTGAGTCCTTCAAGAAGACTACCCAGGCCACCAAGCCCAAGCCTCACCACCGCAAGTCCGACAAGAAGTGGGATCACGTCGTCAAGGGCGCCGATGTCCAGAGCATGTGGGTTGAGAAGGATGGTCAGCAGCACCGCAAGATCGCCGGTGACCTCAAGAACTTCAACCTTCGCGCCAAGAACGTCGACCCCGCCGCTCTCGGCGTCGACAAGGTCAAGCAGTACAGCGGCTACCTCGATGATGAGGAGAACGACAAGCATCTCTTCTACTGTAAGCTATCCCACCCGACATATTCCATTCTTTCTGTCCATCTGAAGCCGTTTCTAACCTTATCGCAGGGTTCTTCGAGTCCCGCAACGACCCCAAGAACGACCCCGTCGTCCTTTGGCTCAACGGTGGCCCTGGCTGCTCTTCTTTGACCGGTCTCTTCATGGAGCTCGGCCCTGCTTCCATCGACAAGAAGCTCAAGATTGTCAACAACGAGTGGTCGTGGAACAACAACGCCTCCGTCATCTTCCTTGACCAGCCCGTCAACGTCGGCTATTCCTACTCTGGTTCCTCCGTCTCCAACACGGTCGCTGCCGGCAAGGACGTCTACGCTCTTCTCTCCCTCTTCTTCCACCAGTTCCCCGAGTACTCCAAGCAGGACTTCCACATTGCTGGCGAGTCGTACGCCGGCCACTACATCCCCGTCTTCGCCTCTGAAATTCTTTCCCACGAGGATCGCAACATTAACCTGAAGAGTGTCTTGATCGGCAACGGTCTCACTGACGGCTGGACCCAGTACGGGTACTACCGCCCCATGGCTTGCGGCGAGGGTGGCTACAAGGCTGTTCTCGATGAGGGCGAGTGCCAGGCCATGGACAATGCTCTCCCCCGTTGCCAGAGCTTGATCAAGAACTGCTACGACTCTGGCAGCGTCTGGTCTTGTGTCCCCGCTAGCATCTACTGCAACAACGCCCTCATCGGCCCCTACCAGCGCACCGGCCAGAACGTCTACGACATCCGTGGCAAGTGCGAGGACAGCAGCAACCTCTGCTACTCTGCCCTTGGCTGGATCAGCGAGTACCTCAACCAGGACGAGGTCAAGGAGGCTCTCGGTGCCGAGGTCGACAGCTACGACAGCTGCAACTTTGACATCAACCGCAACTTCCTCTTCGCCGGTGACTGGTTCCAGCCCTTCCACCGCATCGTTCCCAGCCTTCTCGAGAAGATCCCCGTTCTTATCTACGCTGGCGATGCTGACTACATTTGCAACTGGCTCGGCAACCGTGCCTGGACCGAGGCTCTTGAGTGGCCTGGCCAGAAGGGTTTCAACAAGGCCGAGGTCAAGGGTCTTACCGTTGGCAAGGGTGAGGAGTACGGAAAGGTCAAGTCCAGCGGCAACTTCACCTTCATGCAGTTGTACGGCGCCGGACACATGGTCCCCATGGACCAGCCCGAGGCCTCGTCCGACTTCTTCAACCGCTGGCTTGGCGGTGAGTGGGCTGCGTAAATGCACTCACAGTAATGAGCAATGTACGAAACGAAGATTGAATAGCGTGTGGAATGCTGTTGTAACAGTGAACGCTCGAATTGGTTCGTAGTACAAGACTGGGCATATTGGAGTTTGTCAATACGGGAGGACCCAGTCGTCCGGTTTACCGATAGCGCCATTTTAAGCCCGGCGCAGTAGAATCTAGTTATGCTATTAGAATATGACTTTTTTTTCCCGCAAAACTTTGAGGTGTTCTGTTCCGATAGTGCTGTGCTATATGCATGTGTCGATCTGGACCGACCCTGCTGCTGTGCCGCTGTAACGGAGATGAGTCGTAATGACAGTATTAGTCACCGGCGCATTCTGAGGTGCCTTAGCTGCAGAATTCCTGGCTTGGTATCCGCTAAAACAACGTCAGACCAGCAACACCTGCCGTAAACATATTTCACCACCTGCTGCCCCTCATCGCAGCTGCACCACACCAGTACTTTACCCCGCCAAAACTTTTCTGGTCGACTGCTTTTCACGTCACCGAACAACGACGAACCCAAACAACTCTCTCGTCGTCGCCGTAAACAACCACACACTGCCTGTCTCGCGAAGGACCATTCTACAAACGATTCTACACACCTCACACAATCATCGAAAACCAACAACCCCGCCACAACCGCCACAATGTCGCGGATGATCAACCAACCCTCGAACCAGATCAAGCTGACCAACGTGTCCATGGTCCGCCTGAAGAAGGGCAAGAAGCGCTTCGAGATTGCGTGCTACAAGAATAAAGTCATGGAGTGGCGGTCCGGGATCGAGACGGACCTCGACAACGTGCTGCAGATCCCCAACGTGTTTCTCAATGTCTCCAAGGGCCAGACGGCGCCCAAGGAGGATTTGGAAAAGGCGTTTGGCAAGGGGAAGAGCACGGACGATATCGTGTTGGAGATTTTGAAAAAGGGGGAGATGCAGGTTGGCGGCAAGGAGAGGGCGGAGCAGACGGAACGGGTGCATAATGAGGTGATTGGGATCGTGGCGAGTCGGCTCGTGGACCCGAGGACGAAGAGGGTGTATACGACGGGTATGATTGAGAAGGCGCTTGATATGCTGAGCTCTGCGGCGCACGGCGGGGACGGAGACGACGGGCCTGGTGGGAAGAAGACTGCTGGCGGAGGAGGATCGAAGACGGCGAGCGGCGCGGGGACGCCGGCGGGCGGGGAGGAGGGCGAGGCGAAGCCCCGCGAGAAGGGGTTCCACTGGACGGGCGTGACGACGACCAAGTCGGCCAAGTCACAGGCGCTGGAGGCGATGAAGGCGCTGATTGCGGCGCAGCCTATCCCTGTGCAGAGGGCGCGGATGAGGTTGCGGGTGACGTGCGCGACGAGCGTGCTGAAGCAGGCTGTCAAGGAGAAGCCTGCTGCCGCCGGCGGTGGCAACAAGAAGGCAGGAGGTGACGACGATGGGGACGAACCGAAGCAGAAGCCTGGCACTGTCAAGGATCGGATTTTGGGGTTCGTGGAGCAGGTGGAGAGCCAGGACGTGCTGGGCAGCGAGTGGGAGGTTGTCGGGTTCGTGGAGCCTGGCGCGTTCAAGGGTTTGGGGGATTTCATTGCGGGTGAGACGAAGGGGATGGGAAGGGTTGAGGTTTTGGATATGGCTGTTATTCATGAGGATTAAAAAAAGTCAGGCCTGGGTGAGACGGTGGTGGTGGCGAGGGTGGGCTTATGCTGTTTCTCTTGTCGATATACCCCCTTTTTAGACGAAGGGTTTTCTTTCGTAGATTTCGTGATGAAATTAGATTTCACGACATGATCAGCCCTCCGGCCGATGTGAGCGTTCCTGAGGAAAGTGAGGTTGGTGTTTACGAGCTGTTATATGAAGCTGGGCCAACGACGAAAACGATACGTGTGATCATGGGACAAATATGGTTTGGTGACTAGTTGAGTTTGTCCTTTTGACGCAATATATTCACGAATATCATAATCAAATGGAGTCCCCAACCGATTTTGGAGAGAGAGAAACTGCACATTTATACCGTTAAGCCACCATCGACAACGGGCGTTGCTTCCTCGAAGGAGTAGTTGCGCCCCTGGTCCCTATGAGGGTTTCGATTTCACCCCTCTCTCTCTCACACACACACACCAGCCTGCTCCCCCTTCCTCTTTCCCCTTTGGCACTTCATTGTTTGGAGTCAAGTCTGTTGTTGATGAATCTCGACTGACTTTACTGTGCTGGATGAGACCAACCCTTTGCCTTCCTTGCAAGGCCCGATGATGATTTTGTAATAAGTTTCAACAAGAAGCTCTTGAGCAGCACATCGTGCTTACGGACATGCTCGAGCATGCTGATATGTCATCTTGAATCGTAGGTTGAACCCGGACCGGATCGGCTGGGGTTCGGGCTTCCCGTGTGGAGTTGAGTCTCCTTGGTTCTGCCTCCACACGGATCAGGAAGCGGGATCCGCTTCGCTTGGAAGTCGCACAGATTTTTGAAATGATAGCCTTCAAGTAGCGTATGGCATACGGTATGTCACTAGGATTTACAGCATTTCGTGGCTACTGTGAAGAAATCGCTCTTATGGTTCTCTTAGCCGGTTACTATTACGGTGCAATTGAGTTTAACCCGTTGTCATTTTTGTATCGTTTGTAAAATCACGTCACGTCGTCACCCAGAAACGCCGAGTCCTTTTTAGCTTTTTGTTGTTTTGGTATGATGGAACTCTTCCGATTCGTTATCTAGAGACGCCACCATCCTGCGCAGAATAGCAATCCCCTTGTTGTAATGCAGCAGTAGAGTATCATCACGAGTGATGAGATGGAGAGAAAACCAGCCGTATCACGCCGCCTATTGTTCCTTGCCACCGCACGACCCAAATTTTCATCATCAGAAGCCACACGCTTAACCACCCTTCTTCTTGGACACACCGACCGTACGGCCGCGGCGGCCGGTGGTCTTGGTGTGCTGACCGCGGACGCGGAGACCCCAGTAGTGACGGAGACCGCGGTGGGCGCGGATCTTCTTGAGGCGCTCGAGATCGTCGCGGAGCTTGGAGGCGACGCCGTTGGCGAGGATCTGGCTGTCCTTGCCGTCGACGATGTCGCGCTGTCTGTTGAGGAACCACGCGGGGATCTTGTACTGGGTGGGGTTCTGGATGATGGTGACGATACGCTCGAGCTCTTCGGAGGTGAGCTCACCGGCGCGCTTGTTCAGGTCGACTGTGGGGTTTGGGTTAGTCTTTCGTGTCCTCCTTGGATGTTTTCGAGCTCTCCTGTTCCTAGCGCCAAAGATGCAGTCCTCGTGTGCGGATTCTGCTGGCGTGGAACAGAAGAAAATAGGGCTTTCTCGTAGACGTACCATCGGCCTTCTTGCACACAATGTTGGAGTAACGACGACCGACACCACCAATCTTGGTGAGCGCGTACATGACCTTTTCCTGACCACGAACGTTGGTGTCTGCGAGCAACCGTTAGCCATCTCCTGTTTCCTCTTTTCAATTCTCGTGCCGGCTTTTTCTCGAAATTTCATGTTCGGGGTGTGATCGGTGTGGTGTATGTAGTAGGGTTTGCTGTCGTCGGCGTGGGAAAAGAGTACATACTCAGAAGACGGAGAATGAACTGGAAGTTCGCTGCACCAAAACAGTTAGCATCGCCATTCCGGAAACTTGCTCTCTCTCGAGGAGAAACATTTCGATTTTATTTCTCGAGAGGCAAGAGGGGCGCTGGGATAGACGAACACTTCTCCCCGGAGACGAGCGACATGCTGGGCAACTGTCGTACGAAGGCTGCTCCTAGATGTCGATGGTTGATGGCTGACGAACAGATTCGGTCAGGTGTGATAGACTCTCGAGAGTGGGTGAAAGGAAATTTGCGAGTTTGGCGGTGGGCTTCGCTTACCCTATGGTCACGTGGGATCGGAGCGCACCCTCTTCGCCTCACGGCTGGAAATCTTTCGGCGGGGACAACTGACTAAGCCGCTTTCGTGGACAGCGGTTGGCTGTGACCCGGCTGGGACCCCTCGCTCTCGAGACGCTAGGATCCACTCGATGCGAGAAAGCCTGCAGGGGTCGTTTTCGATTGGTCGGGGTCTCTCTGGAGAGATCCAATGCATCCAGTGCTCAACTTTGTGAGCCCATAAATCTAGACGGGCTCAATCGGCGACAACTCAATGACGGTGGAAAGTTGTGGTTTCTGCACCGCAAGTTGCGGTGGCATGGGCCCCTCTGGAGCTTGCGATGATGCTATATCAATTACAATCTAATCAGCAATCTAGTCAACTACCTTGCCCCTCTCTAATAACTCTGATTTCACTATCGTCCTGGTAACATCACTCTCTACCGCTCACATGAGTGTCTATGGACGTTCATCCACTTTCTTGAGTACCTACTAAGGTAATTGTATGGTGTCGTGGTCTTGATACCAATCTCTCGGTACCTTACCCAACGGATGAGTTGAGAGGTGTCATAGCCATAGTCTCGTCTCTCAAGTACTCGTGGCCATCTATGTAATCGGGAGCTTGCGCTGAACTTATTTATCTTTCACATTTTCCAGAAGTTGATATTACTCGAAATTGTACAGAACACATCCTGTCATGGAGTTTCCTGCAATATAATTCAACAGCGAGATCCTTTCCACTCATGAATCCTTCATTATCATCAACGCCCGTCGTGATCCAAGTAGATCCAACCAGCCAGCCAACTACCTGCCCTCAACTCCAATTCACCCCGTTCCCAAGTACCATACATCATCCCATTCACACTATCACGCCGCAGACGCCGCCGCCACCGGAGCAGCTGGCGCAGGCGGGGCAGCAGGTTGCGCCTGGTTCGCACCAGCAGCTACTGCCGCAGGTGGAGCCGGAGCCGGTTGCGTGACGCTCTGGCCTCCGGGACTCGATCCCACAATCACCACTCCGGACCCGGCATTTCCCTGAGGCGGAGCAGCTGCCGGCGGTGCCGAAGCCGGCGCCGCTTGTGGGGGTGTGCCGGGATTCTTTCCAAACTGCACTGGTGCGATAGCCTGGTTGGCCCCATCGACGATGGCTGCTCCCGGCTGTGCTGCCGGAGCATTCTGCGACGCTGGCGGCAGCGCGGCTACTTGAGCGGGTGGCTGCGCGGCGGGAGCAGCAGGAGCAGCAGCAGCAGCGGGAGCAGGTTGTCCCTGGTTAGCGCCGACCGCAATACTTCCAAGGTTCTGTCCGCCTTGCTGGCCCTGGGCCTGAGCAAGGGGAGGCGGTGGCGTCGCGACTTGTGCCGGAGGTTGAGCTGCTGCGGCGGGAGGCGGCTGTACTCCTCCCTGGTTTGCTCCAACCGCAATACTTCCAAGATTCTGACCCTGGCCCTGGGCCTGAGCAGGAGGCCGCGGTGGTGTCTGCGCGGTGTTGTTGCCCCCATTGCCATTAAAGATACCAAGCCCGGACAACCCCGCCAGCTGCGCGGCAGCAATCTGCTGAAAGCTCGAGAAAATCTGCGCCGCGGCTCCGGCTAGCGCCGAGTTCCCGTTGGCGGCGTTAGCAGCGGATGTCGCGCAGTCGGTCAAAAAGGTCCCCGCGTTCTGCACGAAGAGCCCTTGCTGCTGCGGCAGGATAATGGCGGCTGGATCCGGGACCGAGAGCAGCTGCGGCGCCTGTGTGCCTGCGGGGAGGATGATGCTCTGACCTATCTGGCCGAAGGGCGCAGCTTGATTGAAGGCTGCGAGACTGAGGCTGTTGTCGGCGGGAGCGGCATCGGACCCGACGGCTTGGGCGCTGAAGTCGGACGTGTTGGATCCAGCGGGCGAAGCAGAAGAACCAAGTTGCACGCGGGCGGCGCCAAAGGCGTTTGCCTGGACTGACGCTGCTTGTTGTGTTGAGATCTCCAGGTTGGTTGGGTCCGTTACCATGACGAGCGTCTGCTTCCCTGCCTGCCCGTTGTCTGCGAGGAGCTGGTTGACGAGGTATCGCTTGTTCTGTTGCCCCTGATTTCTGTTATCGACTAATCCGGTGACAGTGACGATGATGATGTTCTTAATCCAAAGTCAGTCTTGCGCTCATCGTCATTGTATACTCGGTGCCAGTCATATCAAGGCAACATATGTGAAGGATAAGGAAAGACTCACCGCCTGAGGAAATTGTGCCTTGAAGTGGTTGATCCGGATGTTATCCTTGACGGTCTGCAGCTGTGTCGCAAGCGCGAGCTGAGACTGCACCAGTGCGGCGAGTTCTCTCTCGTTCTGCCTCTGCAGCTGGTTGATCTTGTCGAGGTTCTCCTGGACCACGATGATGTTGGGCTTGATGATGTTTTGGATAATGTTCACGTCGCCATTGTTCTTGTTGTTGTTATTACTGTTGTTGTTTTTGCCGTTGTTGTTATTGTTGTTCCCCTTAGCATTGTTCTTATCTTGATTCTGGTTCTGGTTCTGATTTTGACCCTGCCCCTTGTCCGCGGCTTTTGCATCTTGAGCAGGTGCTGGAAGACACGACAGTCAGCATGACCATGCAGTCAAGAGTCCAAGATGAAGTCGAGACCTACCCGCCCCAGCCAACGAGCTGAACGCCGCCAGGGCAGTAATAACGTGCTTGAGATGCATGGCTTATTCCAAAGGTCCAAACAAACGATTAGGATTTACAAACGAAGGGTTAAAAAGCAGCGAGTGTTCAAGGCACAGCCGACTCGAAAGGTTATGATTATGGATGGAAAAGGACCGTAAAGAATCGAATTATGGGAGAATTAGAAGTGGCTCCTGGGGCTCACGCAGAAGAGAAAGGAAGGCATAATAGGAGGGAAAGTAAACGCGAATGGAGCCAAGAGATCTACTCTATCGGAGCATAATCTGTTGATCTCTTCTGATCGGTTGCAACGCAGGAAATGAGAGGAGAAACAGGGTGCTGGCGGACTGCATATGTATATTAACCTTATTCCAAACCATCTTTCTCGCCATCCGGAAACAGCTTCATGGTCATGCCCGCCCTCTGTCGATGAATCCCTCCTGCTGCCGGGAGTTGCGTTTCCCGTGGCTGGTATGGAATGCCCTGAGGAAGAGGGAGGGGCCTCCGAGTCGTAGATGGACGGACTGACAGATCTGGTAGACAATCGTCTCGTCGTAAAACTCCCGAACCCTTGACCCCGGTCCTAACAAGTAAGTAAAGCCGCAGTCAGGAAGAGAAGAACACACGATGGTGGCTTCGGATTCAGGGGGCATTTCGTGATCTCGAGGCAAAGGGGGGAAGGACGTCCTGGTCCCAGAGAGGGGTAACGGAACCCAAAATCAGGACGACTCTGATAGAATAGTAAGAAGGAAACCCAGCCTCACCTGCCATCCAACCTTGACAACAACTTGACATGCCCGTACGCCGGCCGTGTGCCGTCTCAACCGTCCCAACCGTCCCATGCCGCACCTGTCAAAGCAGCCATCATCCCATTGACGGAAGGGACGAGTTTCGGTCCTCTAGCCACCCTGGGCGGGTTTGCGATCCCACGCGAAACGGTATCACAGAAGAGCCTCATGAGACAGGGGAGAGGCCGAGAAGGGAGGAGGGGTTGTGGTCCATTCCCGTGTTTTCTCTTTCCATTTACGAGTCAGCAGGGGATGGTGTCACGTCAATGCGTAGAGTTTGGCAACTCGTCGCGAGTGATGCCGGTGGCTATCTGTAAATCTCCGTAGGATTGCCCTCGCCATGATCATCCGCCAAGTAAAGATCGCATCCAGGCAGGAAGGAAGCCGCCAATCAGAAGACCTCAAGATTGTAAAGGCTGTTGGGAGCGCGTTGGACAATTTCCAGACGCATCTGCGGCTCTGGAAATGTCATCCGGCAACACCAACCCGAATCGGAGAATTAGGTGGTTTTTTGAGTTAGGCTCGAGCCGACGCAGATGCCAAGTCCTAGACCAAAGCATAAATGCTTTCCGCCTGAACCGATGACAGCTTGGCTAATGGGGAGCCGAAGCTTGTTTTCCAAAGACCACATTGGAGTTTGATGTTTGTGTGGGTAGATGGAGCAGACTCGAAACACACAGCTGAAGCCCCTCATCCCTGTCCCTGTTTAGTACAGCATACTACTTCAATGCGACTCACTGATGGACAACAAGTAAGTGTATCATCTGCAACTCTGTGGCGTCGCCTCGTGTAATCATTAATACTGAAATTTTGCCTTGCGTCATTCCGGGTCGAGGGAATGTTCGGTTCCAACCCGGAATTGTCGTACAATGCCCATCATACGCCATAAGTCATATTACCAAGCCACAGCAAAGCCAGGAAGCCCACAAACTTCAGCCGCAAGGCACTGTTTGACACAAAAGAGCCTTTCGTCCTTCCTCTTTCTGTCGCCTTCTCCATTGCTGCTGCCGACCGCCATGGGACAGGACTTGTCTTACCGTCCTTAACCGGCAGGGTGCGACCCAACGAGACTTCTTCGGCCTGCTCTCTCTCCTCTACTCCTGTCAAACCTTGAACAATACGGCCAGTAGCACTCTGGCATCTGTTACAGGCCCAAAGAAAGACAGTAGCAATGATGGTTACTTCAGCTGCCCTCGGTAGGCGGCCTCCGCTTCCAATCCTCAAAACTCCAGCTCCGTCACTCGCAAGCCATATGTGATGGTGCAGAATGTAGGCTTCAAGCGACATCCTTCCAAGAGCTGCCGCAGGCGGTATTTGAAGATCTCGCAACTTCCGGAAAGAGTTCCTCGTAATGATGGCCGACAGCACGAACCAGGGGCTCGTATACGGGTGGTAGGTGTCGTAAGACTGGTTGTTGTGGTATACCTCGGCGATGAACGCAAGAATGACGAAAACGATGAGATACGCAACGGCGAAAAGGGTCATTATCGGCTTCACCGGAATTGCGTCTTGTTCTGGATACGTGATTTCCAACAACCCACGGTCAAGTGCGTTGTTGATCTTTTCGAAGGAAGCCTGGCCGTTGATGCCATGCTGACGACGCCTGAGGACTGAGACTCGGTGCGTAGCAGCCGCCGTAAATATGCCAAAGTAAGGGATGAAGCGGTCCATGGCAAAGTGGGCGCGCAGGATATTTACGTCCCAGTAAATTCCACAAGTCCGTTTGAGCATTAAAAGAAAACGCTCAGGTGTACGGGTGCTTTGTACCAAGTACGAAGTCCCTGCAGCAAATACAACAACCTTTACGAAGAATGCAACAGGGTTGCTGTTGGACTTCTTAAAACAAGCCAATGTTGTGTAGACGACAGCAAACCAAAACGTCAACAGCGGTGCAGTGTAGATGATCCATTCGCTTGATACCATGAAGGCGATGAGGCAGGTTAGCAGGTTCAGCCGACCTAACACATACGCGACCCTGCGCAGCGAAAAGTCTTCGGTGCGGAGGAAGTACATCGTGTGACCGTAGCTGAACAAGAAGATGAAGGTCGCCATGAGGAACTTGTGTACCTTATACATCGCCAAGGACTCGGATGCCGTGTGGTACTTGTACAGTAGGACGAATACCAGCATCAAGCCTCGCCATTCGTCTGTTTGCTCCCGGGACAGAAAGGACGTCGTAGTCAGCCCTTTCGCCGACGACAAGACGGGTGCTTTGAAACGAATTGACAGCGCTGCGAAAATAGCTAGGCCAACCAACGGTGATATAAAGTCGGGTATGTCGAAGTACTTGTCCTGCTTCGCGAAGATGTGAGTCCGGTCGGCCATAAGGCAGTATACCGCAACGATCAGCATGGTAGCCAACGCCAAAAGAGTATCCATGAAGCGGGACGTTCGGGCAGACGGGAAAGCATCCTGCTGCCGACTCAAGAACAGGATTGGCATTGTCAACACATTGAGACCAAGCAGCAGAAGCTGAATCCGACGGAGAGGGGGATACGGCACACAGCAAGTGACCTGGTTGGCGTATTCTCGTCTAATCAGACCGGCGTTGCAGTGGGCATTGAGGACGACATCTAGTTTTCTCTCTGCTACAATGTCGACCGAGTGGATACCATCCTCAAGCATAGCGTCGTCGTGTCCCTCGGTCATGCCATTGTAGGCCCATGCGATGTGCGAGTGCTCGTTCAGCTCCAGGTGCTCCAAGTTCCAGTTCATGGCGTCAATCCTCTTGGGAGTGATGGCTCGCGCGCGGGACGTGGTAAGCATATCGTAGGCTGGGACAGGCACGGGTGCCATAAGGACATGGTTCGAGAGCTCTTCAAAGGCTGACTGTGAGTTGCTCTGGGGGTACACCATCAATTCGTCGATGCTCTTGCGCAGGTACGGCATGAGGACGTTGATGCCTTCTCTGAAGAGCTCCAAGTACCGGTCACCGCCCTGACGGGCCGCCCACAGACCTGGGGTACCGAGGACGATGAGCGCTGGTGAATCTCTTCCCTCTTGTCGAACGAGTTTCTCGTAATCGGCGGATCTGGGGCGGTCCCTGAATCGAGCCAATTGGCTATGGAGACTGGTGGAGTTGAGCCAAGGGTCCCAAATAAACTCAAGTTTGACGCCTTCAACATCCTTTGTTAGGTTTTGATGTTTGTCTTCTGACACGGCGAAGTCAAGAATGGCTTTCTCGGCAACATGATGGTCAAGTCGTGTCATGGCAGCGAAGTAGAGCTGGCGCATGGTCGAGTCTCCAATGATAACCAGGTGACGACCGGAGAAGCAGCCTGAGACATCCTCGCGGGACATCTCGCGCATCCTGCAATTGGCGGGTTCCCATCTCGAAAAAACGTCTCTCGGCAAGTTTGAGCCGGGCCGCGAGCGCCAGGTGCCGTTGGAGAGCAAAGCGTTGCACTTGTAGGGATCATGTTGACCTGCATCTCGTGTCAGCTTCTTGACTCAAGCTTAAGCTTGTCCAGGACCCTAAATTGGTGGGGCGGTTGGAGAATGGGACTGCTTAAATCGTACCGAATACGAAATACTGGTAGACGACTGAGAGAAGCAGTATCAAGAGAGAAACCCGTGCTACGGTCCGGAGAAAGAAGGGCGAGCTCCCGGCAGAGGCAGCTAGCCTCTGAAAGATGCGAATCATTGGGGGCTAGGAGGGATAAAAAGGAACCACTCGATAAGGTACGGCGCGCGATCTCAATGCTCTGACTGGTGGTGGCGGTTGCAGCTGGCGGGAAACCGCATTCTCTTCCGCCTAGTGGGAATGCTCTCCGGGCCGTTCGGGGACGTGTTGCAGAACGTAACAGAAGAAGACTCGCGATGTCACAAGTCCGAGATGGCACCACGAGAGAATAGAGACACGAGTGGATGAAGAAGGGGAGCTTCGGAGAGAAACAGTCAAGCGGCGAAGGATCCAAGAAAGGAATCGGGTTGATTGTCGACCCCGTCAGACGCGCATGCGAGCGCGGCTGCCATTTCCCTTATAATGCCAGCAACGGTCGAGGCCAAGAACTGGACGGATGACAGGGCTGGCGCTGCCAAGGTGCCGCTACGGAAAGAGACCCGTCCATGGTCTTGGGATCTCATTCCTCAGCCTGTGACCTGTCAGCCTGGAGGAAGGGAGTGGAGGGAATCCGCGGAAAGGGGAAGGCAGTCACACTTGCGCGCACTTACGAAGAGCGGCAGAGCACTGCATTGGCACATTAGGTATCCGTACGTAGACCCTGGGGAAATCGATAAAAGATGGATGGGGGGTCACACTTGGTGGGAATCACCGTCAGCAAGCGAGTTGTTGGTGACTGCTAAGATGGGATGGAAGGGCAGCCGCGAGATAACAGGCCAGGCCCCCCCCTTCCGTGATCCCTGCTGGATGTCGACGACGCACCCCCTTTTGGCAAGCCAACACGCGACATTGTGGGGGAGAGAAGCACGAACCCGAGCACCGTCATTCTGCCCTCGTCATTGGCACCGTGTGGGACGCTCATAATCCCGCTATTGCCGCCAATGGTCTGCATCAATCCATCGCCAACATGCTAGTCCCGTTGGAGTCTTGTGGACCGGGAAACACAGTGTGACCCACTTGTACTGGCCAGTGCAGCCACGCTGACGGCCAAGAAGGCGCACCGCCTATTTTTCTCACGGCTCGAAATTTTTCTTCTCTCCATTCGCCCATCTTCCCGTCAGACGTCGTTTGCACTCTACCAAAAGATCCCGTCGCAAACGGCGGCGCAGCTCTTGATGCTTGAAGAAGATCGCTACTCGAGCACTGCCAGTCACTCCATGATATTCATACCTCATTCGGAGCATATTGGGCTGCTGCAGAAACAGAGGTAGGTCAGGGCAAGGAAGCTTCCTCAGCTACGGAACGCATCACACACATGCAAACTTGATGCCGTCTTTTGCCATAGCTCGATCAGTTCAGCCTTCTCGTCTTCTGATCTTGAGCCGGATACACCACGCCTCGCGCGCGGTAGTATGAGACAAGATTGAACCCCAGGCAATGCTCTTTGAGTACGTAACCTTCTGATTCCATGTGAAGGCTTGCGTAATTTATCTGTTGTCATATCTCCTCGTCTAGTACCCTCCTTTTCATGCAGAGATCGTTTCCATTTTGTGTGCGTATCTACTACCTCTCTACCTAAGAGGCAAGAAGGAAAACTTTTGTAAAAGCAAATTCAAAAGCAAAACATCTGATCCCTTTCGTTCTCGTTTAGTCTCAAGAAAGCTGCCAGCCTAATGGCCGGTTGCTTCGCTTGAGTCTAGACTTCGTACTCCCATCCCGCAAAACCCTGATACACACGAGACCAATCCACAGTCCTCAGTGAAGATACATTCCCCAGGTACCAGTAGGGCGGGTAGTGTTCGTCTGCTTCGGCTGCTTGACAGTCGCTTCCAGAGCCGACAACAGACCCTGGCGATCGAACTCGGTCAGCTGAAGCTTCTGCGCAGCCTGAATATGCTGAACGTCAACATCTGAGATGCCTCGGATGGCAAGGAGTTCGTCGGCGCCAAGGCTGTCCGTGATACGCTTGATCTTGTAGTTCAAGAGGAAGTGATCACTCATCATCTCCTCACGTTTGTTGAAGATGGCAGTCGTTGCCTTGGAGATCTTGATCGTCACCTCCTTGAGGTTGGGGCATTTAGCCAGCTTGAGGAAGGCCAAGTCGGATTTAGGACCGCACCAGTGAATCTCAACCTTGCGCAAGTGGTCGAACAGGTTGCTGTTGGCCTCCAGCTGGCCAAGAAGCTCGCAGCCACAGGCAAAGTACTGAGTCTGTTCGCTGTAGTAAACCTGAAAGAACTCGTCTCTCAGGGCTGCTCCCAGAGTCTTGTATATGTTGAATTGCTGCTTGGCCATGCGAGTCCACAACCTTGCCTCGGGGTTGGCACAGTTGCAGCGATACTTGTCTTGGATGCGCTTAAGGGCAGGCATTCTGCAGGCCTTTTGGCTGGTTTCAACAACCATGTGAAGCACTCGTGCTCGGATCTCACGAGGCAACTTCATGAACGGAAAGACCGTGGGAGAAGGGCGGTCTACACCACAGGAGTCAGCTTCAACCTTGACCTTTCCACGCTGACATTCCAGAGAACAATCCCGTATAGAGCATAAAGGTTGTCGGGGTATTGAAGTACTTACTGGCAATCTCCAAGACTTCGGTGCACATGTGAATGAGCAAGGCGCATTCTCTTGTCTCGTCTTGCTTGTTTCTGTTCTGCTTTGTCATTCTCTCTGTGCACTTTCGGATAGTGTCGATCATGGCCTGACGTCTCTTGGGGCTCAGACGAAGCATCCGGCCAAGCTCAGCCATATCAATGGTGGCTGTCTTGGTGTCTTCCAGGGCTTGCAGCATCACCTGAGTGTTGTGGCACAGCTCGAAGCGCTTGTGGATGTTCCGACACTTCAAGACGAACCACGAGTCCATACCCAAGGCCATCTTGTCAATTCGCTTGATTCTCTTCCTTTGCTTGTGTACGATATTTGACAATCAATGTGCCCTTTGTCGAACGCTTTGATGATGTATGCTCGGTGCAGTAACCAGGCGTAGAGACACTGGAGATGTATTGCCGGAAAGGAGCAGTCTTGGGTTTGAAAGGGATACCGACTGCCGTTGCTTCCGAATTGAAGTGGTCTAGCTTTTGTATGAATTGCGTTGAAGTTATGACGAATAGCCGATTGGAAGTGACTCAGATCTGCGCTATATGCAAGCGGGAGAAAAAAAAGGCACAAAGGTCGATATTCGATTCCGAGGTGCCCTTGATCGGAAGAGTGCAGATATACGTCTCAAATGGAGATATAGCCCGGGGCCGATAAAGCGCGCTTTGCAGCCCTCGTAAGCTTGTTTAGCCGTTGATAATGGCTTTGTAAACGATCGCTCCTGCGTGAAGACGACGCACAACTCGTGGTTTCTGTCAAAGCCGACCTGTACGACTTTAGTGTTAGCAAGAGAGCAAAGGGTCATAGGGTAACGATCGAGATAAATTATGCTGGGATATCAGGATTCCTATACGGCGAGTGCAGTCAAGAACGGTAGAAAATCAAAAGCTAAGAGAAAATGATCGTCCACTCTCATTCTGAAAACTTACCTCTTTGTCGTACGCGATGCACTGAGGAAGGGGGCAATCTTGTCTTGACACTCAAGTGTGTAGGGTGGGTGTGAAGAAGGAATAAATATCTCCAAGGTCACGGCGTAGAAGATGTGATGTGATGCGACCCCAGTGAGGTGTGATGTAAGGTAGGAGGGGGCACAGTCGATGCCCACGTCCGTGAGATATGAAGAAGAGAAGGATTTCTCAAAGGTTCCGGTTGTAGAATATATAATGTGATGCGAGCCCCGGTAGGGTGAGAAACTAAGGTAGAAGAGGGCTCTGTCGATACCTAAGTTGGTGAGGTATGAAGAGGGGAGAGATTACTTAAAGATCCCGGGCGCAGTCGGTATAATATAAGCCCAGTGAGGGGAGGTGCGTATGCGGAAGGGACGAACGAGGCTGTTTAGAGGAGGGCTGAGGGAGGTGCGAACGAGGCTGTCAAGAGGTCTAGCCTGTGCATTCAGGTACCGGTGAGGTGTGGAGAGGGGAAGGATTTCTCAAAGGTGCCGGGTGTAGTGGATTTAGTACAAGCCCATGAGTGAGATGTGTGTGTTGAAAGTATGAACAAGGCTGTTGAGAGGAGACGGAGGAAGGCACGAACGGGGCCGTTGAGAGGAAAGCGTAGGAAGTGGAGGTTGACGTATCGTGTGCGCTCAGCTGTTGTTCAAGTATGAAGAAGTAATGGATTTCCCAAAGGGCCCAAAGGGCCCAAAGGTAATGATATATAAATGTGAGCGTGAGGTAAAATTCGCCTACAGGTTTGGTAGGTACGAACGCAAGTGGTTGGGCCGGAGGGAGTAAGGTGAGTGTAGCGCTAAACGTTCAGGACTAGGCATAAAGGAGCAAAGAATTCCTCAGATGTCCCGGGGTAATAGATGTGATGTGAATGTGAGGTGAGATGCGCATGCGCAGGTGGGAATGAAGGCACTTGATCGGGGGTGTAGAAGGTAGGTGGGCGTTGTAAGTTGAAGCTGTTGTTCTTCCTTGTCGTGGAAGAAGACGGGAGGGAGAAGCCAATCCTGCTTTTTTGTGATTGAGGTGTAAAAAGCAAGGTGAGAAAGGCCCTGAGTGAGGGAGATGTGGTCATTGAGCTGAGATGGGATATGATGCTTGTTTTTGGCAGGCACGATGGGATCGACTATTCAGCAGGTACGATGGGGTCGCTTGTTCGACAAGGCAGGTACGACGGGATTGATGGGATCTATCAGTAACGTGCAGATGGATTAAAGCAGCTCGGCTGTGTAAAACCTTCTGCTTCATTTTGTCAACACAAAGTGAGGTGCCTAGTAGTAGACTAGCTATTATGTGTTGATCTATTTCGAGTGAGGCTCAAGATGACTACGCTATTAAAGGTTTCTTGAAGTTCCACTTTGAGGAAGGGCAACAGGTCGACCAGGGGCCAAGGAAATCACTATGTGTACAACGTAAGTTCATTGGGATGGGCAGAACGTATATAAGAGGATGTGCTGCTCAACAAGAAAGGGCTTAGTGACAGAGTATCAAGGCTGTTTGGTACCTGATATCATAAGTGCTTCATCAGGAGGACTAGCTTCGGCCACAGTGAGTGTATGTTTACCTACCTATGTATGACATCTATTGCAACGGCAGGATGGGTTACAGGCTAATAGTCCAGGGGAATCGCATCCCCAATGTGCTTACTAAAGTTGGATAAGTTCACCTTAAATGAGGTGCCTGCCCTTGTGATTTCGCATAAGAGGACCGTATCTGGATAACGATTCTGTTCCCAAGCCACCAGCTTTTGCTCGGCAAGTCAACACATCGTGTGTGTTACTCTGAGAACAAACAAAAGGCTAAAATCATCAGGGATTGCCTCACTGGTGACAGAACTTTAAGAAGCTCAACTACAAATACTTTCAAAACAACAGCAAAGGTAGGACCACAGCAACATTTACCACAGCGGTCAAGACCTGGATCGATGTTCTTACTCTTTGCTATCCAAGGAAGCTTGTCTGAGTGGCAACATCTCATGAAGATTCAGTCGATTGGCAATAAAAGCAACCGTAATATGATTGGCAAGCAAGGCGACCCCGAGAATGGCCTAGATTGAGCAATCCTTTGTCAACTCGTAGTGGGGTAACATGCCAACCTTTATTCTACTTAGTACAGCTCTCGAAACCTCATATTCTTTGTCTCTTCCTCCATGCAAGAAAGAGGTCACAGGCGAAGTGAATTGCCACTTGGAACGATGTGTGATCAATGGAGTAGAATTTCTCATGTGTATCGTCGAACTCGAGGTCAGGGTAGTTCCTGCCTCAGTGACATCTTGTTATATCCCAGTGAGCAGTGTTGCCATATTCACACAGTAAGCAAAATACCATTCCCAATCCAAGCTCCGCATTATGGTAATAAAATTCAAAAACTTTGGCTCAAACACAATGGCCTTTGTGACCTTTTTCCCGGAAATTCTCAATCCAAAACTCCAAGGCGATGCCGGAAAAGAACGCTTTGAGACGCCGAAATCGGTTGTCTCTCGATCCCAAAGATGGGAAGGCAGAATGTCAGACGAGAGCAGCTGAAAGCTCTCGGGCCGAGAACCTCAAGGCCTCTCATCCTCCTCGGGAACGGACCGGAACTGGCTCTCGCGAGGCAGAGGGTTCACCCGAAGCGGGCTATCGTCCACGTCCACACTGTTGTGGCGTGATGTGCCAGGGCTGACGTTGATGCTGTAGTAACTTGACCGCGCATCGCGACTCATCTGGCGCTGGCCCTTCCCGAACGTCATGGTGAAGCCGTTGAGAATCTCCTGGTGTCTGAGGTTGGTCTCGTTGAAGGGCCTCTCGCGCGGGTCGGCCTCCCTCTCCTTGATGGCGGTCTTCTTCTTTGGCTTCTCCTCCTTTGCTAAGCGCCATCCGAATGTCTTTGCGAGGCGGAGAGCCGGGGACTTTGGGTCTGAGCTGGTACGCTCTCCTTGGCTAGGCTCGGAGATGGACTTGCGGCGGCGGAAGTGATCGCGGATGGCCATTGCGAAAGTGTTGATGAAATATAGAGCTGTTGAGGAGTGGTTTGATGGGAGAGCAGAAGATGAGATCGGTGGCTGATACTCTTAGGACTGCTTGGCTGGGTATCTGAGGTGTTCGGATAGGTGAAGACTGATATTGAAGAGGTGTGGTATCTCTGTATTGGTGTTGTAGGCTGTTGGCTTGTCTGAGGGAATTAAAAGAGGCGAATGATGGCAGGGGAGCCGAATGGTATTTAACCAGGTGTGACAAAAGCCAGAAGACTTGGCAACATGGGAGGGGAACGGATGTGGCGATCCCAAAGAATAGCACCGTTGAGCAGACCCAAGACGGTGGGATCCGTGTCGCTCAAAGGACCTTTCCAGGACCCTGCATCGTTGGGCTTTGCTCATTAGCCGCTGCTTTCACAACCCGTGAGCCATATGCAGGGCAGCTTCCCAATGGACTAACAACGCGCTGGGTAAGGTACCACTCACACCATACGGGCCGGAGATCGACTCTCCAGGCCGATGCTACCTTGCGTGCTCAAAGTGGGAGGCTTCTTGGATGGCGCAGCGTCCGCCTCCGGCTGTATGCGGGGGTCTTCTTCAAATGCGGGGCGACGTCATTCCAAAAACACCTGGTCTGGTGGCCTGGCCATTGCTCTTGGTCAAGCTCCCTCGCTTGTGGCCGATAGTAATGCCACTGGGTTCCGATGTTTCCTGCTCTCCTCTGATCCAGACGGTCTCGACCCGATCTCTAAACTCATTGTTCTGCAGTCTGGCCGTCCCAAAATGTGTTCTTTGAGAAAAATCGAACCGTCCTTGATGGTACCGGCCAGGCCGGTTAGCGCTGTAGGTCTGGATTCCCGCCATGTCTCACTTAGTGCCAGGTACCTTAAACTCAATAGAATCGTAAGCAGCGATTCTCGGGCTCAGGGATCGAATAATTGCCCGAGCGTGTGCGTTGAAAGGACATCGATTGGTGAAATCTATCTCAAAGACCTAGCCAATTCCGGAGCGCCGCTGCCACCACAGTGACAATCGCCGGACGGCTGCCAAACCCCATCCTGGCCGTCGTCAAATCTGCCTAGTACATAGTCGAGCCAATCTAGACGTGCAGATGTAGGTGCAAGCTCAGACAAAGAACCTCGAGTATGTGCTACCTAGAAAGAGCGGCAATTCCAGTGCCACTGCTGATCCAACCAGGGCTCATCGAGATGTGCACTCGGCCCCAAAAACACCAGCGCTGCTAGATCCAAGGCCTCCCAAGGCTGTGAGGCCCCAAGCCAACGCTGCAGATTCCCAGTCCACATCGCCATCGGGGAGTTCATCGCCTTCGACAGCAGCGCGGCTTTCCGCAGGGCTCGGCTCGTATGCATCTTCTGGTGCCTCCTCGGGGTTTGCCGTACGCTTCAGGGTATGGCCTCGGCGGGTGCTTCTAGACACAGGCGTCTCTGAAATTGTCATTTCTGCGGGCTTGCTCTTTTCTGCATGTTGATTACCCCTGCGTCGCGTAGAAACTGTGTTGGTGTGGCTGGACGATTCCGACTCCGGCTTTGTTTTGTCACTTCCTCCCAGTAGTCTGGGTTGTGGCTTTGCCTTCGATGAATCGTTCGGAGCGAACGGAGTAGAGGCGGCTAGAATGTCATTCACATCCAACACACGTGTAGCCGCCCATAACCCTTGGCTGACTCCGCTGAGCAAAACGTCCCATGCCACAGCAGCTACAACAGGATGATCGGATGCCGATCCCAAGACTTTTCCAAGCGCCGTTGTTGTACGCTCCCACGTCGAGCGTTTCTCTATGTCGAAAGGTAGGAACCGGCTATGACGATGATAGTGGGCATTTGGCGCATTGTAAAGCAAAGCAAGCGCGGTGCCTTTGACGTGGAAGGCGAAACTCGCTGTGGATACAAAGCGAAAGAGTTCAGTGAATATGCCATATGCTCCGTGAGGATCAGAGTACACTGTGCCCCAACTAGCTGGAACGACGGCGGGGATGACAATAGGACCAAACGTCAGAAGTCGCCCAAAGATTGCGATGCGGGCAAATGTCGCCGTGCCTGTTGTCGATGGAGCCCAGTATATCAGAACGTAAGCAAAGCAGAATGATGCCAAGAGCAAGGCCGGGTGTGGCGTCCAGTTGACAGGCTTCACAGGTAAGAGTCTCTTGCGCATGCGTCCTAGTGTAGAGGTAGGATGGCTGTCGTCTGCTGTAGTAGTCGGAGCCGGAGTAAGAAGCAATGCGAGATAGAAGAGGTTCTGGGCGAATGAAAGGCTGACAAGGTGTGCTAGTCCGAGGTAGGCCCAGACAGAGGGGATTCTCCTTCGTCTGCCTTCGACGGCCAGCAGCAAGCTCCATGACATCGTTGCGAGCTCGATCTGCTGGCCCCACCAGAACCGACGAGCTTTCTCGGCAATGATCTCGAGAGCGTCCAAGTGGATTGGAGTGTCACTTAGCCAGCGGCCAATGAAAACTTGGGTCGCGTTTTCGTTTGGTACGACTCCATGATCGCCATAGAAGCTAAGGTTCCATGAGTAAGGCGGACAAAGAAATTGCAGAAGATGAAACAAACCGAACTGGAGCTTCAAGCCCACGCTGGTCTGCCCAAACGCGATATGAGAGTTTTGCATAGCTTGAGGCCCAGTAACTTGCAAGAGACAAGCTAACGAGTGCCAAACCTGCAAATAACGGCGCAAGAGCTGAACGGCGAACATGTCTTGCTCTTGTTCCCTGAGATGGCGGCAAGTGGTGATATGACCTGTACAGGCTTCGAGCGACAGTGGTGCCGAGAATTGCCACTGCAAGCGCGTGGCCAGCCACCAAGCTCAAAGGCAGGTACCTGAATATCATGTTAGACTGTTGGCTTTCAATCCGATGGACCAAACACACTTCACTTCCGGTTCCAAGGGCACCGGCGCCATGTTTATCTTGGTGAAATGGCTGGATGATTGATGCTGATTGTTGTGATGTTACAGGACAATCAGCCACCCTGAACCCGAGGTGAGTGATGTCGACCTCGGGGGTCAAAAGATGCTGGTGCGGCGCGCGTCATCATAGCACACACACTTGGGCGTGTTCCTTGGAAGCTCACTCGACAGCTCCTGCCTGCCATCATCAATCACAGCGTCGGTTTGAGGTGTACAACTACCTCCATTCGTGCAAGATGTGCTGTGTCGTCATGGTAGCGGTACTAGACAAGGCCTCTGGCGGCAAGTGGAGCTCCAGCTGCATGTGAAGCACAGACCAGCGTGAGCCGGAGAAACAGAAACTGCGACAGGGCTAGCGCGGGCAGGACTGCGACTGGCCCCACACCTCACCAACCATAAAAATCTCTTCTCGCGATGCCAATCTACTTGTCCTCTCTTTTCTTCTTTACTACAATCCGGATCAAATTACATCGACATATGTTTTTGGTCTGAATGGCGGCTCCGCTATGCGGCTTGCTGAGGGTTGTCCTGATCTCCTTGGACTTTCTTCCGTTCCCGGCCTCCTAAAGTAAATCCCATGTGAACACCTTTCCTTATCAGCCGAGTATGACGACTCTTCCTGGTATTTGACTGTGGGGTGGTCTCAACATCCTTTCGTAATGACTCTGAATTATTAAAAGGAACCTTCCAGCGCGAAACGGACATTTCCGTTTTTCAGTCGACATAGACTATGCGCGTAGAAGAGCATCACGGCTCCAGGGAGCCGCAATATTTCCACCTGCCGACGTTGCGCAAAAATGTTCAATGTACCAGGATACCTTACACTACGCGTTATCTGATTCTTCAGTTCAGGCATATGCAAAACCATCCTCCTACCTCAGTGAAAGGGGTGCTTGACGTGCAGATTGATTCACAAGTCGATATCACGGCCACGTTCACATCACTGTCGTGTGCAAATAGCTGCCATCGGACCTGAGGCGGCGTTAAACTGCTTCAATATTGTCTTTGATTTCTCATCATCCAAGTCATTGAAGAGAAGGTCCAACACGACTACCTCAAACATTTGACATGGGAGCGAGCGGGTTCCGGCTCGATGGTAGCTTTGGCAGCTCTATCTACCTATGACTACGCCTTCAAGCGGTCAAACGTAGTTAGTACCTCGGCCTCCACGACCGTTCTTCCATACCAGGAACACTAGAACAATAGTCGTCAGGGCAAATCCAAACGTCACAAATTGCATAGCCTGATCTGCGGTTGCCTTCTTGCACCTCTCCAATAAGAACTCTTTGGTTGAGTCCTTTGGAAGATACCACTTTCCATCTTCCTTGTATCCCCCACCGTTAATGATGTCGTTGCCAATGTCTCCCATATCGTCATTTTTACACGCAACACCGCGCAGCCCAATGGCGAAAGCCTGCCATCTTGTTAATAGCAAGTACATGGTATGATCATCGATCGACTTACAATACCACCACCGAGGAGTAAGACTCCACTCAGGGCATCCGCGGCCATCACTACGAGAGCCGGAATGGCGTCTATGAAGACTGATACTAAGCCTAGCACAGCAACGGCTAATCCAAAGCCGCCAGTAAACGTGCTGTACTTCGTAGTTGTAGGAGCGTCGCCAATCTTCTGCCCCTTGACGAGGTCGACGGAGAGGCCGAGGACGACGATAGCCATGATGCCCTATGGAAAGCGCAGTGTTAGATCATCTAACTTTGCAGAGTTGACTGATTGGGGCGACTGTCTTGTCACAAACCTGAAGGGCCCAAACGCCCATGCTGATGAGGTTAAGCATCTTCGGGGCTTAAGGCTCTGCTTCATACAGTGTAAGTGTCGTGCTTCTATGCAAATGAAGATCTTTTCGATTCCCAAATCTGATATTAATGTGAGGAGCAGAGAAAAATTGCAGCAACGAAGAAGCATGGCAAAAGGGAAGGCAATAAACAGGTCACTTATATAGTGTGCTCAGTCAAAGACGAGGACAGCCCTTGAGCAACTGTGTTACCCGAAGGAGCAGGCAATCAACAACCAACCTCCATCTTAATTACTTCAATCGACCCCAAGACGGCGCAGCACGGCACTAACTCTTCTGTTCCCGTTTCCAAGTGACACATATATGAACTTCCTGCATGTTTGCGCCGCCTGACGAGTCACAACGGCTCCTCGTCGGCAACTTGCATATCAGGCAGGCTGTTTTGCCAGCTTCTGCCCGGTGCTACTGTCCCATCACCGTACCACAGGAAGTCCTTCGGCTCGTCTTGAAGCCCACAGCATGGCTCAAATTTAGGCCTCATAGCAGGCAAGAAATCGAGCGGCAGTGAGTTGGATCTGAGACTGATCCTGCAGAGTCTTGCTTACGAAAGGATCAAATCAGACTCTGCTATACAGATGTAGTTTACCAAGGTTTGGTTCGGAAAGAAGCGACCAACGGTGCTACCCAAGGGGCTGAGCCACAAGAAACTGCAGATACTACCTGTCCTAGCAGCAACTGGGATGACACGTCGTTATTTGCCCGTCTAATTCTGGAAACACTGTCTCGGGCGGCTGCCCAGGTCGTTGCCTGGTATTGAGTGGAGCCTTTCCATGCCAGCACAATCCTCCCTAGGTGCTCCAGCTCGGGGGGGGATTGAAGAAGATTGTAGGATTATGTAAGATAACGTGCTAGCTCTAGTTCTTGGGCTTCCTTGACTGCTGACTCATTGCAAGAGCTTAAAGGAACTGCTACGATGAGGTAAGCCGGAGAATCTCAACTTGAGCTTTCCGAAAGATGGCCGGATAAGTGGGGTCCGTCTGAAAGTGCCAATGCAACTGCATCCGTCACTTTCTACTGCATTTCGAACGCACGGGCCAAGTCGCGATTGGTCTGCCCAAATTTTTTCGACAGCTTCCATCATCGGCCTGCAAGCCCACATCTCCTGTCCACTGTCCAACTCCGATCCCCGGCTTCATCCATCCGCCACGTCCACAACCTTCGCCATGTCGTCGCTTTGGGATACTCTTTCTGGTCGCAAGTCCTCTCAGAAGGACGCCGGTGCTTCTCAGTCTTCACCGGCCCCCGAACCCACAACCACTTTCCAGAACACCCCAGCACAGTTCGACCCTTCAGCAGGATCTGGCGTCGAGTCTTTTCTTCAGAGCTCATCCTTTGCCGACCCCGCGCAACTACACCCCCTATCTGGACTGAACAAGGACACACTCGAATATCTTTCCCTCGAAGATGCGGCTCTGGCGGATGTCCCTGGCCAGTCTGCCCTCCCCTCCCGAGGCTTTACGGATGACCTTTGCTACGGAACTGGAGTCACATACTTGGCAGCCTTGTCGATAGGAGGAGCCTGGGGACTGCAAGAGGGTCTGAGGAGATCTGCCAACCAGCCGCCGAAGCTACGACTCAACTCGGTGCTTAACGCCGTCACCCGCCGCGGCCCCTTCCTGGGTAACTCCGCCGGTGTCGTTGCTATTACCTACAACTTCTTCAGCGCGGGTATCGGCTACTTCAGAGGAAAGCACGACTCAGCCAACACGATCTTGGCTGGCTTGTTTAGTGGAATGGTTTTCAAGAGCACAAGGGGTGTGCGGCCCATGTTGATTTCTGGTGGTGTTGTGGCCTCCGTGGCCGGTGCCTGGGCTGTAAGTTGCCGTCTTCAGAAGTTTATTGACCTTGCATATCTAATCACTTCCGCAGGTTGTTCGCAGTACTTTCTTCTCTGCCCCCGAGCCTATTACTTCCGAGCATGCCACCTTGTAATTTACGACATAACCTGACGAATTGTCCCCGTTGAACCCCGCCAATAATGATTATTCATTATGCCCATGGATCACATTGGATCTGTGGACGATGATGCTCGCCATTGCGAGCTTCTTCTATCTGTTGTTTGAGTAGGAAATTTAGAGCGCCTCAGAGGAGTCTTGGGCATTGTGACGGACGATCTCTCCTCATGTGGACCCGTGTACAGTATTTAGGAAGGAGCATTAGAAGACCGCATCACTGGGTGGAAGTGGGCGTTCGGTACCTGTCAAAAAAGAACAACATCACACGTTTCCTCTACGTTCAAGTATCCCAGATGGATGTTGCCATTTTGGATTGGCCTGCCGGCTTAATGGCAATGGAAGGGACGTCCTGAGCAGCATCTGACTACCGCAGGCTCTATCCAGGCTACCGATTGCCTTTCCTCGCAAGCCCAATAACGTAGTGGAGAACAACATTGGCATGGAGTAGCAGCAGACAACATACCATTTCTATTTGGTTCACTTCACTGAAACTCTCGTAGCAGGCTCAACGTGGAATCGTTCTTCACTTCCAGTTACGGCGACGATTGTGGAAGATGGATATCTCCACAGCGATTCGGCAACTCGCGACAAGCTTGATCGATCTCGAGCTGGACAACATACGAGCTAGATCGAAGTATCTCAACCACTATACATGCGACCCAGTATCAATAGGAGTTCACGTCTACAACGATGTCGGTGGACAACACTTTCTCTCCTACGATACCTCGTCGCCACTACCTAGAGAAACAAGCTATCTCTCCGAATTCCTCAGCACCCGAGACCACGAACTCAAACGGACGATACGGTCGTTGTCGCATGATGGGCTGATGGCCTTGCACGAATGTCTGTCTCGGGAGATTGACGAGATCGACGATCAAGCTCGCAGCGATGATGGTGCCGAAGGTCCAAGTCCAGTAAGCGAGCTCGATGGCCTTGGGAACGACAAGCGGACATCGCATCTCTCTTTGAAGAAAAAAGTCAAACATGTCTGCTGACCTTGGTGTAAATAAACCCGCTGACTTCCATCCCTTAGATCCAAGAGGTTTCCCGGGCGAAAATGTTCCGATTGAGTACTTCCCCTCTAATCGCCAACCAGTCTTTTGACGTGGTCTTGATTTACCTCGACGGTAATGGCGAGTCGATCCTCCAGAAGTCGTCTTGGCCAGTGTGGACCGACTTCAAAGATTTTATCAAAACAATGTCCGAGTATCACTACAAGGTCACGAACAAAAAGAGCGGTAGCGTGGAGAACATCAAGCAAACCTATCTCGAGAGAATTGACGACTTTATCGAATCCGAGCCCGCTCCTCCGAAAATCGCCATCGCCAGGACATACCAGACTTGGTTCAACAATCTCGACGCAATGGATGATGAGTGGGCTTACGTGACGGTCGACGCCTAGCAAAATGTTGACATTGCAGCGAACTGGAAGGCCTCGCAGGACCTTTGCAGCAAAGGTACTTTTGATGCGGTGAAGAAACTAGGAAAATCAGAAGGAAACACTGTTGCCATGGTGAAGGTAAGTCTGACAGATCGCGTTCTGGGTTGTCAATTAAGCATTAACGACTCAGTAGCTGTGGCAGCGCAACTTGATCAAGCAACTACCCGGAATTTTGCAGCTGGTAGGCCAGCGTTTGCCTGCAACAGTATACGCTCCATACAGCCACCCTGTTCTGGCAGGAGTCTATGACATTGACAGACTCTTGGAAGCTTCCTTTGACGGAGATCTCGGGGACGACGATTGGGAGGATTTTCTCTGATAGACTCCGCGCATTGTTCTTTTTTTCTCATCCATGGTAGCTTAGCTACGTGTTGGCACGAGTATTGATCGTGCTTCGGAATTGAATGTTCGCACGCCTTGGCCAATTGGGCATCTGCGTTCCGGTTGTTTTACCATTGTAATGATGCTCGCGTTAATAACCTAATAATCCTGAAGTTGTGCCGCGTTGCATCTTCTGTGACCTGGTGTCTATTTCAGAGACGATACAGGCTTGTTCCTGTATTAAGGCATATCAAGGCCCAGAGTGATGAACAGAAATCACCATCCCATGCGTCATTGGTAGTTCACGTACCTAGAAATGGACTCCAGAGCGGTCCTGCCAATATCAAACGTTGCTTCAGACCCCACTCCCGACTGGCTTCACCTTTTACTCCTACATCACCGTACTCGGACCTGAACGGTCGACCAACACCACTACAATCTTATTCGTTTCTGCATTTCGTCTCCCAGCTGTCTTCCAGGTATCGCCAAAATGTGTGGATGTTGGCCTTTCTCGAAGGCACACTACGATAACGAGGATCCGCCAATTGTCTATCGCTTCGGATGGGATGGCCAGAGATACGCTGTCGATGTTGTAAGTAAACTGTCTCCTAGATACTCTTCGCTTTCTACCCCCTTTCTTGGCATCCCAACATTGGCCATTGTTTGGCTCCATTTTCCCAGTGAAGACACCGGAGATCTTGCAATGACCTGCCCCCTTTTCTCCTCCCTCGGCCTCAGGGACAAAGAGCCAACCAAGACCTCATCGGAGCGGGCCATTGGTATATCAAAAGCTTTTAGCCGCAGTGATATCTCAAGCCGCAGTGGATCTTCGTGCGGCTGAGTGAAGAGATCAGAATGAGTTCTTGCCTTGGACCACTCTTCAGATCTCTTCTTCTTCACATCCTTTCATCAACTTCATCTTCCATCAATTCTGTGATGAAGTGAGCAGTGCCAGCTCATCAAAGCTCTTCACCCACAAAGGAGCTTTGTCCCCTGGCATTTGGTCTCTACCCCTGGATTTCCGACTTCGAAAAACCAATCGAAACAAACACGACTTCGATACTCAAGAAACCAAGATTCGGCGTCGACTTTAATATTTAATCGAGTCCAGCAAATCCGCCATGAAGTCTCCCAAGAGCAAGTCGGCTGCCAACACCACCGGCCCGCGGCAGGTGCGCTTCAAGGAGGACGGCAGCAACCCAGGTGTCTCCTTCCCCGTTACCCAGGGAACCGACAACTCGACCGCACCTGCCTTCAACACCCACGAAAGCGACGCGGGTGCAGACAGCGGTGTTTTCGTCCACACCTCAACCAATCCCTCTGCCTCAGTCAATCTCGGCCATCACTTCCCTCCCGCACCTTTCGGTCAGGCTGCTCACCCACACTTCAACCCTTTCATACCCTCCACCTCGCACCCTGCCTACATCACCGAGACCAACTCATTCGCGCCTTTCGGCAAATTCAACCCATACGGACTTTCCGCGCCTCCCTACGTCAACATGGCCGACTACCAGAACGTCGCTCCGCCCGCTGGTGGTCTTCACTTCCAGCCGCCGGTTCCCGATACCACCTACGGCCCCATGCAGCACGTTTACGTGCCTCGCTTCGACAATGGAATGCCTCCTGTCTATCATGTCGGTCTCCCTCATGCTCAGGTTTTGCCAGTGGCCTCTTTCGTTGCCCCAAAGCCTGCTCCAGTTCTGCTTGGCGCGCCTCTTGTTCTTGTTCATTATTATGCAAGTCCCCAGCACTTCCTTGGCCGAGCGGCTTATGTGATTCATCGGGCACCTGGATTTCTTTGCTTCACTTCACCATCTCGTTTTCATCTCACTGAGCTCACCCAAAGTTACGAGAAACAATTTGCTGACTTGAGATTGTAGCAGCCGCCCCCTGCCCACAACGTCACCTACATTGGTCAGGCCCCCCCTCAGCCTCCCATCATCATGGCTCAGCAGCCTGCTATGCACCCCGGCATGGGCATGCAGCCTCCGATGATGCTTCAGGCTCCTCCCGCCGGATTCAGCGGCCCTCCCATGTTCCAGGGTGCCCACATGGGAATGAACATGCCTCCTAACATGGGCGGAGGTGGAATGCCCGTCTTCCCAGGTAATAGCAATCTTCCTCCGGATGTCACTGGATATGGCAAGACTGCCGGAGAGGTCGCCATGGAGCAGGCCCAGTTTGCCTATTCCAATGGCCTCTTCGAGCCCCAGGACTTCAAGCCTGCGGATGATGACCCATCCCGCTACTATCCCGTTCGAGAGGTTGACGGTAACTGGACCCAGCGCAATCGTTTCACTATTGACAACCTTGGCGATTGCCGTTGGTATGTAACCAGCGAGGGCTACTTCTACGCCGTTCGTTTGCCCAACTGAGGTGCTTCTTCATCAACGGTATGTCACCTCAATTGGAAGGGAAAAGAGATGAGTTGCTGACGGTCCAAGCGAAATCAACTCGAGAGCGAGATGAATTGGAAGATATCGGGGGGAACGGTGAAACGGAGAAGATGTTCTCGTGAGTCTTCCAAAGGATTGAGGAGATACCCATTGCTGATCATAGTAGATGATTCTTACTTTCCGGCACTTTGCCATTCAGACCCCTCTAACTCGTCATTGGTCCTCAGGTCGACAGGTAAGCTACGCAATCCATGGCACATTTCTGACCACTGACAAGATATCAGAACGCTCTTTAGCACAGGTCATCTTTCTGCTTTGAGGAGGTGTTTAGGTCATTCGCCCGAGGATGATGTGGATATCAGACTGGGATGAATGGGATGAATAGGAGAGGAGGATGAAGTCAATGATTTTCTATGTCGACAGGCCAGAGAATGCTCTTGCCCACGCCGCCAACGTTGCAGTTGAAATCAGAATTGGAGGCAGCTTTCGATACGTGGTTTGGATGTAGGCCAATAAGTCTATCCCTGGGGCCATTTCGCGATGGCTCGAAAGTGGCTAGGTGCCTCATTCCGAACCTAGGTAGATTGCAAACCTCATAAGAAAGTTTTCGAGACATCATATTTGCCTGAACAGTTCTGTATGCGTGAAAAAGTAAAGCGATACCACTGAACCGGCTACTGCAGCTGTCAGATAGCCAATGAGGTATGACCGAGTGCGCCAGGAAATCAAACATCTATGAAATTGAGATTATGATGTTAAACAAAAATTGGAGCTTTTTGTTTGTTGCTCACTGTTGGATGTGCTCCTGTAAACGGTTGAGCCTTCCTCAAGTCCAGTGGCCATTGATACCGGCTATTTTACCTTAGGCAGGTACGAAAATCCGGCGGTTCCTTCCCAACCTGAGCGAGGTAATTACTTTGACTTGGCTTCACCTACCGTCTTGGCCTCCACGCCCTTTCGCCTCCAGTTAGTCCATCAGTGCAGAAATGCCAAACAAACTCCGTACTTTCTCTTCTTTAAAGCTCTCTACTGGAGTTACTGCTGGAAGTAATCGAGGAGGAAGTCTTTCGCAGCCTTCGTCGACGACCGAACTGCATTCACAGTACAGAACCTCCCACTGACAGCATCTCGGTAGTCAACCTCCAACATGACGCGCAGCGCCCGCAGCTCTACCCTATGCGAGTGGGCACTTGGCGTCAGCGTCGAGGAATACTGCAACTCTATTGAGCGGCGCAGGCGGAAGAAGTCTAGCAGCAGACAGCGGATCTGCGTCGAGATTTCCACTGACGATGAATCCGAGGAGGACACTGTCAAGATCACATACCCGCGCGCCAATCGCAGCAAGGACTCTTCAGGCTCCGGGTCCAAGAAGGTCCGTTTTGAGAAGGCCTCAGCGAAGTCTGCACTGAAGGCTGCAGAGTCAGAAGCCGAGTCCAAAGGTAATTTCGAGATTCACTGTGTTTACGAGAGTACCGGCCTCTCATACGATAAAGATCCAACTAACCACGAAGCAAGCAGACAAGAAGAAGTCGGATAAGGCAGACGACACATCTGAGTCTGAATCGGAGGCCAAGTCGAAGAAGAAGAGAAGCGACAAGGCCGCCAAGAAGAAGAAGAAGAAGGTAGCAGATTCTTCGTCCGAAAGTGAGACAGACGAGAGTGAGGAGGAGATGCCGGCACCCCCCAAGAAGAAGAAGACGCAAGAAAAGACCAAGGACGGTGTCAAAAAATCGGCCAAGACCAAGGAGAGCGCTGCCCCAGCCGACACCGAACCCAACAACGTCGGCCCTACGGACAAGAAAGTTCGGAACAAGCATGGAGGAGCGAAGGCGAATGAGACCAAGAAGCTCGACAAGCCTCAGAAAGTAATGCCCGAGGCTGCGCTGTCTCCTCACCTACGCCGTCCCAATCTCATTATGCCCATCCGCGCGGAGGTCGTCCAAGTTGAGCATACCATTGAGGGCGTCGAAGATCCTCGACCCAATGCTTTCCACGACCCTCAGCACGGTGTCGTCCGAGTCTATCATGGCCCAGCCTACGGTAACCCCTACGGCTTGCTATATCCTGCTCGCGACCCGAAAAACGCTCCTTTGCCGATGGGTGTTCCCCATCCCCTGCAGAACCCCTATTTCCACGGCTTCGCCAATCCTGCAAACCCCGGAGATGCCCACTTCAAGGGCCACTCTCCCTGGGGCTCTATGCCAGTCACGTGTATGCCTGGAGGACCGCCAGTCATGGCGCCAGTCGACCCGATGCAGATGGGGATGCAGATGCCGTCGTGGTGGGGTCCTATGTCTCCTAAAGTTCTCTCTCCAAAGGGATCTCCAAAGCCTGTTATGTCGGGAGCCATTCCAGCAGACACGGCATCGACAGGTGCCAAGAATAAGGAACAAGGATGGGATACCAATGTCGGTCCTCAACAAAGCAAGGCCCCTTCGCCTCTGGCAAAGGTAGCGAGCCCTAACAACGTGGCTCCTGCTTCCCCTATCAACATCAATTTGACAGTGAATCCGAATACCCCATGGGCTGCTTTTGCTAGCGACCTCAGCAAAAAGTCTACTCCGAACAAGAACGGATCGCAGAATGGAAGCAAAAACTCCTGGGGATCGAAGAAGAGCACAGACTGGCAGCCCTTGGGCAGTGGCCAGCATCCAGATCTTGCTTGGGGCAACACTCCCACGAAGAGCCAGGGGAGCAACAAGGGGAGCAACAAGGGCAGTAATTCAGGCTGGACCAAGATTGGTGATGCGAACAATGATTCTTGGGGAGCGACTGGGGCCAGCGGAAGCAACAGTGGGTGGAACACCACGAACACTGACCAGGCCAATGATACTTGGGGGACATCCGGCAACACCCAGGGCAACGACGCCCAGACAACTTCTGGTGGCGATGGCTGGACAACGACGAATGGTACCACTTGGGACAACACCGACAATAATAACAACAACACCGAAGCCATGAACAAAGATGGATGGGGAGCCTCCAACGACCAGTCGGCCGATGCCTGGGCCAACTCTGGAGGCGACTACAGCAACAACTGGGGAACTGGATCGAACCATTCTGGCTCCAAGAAGTCAAACAAGAACCAAAATGGTAATGGGAGCAACCGAAGTGCCAGTGGTCAAGCCAAGCCTGCTGCGAACTGGGATGGCCAGGGAAACAATGTTGGCTACTCAGGATCGGAACGTAAGGTGTCGAATACCTCGAACAAGTCGAAGAAGACATCGCCGCCGCCGCCTTCAACCAATGACGGCTGGGACAACAACGCTGGGCCTTCGACCAACAGTCCCGTCGGTGACTCGTCCAATAAAAGCAACGGAGGTAAGAAGAGCTCAAAGAATGCATCCAAGGGCGACGCGTGGGGAACTGCCAGCAACTCGGCCTGGACAACAGACAATAATGCCGGCCCAACGGCCAAAAACAGCCCTCACAATTCCCAATCCTCAAAGAAGAGCTCGAGAAGTAAGGAGAAGACCGATCAGTGGGTTTCGGCTGGCGGCGGCGCCGGATGGGGCCCCGAGACCACAAGTGGCGAAGTCAACTATGGCCCGACGGCGACCGAGATGAGCAAGACCTCGAGCAGCAGCAAGAGTATGCCAGGCGCCTGGGATGTCAACATCCCTCCTTGGGGAGACGCGACTTTGGCGCAATCGACAGGTGGCGCGGCAGATCAATGGTAGAGGTGGTTTTGGCGAAGCCGAGTTCATGGGGAGCGCCTGAAGTATACCACAACCAGGAGAAGTGGAATCGACTGGCGAGAGACATTTGACAGCAGCTGCTTGAACTTTTTTTGGGAGGCCGAGAGATCTCGGTGTTCTGCATTTTTTGGGGGGTGGGGGGTTTCCCAAGCATGGAGGTTATGGGCTTTGGCGATTACATTATTCGATGGGAGTTGCGGGCGGAGGAGATATTGAGTTTTACTACTAGATCTTTTACCCGCATGGGAGGCGCGCGGGACGTTGCAGCTTTCACCTAAGTTTTACGTCAGCGGAAGGACAAACCAGTTGGCACCAGAATCCGACAAAGATAGATCATAAACATTGAAACACATGTGCCAGTCATAGAGTGAGAGTGGATAATTTGCCATTGCTGCAGTCTACAAGATGTGTGCTACCTAAGTACTTTGACATCCTGTCCACCGACAAGAGATGTTCCAGGTTAACGGAGACATTCAGTCGATGAATGAGACAGGAGTCAGGGGGGAAGAAAACGAGCGGACTGTTCTGACAATGCTGCCAGACAAGACATGCGAATCAAAGTGAACGCCGGGCATACCGAGATGCCGACATTGCTTCCCAATTTCTTTGTCAGGTACGCGCATGCATTTACTCCTCCTCCTCGCTCGACTCCTCCTCCGAGGCCTCCTCGAGCCACTTGATGAAGGGCTCGGCGGCCTTGCGGACCTTCTTGGAGGTGGACAGATCGGTGTACTTCTTGCTGGCCTTGCTGCCCCACTTGACGGCGACCTCCTCGCTGAGGAGATCGTGGTTGTAGTACAGCTGGAGGATCTTGATAACCTTGTCAAAGATGTCGGAGTGCTCCTTGGCGAGCTGGCCGATGAGGCGCTCGGTACCACCGAGGAGGGCCTTCTCGTGGCGCTCAGAGGTGACGAACTAAAGGGACAAGTTAGTCAAGGGAGGTTATGAGTCATTGGTCCATACGATGTGAACATACCTGCTTCATCATGCCGGCGCGCTTGGGGACCTGAGCGAGAATGTTATCGTCAAAGATGGTCTGGACCAGAACCAGGACGGAACGGTGCTTGGTCTCGATACCAAGCTCCTTGGCCTTGACAAAGATGTCAATCGAGTCGACCTTGTCAATGCTGCCCTTCGCAGTGGCCTCATCCTGGATCCATGTGCCAAACTCGTCGTAGACGGTGCTGCCGGAGGCCTCGCCATCTTCGTCCTCGTCATCGCCCATGTTGAGCTTCTGCTTGAATTCGCCGGGGAGCTGAGCCTGGCGAGCCTTGACGGCTTCCTCGCTCATATCAACGGCCCACTCGTGCTCCTGGGTCTCAAAATGGTCAATCTCGGGAGCCTCCTTCTTCATCTTCTCCAACTCGTCATCACTACCAACATCCTGGTCGTCGGCATCGTTGGAGCCGTTCTCAGATCCTTCTCCGCCGCTTCCGCTTCCTCCATTCTCCTTGGTACCGTTGGCTTTCGCGCGGCGGGCAGCCTTGCGCTCGGCCTTGTCCTTCTTGCCCTTCTTCGGCTGGTTCTTCAGGATGTAACCGCTAAGCTTCAGACGGAGGTCGACCTCGGAACGCTGGCCACAGGCCTTGCAGTCGAGGAGGATGCGACCATCCTTGATGTTGACGTCGGTCTCGGGGTTCTTGCACTTCTTGCAGAGAACGAAGCGGTTGATGAAGCCATCAAGGTGGTCTTGCAGCTTAGCGGCGTTGTGCGAGCCGTTGATAATCCAGCGGTCGTCAGCGGGGTCAACGTTGGTCTGGGCACCGAGCTCGAAGCCGAAGTACTTGATGACATAGGCACCGGGACGGGCGAGAGACTGAGCGACACTGCTCAAGTTGACGACAACGGTCTTGATACCGTTGCCCTTGCCCTCAATCTTGGTGACAATCTTTTCCATCTTGTAGCGATAGAAAGCGTCCTTGACGTCGCGACGAACGTTGATGAGGGAAGCCATGATTGCGGTATTGGTAGTAGGTGGACTGAAGAAGAGTCTTGGAAGAGTATTTTGGATTTAGGAGGTTATTTGGATCTGGAAGTTAAGGGCTCGGGATGCGAAGCTGGTAGTGCTGTCGGTTAGGCGGGCTAGTAGCATGAAGAAGCCGGAGGTCGTGTTGGTATAGGATCGACGGATTGGCGAGGAAGCTGGTAGGGGAGCAAGAAGGCGGACTCAATGCTCAAGGGTTCTTTTGATGAACATAGGGTAAAGCGAGACTAGATCGTCTTTGCTGTCGAGAATTCATGAACTCCTCTGGGTTCGGGGATTTCAGCCAACGGAACTGATGTTGGGGCTACAAGGTTTCGCTATGCGAAATGATTGCAGCTTGGGGACGAAGTGTCTGAAGACGGTGGTATTGTCGTGCTGATACATAAACTGCTATGTGGCTTGTACCGCGTGAGGGTGGTGTTGTATATTCAACTCTCGCGGAAGAAGACTCGGTGGTCGGGAACGCGACGAGAGAGGAGGCTGCTGGCGATGTTGACGATACTGTGTTGTTGTGGCGGGGTGTGGTGTGGAAAGTGGCAACGTTCTCAGGAGAGGGGTGGGGGAGGGAAGAGGTTTTGTATGCTTGGGAAGATTTTACCGCGGAGGACGCGAGGATGCAGAGATGCCTAAGCAGGGCGGTGAACTGCGATTGCGAAAAGGTGGGTTTAAGATAATTGCGAGATGTGCTCGATGGATCTCCGAGCGGAGGGTTTTGTGCGTTTTTTTCTTGTGGGTGGGAAGAGGAGAAAACGGAGATGACTGGGCAGTGAGCGCAGAGTTTTGGAAAAGGCTGAGGTGGAGTGGAGTGAGTCGGAGGGTGGTGGTGGTAGTGGTGGCGGCGGCGGCAGGACAGGAAGTTCGGAAACACATGAAAAAGTAACTACCAGAAAGAAGTAGTTACCTAGAAATAAAAATAAAAATCCTTGGAAAGAACAAAGTGGACCTAACTGGTGGGCGCTTGCCTACCAATTCACTGCCGCCACAGCACCTCATTCACTAAGGCGCCCCCCCCAAAGAGCACCTCACTCAAGGTTTGGGTGCTGGGGGCGGGAAGTCTGGCGGGCTGGCAGCATGGCACGCTGGCTGGCCCTTGCCTCGTGCCTGTCAGAGTTGCGCCACCACTCAAAGAAACCCCCTGGAGCCGCTCTGTCAGACAGCGAGAACAGCAAGCGAGCCTTAAATCCGAGTTTGAGGTCGTCCTTGACCTTCCCCGCGGCGCCACCGGACCAGTCCTGTGTCCCAAGATGCAACACGCAGCCGGGCAGGGCAGCCAGTTCCACTTGCTGCCTTGCACGTTTCCCGGCCTTTCTTTGGCCTCGATTTTCATTGGCCTCAATGTTCATTGTACGTTCCTGTGCTTTGTGTCGTCCCCCATGACGATACCCAAAGTAGGTAGACACTTAAATACCACAAGGCATCGGCGCAACAACGAGAGGCCAAACCACCTTAAGGTACCCTCTCTCTGTGTTCTTTCCACCCTCAGATGTGTTTCACAAGTCGTTTGTTTCTCTGATGATTATTCCAACACCTTCTGCCTTCATCAGGCAATACATGAGACAGCAAAGGGGGGGGGAAAGCCTAAAAAGCCTGGCGCCGTTTCCTGAGTTCCATTGGCATTTGGAAGGGGGGAAACCGCGACAGCTCCGCGCCGGCAACGGACCAATCAACGGCCTTTCCCGCTTTCATGAAAGCGCAATTCGCACCGCAATTGGGAGGGAAGCTTTCCAAAGGATCCGGGGGCATCAAAGGTACCTAGGTAAAACTAAAAATAAGCGACAAAAAAGAATACCCAACGTAGTAGCATGGGGAACAGGAATTCCCGTTTCGCCATCAGGTGGATCTCTCTGGTCCCGTCTCTGCAGCATGCAGCCTGCTGTCCGCCATTCCTTTTCGCTCGCCTCGCCTCGCCTAACGCCGGCTCCCAAAGCCGAGCCAGTCATTGCCATGCAAGTCATCTCTCGACTTGCAGAATGCGTTGGGCCAAGGTTGGTAGGTATCCAAAAGCAGGGTAGTTGGCAGCGGAAAGCCTGGCTTGTCCACGTAAATGTGTGTGGTTTCCCCAAGCAGGGCCGTACAGGCACGCCGCACAACAACGAACCGAATCACCACGAAATCTTCCCGGCAGGATTGTGACTTGGTATTAGCCCTCTACGGAGTATCATGTCCATTCAACCACATCTGCCAAGCTGTCTCGTTTGTCGAGGCACCTTGTCTTTTACTGATTCAGCATTCCTGCCCCAGACCCCCAGATGCCACTCACGCTACCTACCCGTGCTCCTGTCCCGGAATGATCAAACACTTGCAGAAACGCCCAGACGCGATATGCCATCCATGATTCACGCTGAATGCAACACACGCTATGCAACTTTGACATCTTCCCGTTCCTCCTCCTCCTCGAAAACCCATCATTCCCGCTTCTCGCCAACGGGGACAAACCGCAGCAAACATTTTTGTCCCAGGGGTCGCGAGGAGATGAGTTGGTCCGACATGGCCATCGACTCTTCCGTCATTGACGTCTCAGGAAGCGTCGTGTAACGGGTGTAAATGTCCGTCAACAGAGTCTTCATCTCGGCGAGCGCCAGACTGGTAAAGGTGCCTTGTTAACAGATGGGATCTTTACCCTGGAATATGGAGGTACTCACTGCTTGCCAACACATCCTCGACCTCCGTTGGCAAACGCAAACATTAGCCGCTTCCTCTCCGCGTCACCCGATGGCTCCATCCAACGATCAGGGTTGAATAAATCCGGCTCCGGGAAGATTTCTTCATTGATGCGGTGGATGGAATACGCTTGGCAGCTGACGATAGTCTTCCCGGGGATTGCATACCCATCAATCACCCGCCCGCCCTGGGGCACATAACGCGGCAAAGACATGGGGATGGCAGGAAAGCACCGCAACCCTTCCTGCACAATGGCATCGAGAAACGGCAACTTGTCGAACGCGACCCGGGGGTTCTCCCGCAGCTCGCGGCGCAGCGTCTCCTGGAACCGCAGGGACCGCGGCTGCGAGAGCTCCCACATGAGGAAGCACAGCCCGTCGCCCGTCGTGTCGATGCCCGCCGCCATGTGGTCGAGGCACTCGCCCGCCATGTCGAGCTGGTCCAGCCCCTGGCTGGCCTTGTCGTGCAGCCGGCTGAGGAGCGTGAAGGCGGCCGGGTCGGGCTTCTTGCTGGACTCGATGACAAAGGTGTCGGCGAGGGGCGTCTCGCGGGGCTTGGCGAAGAAGTACAGAAATCGAGAGAGGAGCTTGTGCAGCGCGGGACTGTAGTGCTGAACGAGGCGATCTGTGTTGTTGAGAACCGGTTAGTCTACTTGATGCGCCCTTCAGTAGCTTTGCTCACGGCGAGACATCCGCCAGACCTGTGTACTCACTTTGCAGGCTGTCGTCAGCGGCGACCTGGTGCATCATTTCCTCGTCCGCCTCGTTCTCGAGGCAGTTACTGCCGTACGGATGGAACAGGTGATGTGTAACGCAATCACAGGCGTAGGAGTGAAGGCTCATCTGTAAGAGCAGTCAGGAAGCCGCGTAGGGATAATTGGAACAGGGTCAACATACGAATATGTCGTGGCTCTTGCCCACCGACTTCTCGCACAGGTTGATAAACTTTTGCGACCTCTCCTGGATTCCGCTTAGGGGCACAGGTCGCAGGACGTTACTGTTTGCGTACCGGTCCGCAATGATTCTCTTGCGCTTCGCGTGCTGGAACATGTCGTAAGTTACGATTCTAGCCCAAACTCAAGGCTCGTCCGGGGCCCTACATCTTCCTTATTCAGTGTTGTAAACATGGTCCTGGTCTTGTAAGCTTTTATTGAGTTCAGGCGTCAAGGTTGGTTTCCTCATCATACCTCCGTCCATAGACTTTGAATAAGTCATAAAACTCCGTCTTGTCATAGCCGCTGCCCCCAGAGCAGTAGATCTCCTTGACGGCTTCATACGATGTAAACGAGACTTCGCTTGGTGCTATACGGACAACTGGGCCATACTGCTGATGAAGTGCGTGGATGTACTTTGTCCTCGTTGCTTGCAGCTCATGCCATTTCAGAAGAAGGGAGGTAAAGGCAGATATCCTCGGGCCGGGAACTTTCCACAACGGTGACAAGATGCAGCGAATGAGATATACCGAAGCAAGGACAGCAAATGCTGCTCCCAAGAAGATGGGAGAAAGAAGTAACATGTTGTAGATCTGTTACTCTTATAACATGAACCCGTCGTTGCTCTGGGAAAGTGACAGGATGAGGTAGACGTGTGGAAGTAGGCTCGAATCATGAGCGACGCCAGTACCTCTTATCAGCTCCGTCCCGGGCCCCGATAGCGTTGGTCAATCAGAGGGTTTCGATTCGTAAATGACCAGTCAAGCGCCGGCGCCGATAGGGTGCTTTAGCCCGGGAACGGGGGCTCAGGTGAGGATAACCCACTGAGGGACCCCAAATGAGACGTGAGGGGCAGGGCATCAACATCGATTACCCCTCCATACCTTGAGGTAACTTGACAGCCGGTGATGAAAGGCTCGATCTGGATGAGTTGGGACTTGGGAGGGCCTCATATTCTCATGAAGCCGGAACTTGGTACGGGATCATATCTTTGATTTCAACTCATGTTTTTCTACGCCGCCGCCGCTCATCTCACGCACCACCCTCAACGCCTCGCCAAGTGTCAACTCGTACTAGTACACCAGGTTCAACCTCCCCGCCAAAGCAAACCTCCAAATAAAAGTGCAGGTTCTCCCATTTCTCACAGCTCTCCCTTAGTGCCCTGCTTCGACTTGTCATTCGAATTGCCCCCGAACAAGCTGGTCAACCAAGACATACCGGGAATCGACACAGTGCCTGCCGGGGGATACTCCTTGCCGTTGACGGTGACCTTTGGCGTGCAGGTGCACCACTGGTCCTCGGGGACGCTGCTCAGCGCCGACGGGATGTGTTGGCCGCAGCCGCGCCAGGTTGCCTTTGCTATTGGATGCCGTTAGTTTGCAATGATTTGATAATTGTGGTGGGGTTGGTTTAATCGTCTTACAGCAAGTCGAGCAGGTGACTCCGAAGCACATTGTGGGCGAAAGTAATGAAGGGTGTGTTGAAAGAGAGGTACCGGTGAGGGTATCAAGTTCAAGAGGCGACAGTGTGTATGTAGGTGTATGGGTTGATACGAAGCTTGAAGTCAAGACAATGTTTGAGATAGTCTTTCTGGATGTTGACCAATGTGATAAGGGCTGGTCTACGAGCTCACCTGGGATTAAGTATTCGCGGTGTCCGTGATAGCATAATCCACCCACTTGGGGTCGGCGACCTGCATTGAGCATCGTCACGGGCCGGTGACCCCGATGCAGTGGGTCTCGGAGGGGTATCGCCGACCTCGCTCCCTATTCCGGGGAAGTGGGGTGCTGTCAACTCAGGCTTCCATTGTTCAAATCCATACCTACTTTGGAAGCTTATGACCAAGCTTAGACCAGTGCTGCTTTAGTAATCCTGTGCAATGTCTTCGATTCCATCTCGAGAATGTCGCTTATAAAATGTGTTTGGCTATGAGTGAAGACAAATGTCCCTTTCAGCTAGAGGCCTAAGCTCATGCGGTCCGTCCCGAGTCTATCTTCATACTTGCTGGATGAACTGAGCCACACGCTCTGCTAGCCACTGCTGGGATTCTGGGTTCTTTACAGTGTGGCTTGCTCCGGGAATCAAGCCAGATAGCTCGTTGACTTTGGAGTTTGTCTTCCTCCACGAGTCTATCAGAGCTTGCTTGTCGATCTTGGCTGGCACGAACTCATCTTCTGCAGAGTGTAGGACCATGACGGGCTGCTGGAAATGATTCCAGACCTCGGAGACGAACGACGCTTCGAGGTCGGACGAAAAGTAATCATCATCGCCCCTATGTTGGAGATTAGCATTCCATCCACCTTGTTTCGTAAGTCGAACATTATGGCCACTCACCCCTTAGCTGCCAAAGAATGCCAACGGTAGGCCGTCATGGGTGTTGAGAAGAAGCTTGGCACCAGATCTTTGGGCATCGCTTCGCCCTCTTTTCCATCGGAAATCAGCTTCTCTGCGTGCTCTAGGCTCTCCTTCAACCAGTCAGGTTTGACAAAGTCCTCAATAGACTCCCTGTCAGATGCAGGGCCCTGCATGATGAAGCCATCAACAGGGTCCTCCTTGTGCTTTGTGTACTCCATACAGTCCTATCAAGGTTAGCTGAGTCCCGTAACGATTCGAGACTACTGCAACAACATACCTGACATCCAGTTGAGTGGCCCATCAGGACGATCTTCTTCTTTCCGATACCTCGGAGATACCTCACCAGAGCCGAGATGTCCTCAACGTCGTTCTTCAAGCTTGAGAAGCCGTAGCCAGAAAAGGAGCTCCTCATCCGAATCTCAAACACAGACCAGTCCCGTGCCGCCGTCTCAAGATGCTTGGCTATAGCCTTAGTGTAGCCAACGGTATGAGGTCCATCGGCGAGACCTCCAATGAAGAGGAGGGCATTTGATGCTCCAGATGGGCCGATTTCATAAGCGCTGGAATGAGAGGTTCGGGAATCGAAAGGATGCACCGTGCAAGAGAAAGGAGCCGGGGCCATGGTGAATTATTGAAGCCGTGTCTTACAAGATAATGGCAGTTCGTGAAAAACTCGATCGTTCCTCCTAGCTGAAAGCTTCCTGCTTATCAGAGTTTCTGAGAGTCTCGAGATGCACTTGCTTTCCTTTCTCGCAAGAATTGAAATTGACGTAACCTAGTGGAGGGGAAGCGCATTGGTGGGGGCAGCTCTGCTGTACTGTTGCGGGGCTGCCACCTTCCTTAGCGAGCCAAAATCGCCAAAGGCCCTGAACAGTCGGCTGTTAGTGGAGCTCATCACCGAGGGTTGTTGAAAGGAAGCCACCCGATTGGGCCTACCTTACCTCAAGGTACCTTACTCTACTGTCAATCCTTAGGATTGTCTTGTCAGGCAGGCGTTTCCTGAGTCGAAGTTGCGCAGGTGAACGACAGAGCTTCCATCTTCAACTACCAGTAACCGCGCGAATCATCACAACCTTCTCTTTGTTTGACGTTATACATAACCTCACAAGCCCCGACGATAAACTGTACTAGATCAGATACGTCTCCACTGCGAAGTCACGCGCCGCTGGAGGCTGGCTTGAAATCCTCACCTTCTGCCTCGTAATGGCAACCAATCCCGCCAACGCGAATCCAGCCCGGAATGAGTTCTTCCAGCAGGTTCGTATACCTTGGGATGTATCAATCATATGCTGACCAGTTCATTCAGCTCAAACCATGCTGTGTCTCGATTAGTCAGCTAGCAGTCCGGCAACAAGGAGATTCGTCTTCCTTCATAAAACTCTCTGAGTTGACGGACGAGTTGTACCACATTCTGAACGACCAAGTAAATAGAGATGCCACCGTTCTGGACTCAAAGCTTGCCGACTACGTCTTTTTCCCGCTCTCTCATATTTTCCGCAGTCACGATCAGTACCCCAAGCGCCTAATCGAGCTTGCCATTAAGTGTCTCACCGTTATCATTATTCACGGCTGGAAGTCCAACATCTCGCCCCAGATCTTGCAGCAGCTCCTGATACTTCTCACGTTCATCGTTGGAGGAGTTCCTGGCAGAGAGGGGGAGCACGATTTGCCCGAGGAAACCGAGCTTGAATCGCTTAGAGCATTGACTGCCCTGATCACTGTGGCTGGGACGTCCAGCACAGCAACAGCAGCTCTGACCGAGGAGAAATTGGTGCCGACTCTGGGCCATACCATCACGGTACTCCTGGGGTGTGCAGCGGATGGAAGAACACCAGCTATACAGCTCGAGGCTCTGCGTACCCTTAGCTGCTTCTACACGAGCATCAAGGATCATGCCGCCCTTGCGTCATTCCTTCCTGGTATCGTCTCTAGCCTGACAAAACTTCTTGCCCAGCCCCAACGAGAGAAGACGCGCGTCTTGGTCGGGTCTATCCAGTCGTTGGGAATGGTCCTAGTAAAAGTTCTCGGCGACGTCAGAACCCGGAGCATCACCGCAAGACCAAACTCAGACACTCCCCCGGAGGCCGAACAAGGGGTGGTACTGAGCTCATCATGGCTCAACGCGACAAAATCACAGATCAAGCTGGCTTTGGCAACAGTTTTGAAACTCCGAACAAGCGATAATCTAGACGTGCGTGAGGCGCTGCTAGCCCTCTGCCTTGGACTTCTCGACGAATGTCATACCTCCCTCGAAAATTGCTCCTCCTTATTGATGGAGACGGCAATGGTCATCTCGCCAACACATCCAACGACATCTTTGACCGGTACAAGTCTGCAGGATTTGGCCATCATCTATCCTGAACTTGGCGAAACCGTGAAGGTCACTTGTTACAACTGGATCACCAGCTTGCCCAGAATCATGCAGTCTGCCGATGAAAGCAAGAAACAGGCCGCCGTTCGAAACCTGATGAAGGGCATGGCTCTTGTCAGTAGCCTTCAGCTTGATTCCTCACTTTTGGACGAGTCAATAGCGGCGGCTCTAAGGGACAGTGTTACGTCTCTCGTAACTGGAGCGAAGCCTAGTAAGATCGTGGACGAAACAACGCCGGATGCCTCATGGTACAACCAAGACATTGTGAGAGCAGGAGATACCTCTAAGCAATATCCCACTGTCTTGTTGGGCGAAGAGAGTCAGGTCGAAACGAGGTCAGCCATGATCGACTTGCTCTCCAACGTTGGACCCGCCTCGCAACAGACCAGACTTGCTGCCGAAATGCTAGACCACGCTAGGGACTCGGTGGGAGATGCTCAGATAGCCTCTTTCTGGCTGAGCTTCGAACTCCTCAAGACTGCCTTTTCTCGTTCTAACGAGCTCGATGATCTCCTGGACTTCTCTTCCCTGGGCTCTGGGGGCGACGATCCCGAATCTACCTTCCAGGAACTGTATTCATTTGCCGTTATTTTGCTCGATTCGCACTCCGAACTAACCGAAATCGATTGGAGGCTAGAGGCTACAGCACTTGAAGTGACCGCCTTTGCAGCATCTCGATCAGGCGAAGCTTTCAGGCCAGAACTCATTGACGTGCTGTATCCGACGACGGCGTTCCTTGGCTCTGCGAGCTCACAATTAAGAGAGCATGCAATCACGACTTTGAACATTCTAGCTGTATCATGCGGGTATACGAGCGTTTCCGAACTGATTATTGAGAACGTCGACTACATGATCAACTCTATTTCGCTGCGACTCAATACTTTCGATATCTCGCCAGCATCCACGAAGGTGTTGGTGATGATCACTCGCCTAACCGGGTCGCGACTGCTGCCGTACCTCGACGATGTCGTGGCTTCCATTTTCGCAGCCTTAGACAACTACCATGGGTACCCAGTATTTGTCGAAAGTCTGTTTGCAGTGCTCAAAGAAGTTGTGGAACAGGGTGTGAAGTCTGATAGACTTCTTTTGGAGGGCCGACAGAATGGACCAGAAAGCCACAAGAAAGCCGCTGGCAGTCACGTTACGATTGACGACATTGTCAGTTTATTGAAGAGACGTCAGGAAAGAGAGACTGAAGCCTCGATCGACGATGTCAACAACTCGACGGATGGTCATCCACAAAAGCCTTGGGGTGAGAAGGACCAAAAATCCAAAGATGACGTGGAAGAGGAAACCGACGAGGACGCTGCGAACCATGAAGTCGAAAAGGAGAAACCACCCAAGACACCAACGTATACCCTACTGGAGAAAATCACCGGCTTGACCCAACACTATCTTACCTCACCCAGTCCCACATTGCGAAAGTCGTTACTCGATCTACTGGCCACCGTATCTCCAGCTCTTTCAGGCGATGAAGACTCGTTTTTGCCGCTGATCAATGCTGTGTGGCCGGTGGTCATCACCCGGCTCTACGACGAGGAGGCGTTTGTCACCATTTCAGCCTGCGATGCCCTCTGTGCGCTCTCCGCCACCGCCGGAGACTTTCTAGCCTCCAGAATCAAGACAGAGTGGTGGGACGGGCTGGGAAAGTGGTGTCGAAAGAAAAAGCTAGAGGCTATCCAGTCTCGAGGCAAGGGAAGTACGCACCGAGAGAGTACTAGGCCAGGCCAGACCGCCGCGACTACGAGTCAGGGAATCGTCGTTCCCCCCATGACAGGAAGCGATCGGCTAAGCTATCAATCCACAGAGATAACGAAGGGCTCGGTATCAGGCGGCTTGGGCAAATTCGCTCAATCTGCGCAGATCTGGGATTCCGTCATTCGCATGTTGACAGCTATCGTTTCACATGTTCGTCTTGACACCGAGATATTTGACGAAGTGCTGGGTCTTTTGAGCGAAGCACTTAGCCAGAACGCTGAAGCACGTCAAGCCTTGGAAGCAGTCAATGGTGATGCAGTCTGGCTAGCCATGTACCAGCAGGGACAGGTCAAGGCCCCTAGCCTGCCTAAGCTAGACGGCGTGACTTTTGCACACTTGACGACGGTGAGCTGATGATCGCCTCGGATGTATCTCAGCCCTCACGACGGATAGCTACGGATACGTGCAAAGCTTCGTGCTGCGGATCGTTCGACGGGAGCTGCAAGATCACATAGCAGCAGCTATCATCCAACATCCGCCAATAGGAACACAACCGCCGGCCTGATGGAAGCTAGAAGAGCGCTAGAATGATTTTGGCCTACAGAAAGTCCAGATTGGCACCAGGATGGCTTCTATTGCATGAGAACGATCACAGGTTGGGGATGGAGCTGAAGATGTGACAGCTCTGAGCTGCATGGCACCACGGGGAGCATCTTCGGGCGACCTTGGCGACCTTGGCGCCTTAGGACGCCCGATAGCTGCACAGAGAACGCGTAGAAGATTGTCGTCTGACGCGGGGTTGCGCACCATTTCCATCTTCTCGGCGAGTCCGGCCACTGCGACAACAGGGGGTAGAGCTGATAACACTCTGAACGTATCCGTGATCCGATATGATAGGTGGTAGAAACGGATAAGCAAGATACGAGCGCTTCGCTTGATGATTACAGCACCCAGGTGCCGCCAACCGCGATTGACGAGCGAAACAACATAACAGGCACTTTCACACCAAAGGTACCAAATTTGTGCAAAGATCAAGTGTTCCATCGCCCTTGTTTCAATTTGGGACGAGGGGGGGCCACGCGAACACGACTTCTGGGGGGATGCCTGATGGTGGCTGCAGAGAGCGAAATGAGGGCGACTACCCCAGATCCCCACGGAGACTCGATTTACACTACGCAGTACGGGCAGAGTAACCGAGAGGCAATCGACGGTTCGGTGACAAAATGACACATTCCTTTTCAGGAAGAAGGCATCATCCTTCGCGGGAACGGTCCTACCAGATGCAGTATCGGTCACCTGCACCAAGGCCAGAAATCGCACGCTTCACCGGATCGTCTGGACGCGATTTCGAACAAAAGTGCTGCAGCAGAATGGGGGCGGGGCGATGGAGAGGAAGTGCGGGTGGTCAAGAAGCTAGGACTACCAAGACTCCAAGAGATGCCCTCAAATGCTTGGCCTTAAGCCGGCCAATGATATCTCTAAACTCAGTTGCCGCCAAAGCTTGATTTGTCTCGGCATCCAAGGGACCAAGAACTTCAGGCGATGATCACCTCAATTTCCATCCTGTCGGATCACTTCTTGCCACCTCTCGACACCGAGAGGGCTATCCATCCCATCGCGATAACACATATTGTATGCTGTCAATTATTATTTGAGATTGCGACGGGTACGAGAATTATGATTACTAGTTGCGTTCGCCCCGAGTCAGATCATGGCGCCATACTCGTTCGCATTGGGGGGGACGCTACGCCTCACCTGCTGTCCAATGAACCGGGGCGTTTGGTCAGTCATCTGTCCGGGTCTAAATGGGACAGTCTTCTAGAACAAAATGAGCCTGACGAAAGGAATGCGGCAATTATTTGCCAGATAGTGGAGGCGCCATGCAACCTTTTACTCGGCCGTTCGTCTGTTGGCGTACGAAGATCGCGTGCCTTAGGACTTGGGACTTCACCACCAGAGATGCTCTTCGCGCTTCCTCGGAGTGTCAACTACTTGTTGCCTAGAGGCCGAAGCCAATAGCCCTGCCGTTTTGAAGCCACGACGACGGCAGTCGCTACACTCGAAGTCAATTGAATAATGACATTGACTATTTGGAACACCAAAGGAGCGCCCATGGGATGACAGCTAGGCACGACAAAAGATCCAGGAACGAAAACCCAAACACACAGAACCAAAGCTTGCTGAAGCATGCCACCCTTGGGCCTTGGGCTTGAAGCTCTCATAGACCTCAGGACAACCTTCTGCTTACCTTCCTTATCTGTACCACTGCAATTCGCACCCAGCTTATCACTCGTGCAGGGGTATTAGACAAGGGATGGCTGGTCTCAGGAAGCTGGGGAGGCCCGCCGGGGGAATGATTGACCCTAGAGTATCGCCGAGAAAGCCAAGATATCAAACTCACTCGGGCCAATCAAGACCATCTCTGTCGATTCAACCTCACTTACCAATTGGTGTAAGCTTCGCCCGAAAACCAGGCTAAGACGAATGGGCTTACCCTTGTCGAGCAATACGCATGCCGTGCCGGGTGACAATGGGACCACCCCCAGGCTCGCTCGCATATCGAGGGTCGTGAACCAATCTGCTTTGGCTCTAGTACCGTTGGGGGCAACTGTCTTATCGTCGGTGAAAGCTTGTCCTGTCCACCTCCTCCGAGATGTCTAGGGTCTAGGCCTCACATACGACCTGCCATCCATGCGGAAGAACGGGATTAGGAGGACGGCGTTGCCGGGGACTGGTAGGCCAGAGTCCTGACCCCATGGCACTGGTACACTTCTGTTGCACCCAAGCTGGGCCAGGGGGAGAGACAGAGTGCGCGGCATCAAACGCTGATACCTGTCCATCAAACTGAAGAATACCAGGCTTGTCTTGCTATTCTGTGTGTATATATATACCAGGGCCTCTTGGCGCCAACCCTCGTGGTATAGGTTGCATTCCTCGTTACCTCGTTTCTCTCCAAACCCAACAACGAGTTCGAGGAGCCAGACTCACTTGGTATCAGTCGTCAATATGTCGCACCACCAACCTGCCGCCGTCGATGACGACAAGCACGACGCCAAGGACCCTGTGGTGAACAGCAATGGTAGCTACGAGGGATCTCGCGATGAGGAGGTTGGAGTTTTCACAGATGGGGAGCCCCTTCAACGGAACCTGAAGAACAGACACATGCAGATGATCGCCATCGGTAAGTTTCTCTATAATCTACTGTTCTTTCCAAGCTCTCGCAGTTTTGCTGACTCTTTACTACAGGCGGTGCCATTGGTGCTGGTCTTTTCGTCGGTTCTGGTGGTGCTCTTCGAAGTGGTGGCCCTGCCGCCTTGGTAAGAAGCCCTCGACAACGCATTGGAAGGTCAAGACTGACGACAAGAACAACAGGTTATCGGTTACATGATTGTCGGATTCATGTTGATGCTTACTACCCAAGCCCTCGCTGAGATGGCTGTCTTGTACCCCGTTAAAGGTGCCTTCTACACATACGTCTGCCGATTTGTCGATCCTTCCTGGTGAGTACCATCACACGACTTCGCTATTCGCCCCCTTTCTAACATTCACATGAGGGGTTTTGCCATGGGCTGGGACTACGCCATCGCCTGGTTGACCGTCTTGCCCTTCGAACTCGTTGCCGCCAGCATTACGATCAAGTTCTGGCGCGATGATCTTAACATGGGTATCTGGGTTGCCGTCTTCCTTGTCGTCCTCGCCATCATCCAGGTCTTTGGCGTCCGCGGATACGGAGAGGTCGAGTTTGTTCTCAGTCTCATCAAGATCGCCGCCTGCATGGGCTTCATCATCCTCGGTATTGTCATCAACTGCGGTGGCGTCGGCGACAGGGGCTACCTCGGTGCCAAGTACTGGCACGACCCGGGTGCGTTCCAGAACGGCTTCAACGGTTTCGCCGGTGTCTTTGTCGTCGCCGCTTTCGCCTTTGGTGGTACTGAGCTCGTCGGTCTCGCTGCTGCTGAGTCCGACAACCCGCGCAAGGCCATCCCCATGGCTAGCAAGCAGGTCTTCTGGCGTATTGCCTTCTTCTACATTGTCAACCTCTTCATCCTCGGTCTCATCGTCCCGGCCAACGACCCCCGTCTCTTGGGTTCCTCCGGTGCCAACACCAAGGCCTCCCCCTTCGTCCTCGCCATCCAGGATGCCGGCATCAAGGTCCTCCCCTCCATCTTCAACGCCGTCATCACCATTGCCGTCATCTCCGTCGCCAACAGTTGCACCTTCGGTTCCACCCGTACGATGCAGGCCATGGCCGAGCGCGGCATGGCCCCCCGTTTCCTCGCCTACGTTGACAAGCAGGGCCGTCCCATCTGGTGCGTCCTGATCCAGATCGCCTTCGGTCTCCTCGCCTTCGTCGGAGAGTCCGCCGACAGCAGCACCGTCTTCAGCTGGCTCCTCGCCCTCTCCGGTCTCTCCTACTTCTTCGTCTGGGGTTCCATCTGCCTTGCCCACGTCCGCATGCGCATGGCCTGGAAGCTCCAAGGCTTCACCCTCGACCAGATCCCCTACAAGAACCCCTGGGGCATGTGGGGCAGCTGCGTCGGTCTGTTCCTTAACATCATCTGCCTCATCGCCACCTTCTACAACGCTCTCTACGTAAGTTTTTTTCCTTTTCACTCTTAGTGGGCACATGTATCACAAAGTTTACGTTGCTAACGTTCCCCATCACAGCCCTCTCCCAACGCGCAGCCCGACGCCACGACCTTCTTCCAGGCCTACCTCGCCGCCCCCATTGTCATCTTCCTCTACCTCCTCTGGAAGCTCATCTCCCGCGACTGGCGCCTGTATGTGCCCCTCCGCGAGGTCGACCTCAAGTCGGGCGTCGTCCTAGCCGACCCCTCCGACGAGCCCGAGGAAGTCAAGACCTGGGCCAACCTCCCCAAGCGGGTGGCTCGTGCCTTGTTCTAGATGGGCGAAGTAGCCACGATTCTACATCCGAGAAAGACGACGAGATTCTCTTCTCCTCTCTTTGGCCTGTGGTAGACAAAGCATGGCTGTGGAACATTTGAAAAGGAGGCGAACCTCGCATATAGATTGTACAAAACACTCGAAAAAGTACTTTGATGAGGATGGGGGATGTCATTATACTAAAAGATACCAATGTTGAATTTTTACACTTCCTAACAAACGTTCTACTTGCCTTCGTGAAGAGTCACCTACATGACCTGCAAAGTACTTGACTAGGAGGTCACACAAACCCTTAGGTACAGGATGGACGCAGTGTGAGGCTAAGCCTTAGTCCTCACATTGGAACGAATGTAGCGGGGTTACACTGACAACTAATATACTACCGTGGAAACTCAAGTAAAAGGGAACGAATGCACACAGTCGAGCAAAGAATGAGACCAAGGTTCGGGTTGCAAATGTTTCTCCAACTACTAGACGTCGCCGGCAATTATATGTACAAGAAAGGGTTCTATCGGAAGGGAGAGGGGAGCCTCGATTCAGCACAGCGCTGTTCGCACAATGAAAGAAAAAAAACAAGTAACCGTGACGATCCATGCGCTCGCTTGTCCAGTGTATATATTCAATTCTACAAAGCCAAACCATCTCCGTCTCTATAACGGCTTGGTAGATGTTGTAGTCAGCTAAACCAAGCCTTTCTATCTGCTAGTTCGCTGCTCGCCCGCCTCCGCTGCAAGGTCTCTCTCCACCATCTCGATCGAGCCCAGACTGGGGAATCGCTTCGAGAAGTCCTGGACGTAGTCATCCTTCTCCTTGGCTGACATCTCCAGCACCGGTCGCCCGGGGAGTCCAACACCTACGAGATGCTCAGAAGACATGGATTGCGATGGGTGAGGCTGCTTCGGTGGCGAGCCCGGTCTACCGCCAGTCGGCAAGCTGTTCAAGTGCATTGGCTTGCGAGGTGCGACTGGCCTCGGTCCTGGTGTAGACCGTCCCGCTGTTGGAACGGGCTCATTTGCAGAGGGCCGTACTTTATTGACCATAACATCTGATGAGTTTGACGGCGTCATTGGGCGAGGTTTGGCGCCGCCCACTGGCTTCCTAGGGATATCAGGAAGCTGCTTGTCTCTGCCGGTGGGCGAAGATGTATCTGTGTAAATACCATACCCCTGAGCAGTGCGCGGAACTTGGACTGAAGACTTCTGCCCCTCGCTCAACAGATTTTGAACCCGGTTCTGGATACTGACAGCCCGAGAAACGCCACCAATGCTCTTCGGCAGCGATCCGGGGCCGCCGGAACCTGGTCCTTGGTTGGTGAATCTTTGACGATACTCTGCCGCCGCCGCTTCAACGCGACGTTCTTCCTCCTCAAGGCGCAAACGCTCCACCTCACGTCTCATTGCCGGCGTCATCTCTTCGGTCTCCTCCATGCCTTTACCGTCGTCGGTTCGACCATCGGTGGCTTCCGATCCCTCGATAGGGTCCAATGCACTAGTCCGGTCGAGCTGCTTGAGCGGCGATGGGGTCCGGGCAGGTGGTGGTGCTTGGTTTCCCTCGAAACGTTTGAATGCATCTCCAAACTTGCCAGCAAACATACTCTTCGTCCCGGACAAAGAGCCAAGACTTCCGCGTTTGCCATGCTTAGAGTGCCAGTCTCGCTTCTTTGAGTCTGACTCTTCCATACTGCGCAAGAAATCCACGTTGGACTCGATAGGGGCTTCCTCTTCCGGCTCTGCTACTGCAGGAGATGGCACCCTGTCGGGGAACTTGTTGGGGGACATGAGACCGGGAGAAGGAAGGGCCTTCGAAGAGCCTTCTTTCTCTCGTAGGAAATCTAGATTAGATTCCAAATGAGTGCTTACGGGCCGCGGGCGTCCATCAATGGATCTTCTCGACTGAGCACTTGCATCGAGCAGCTCCAAACTTGGCCGACCTCCTTCAAGCGACGGTCGAGAAGACGACGGATGTCGCACGTGCGTTGGGCGCAGCTGATATGAGGGAGCGCGAGGAAGCGATCCCTCTTCATTTCCTGGGCGCAACGGTAGAGCCTGGTCTTGCTGACGAGGAAGGCTCGTAGACCGGTGATGGTCTGTCGTTGGCACCTTCCACACGGGTATCGCTTGCGGAGGCTGGTGTTCAGGTGGAGGGGAAGCTGTCATTGTCCCAGTTGACACATATCTCGACGACTGTGGCTGAGGCTGAAACTGCGGCTTGGTCTGTGAAGAAATCGCCTGCAGTTCTGGGTTCTTGTTAATGATGGCGTGCGCCCTGCTCATCTCAGTTGGCTTTGGGGGAGCAGATGCTGTCTTGGTGAGTCCCGCCGCACCTGGAGGAGGCGATTTGACCGTTGGCGGCGGGTAGGAAGCAGTGACTGCCGGCGCGACAGTTCTCGGTCTGGCCTGCTCCGGGTTCTTGGGTGGAGAGTGGGATATCGGGAACTGATCCGCCGACCTGTCGGCAGACCTCGGGACCGGGACTCTCTGCTGTTGTGTTGGGGGCGGCGTATGAGAGTCGAAGCTGAATTTTGTACCATGTTCATGAAGGATGGAAAATTGATCAACAGGCGGGAATCTAGACGCAAATTCATCGACATCTCCAGCCACAGCTGTAGCCACAGCTGTGGATGGCGCCGCCGCCGCAGCAGCAGCCGGCGCATCTAGAGCAGCGAAGGGGTCTCCGTTTGTCACCCTCATAGGAGACGGACTCGGTTTAGCCGCTTGGGCAGGCTGAGGTTGCTGGCTAGCAGCCGGCAGCCTTCCTCTTCTCATAGGAACGATGTCGGGAATGGCCTCCTTCTGCTGAGCAGGCGGGGAGAAGACGGCGCCGACCTTTGGTTGGGCTTTCTCTGTAGCAGAAGGCCGGCTCTGCTGAGCTGAAGGCTGTTTTCCGGCATAGATCTGTACAAGTGTTAGTCAAACGAACAGTCGTGATGTCTGTGGAATAAGGGACTTACATCGTGGATAGGAACATCTCGTCCTTGCATTGCACATCCCTCGCGGAGGACCTGGTAAATATTTGGTCGTGCCTGGGGACTCTCGCGCAGCATGGATGCTAGCTATGTTAGTTACCGTGAGGTGGCCAAGGTTTCTGGGTACTTACCAATAAGTTTCTTCAGCCGGTCCGAGAACACAGGGTAGCTGGGATACTTGAAGCTCGCGTTGAGAATGGCCAATTGTCCCTGATCCTCGAAAGGTGTTGTATAGTAGCACAACTTGTACAACAAAACTCCCAGAGCCCAAATGTCTGACTTTTCGTCGATGGGCTGTTTTCGATAAACATCAACCATCTCTGGACTTCTATACTGCATAGTGGTGTGCTTCTGGACATCCTCGTCCAGAAGTCTGCATTCGACGACGGTCTGGGGCGCGGGTTTGGGCGGGGCAGCAGATCCAAAATCGCAAAGCTTGAAACGCTTCTGGGAACCATTGCTAAGGATCAAGACGTTTTCGACCTTCAAATCGCGGTGAAGAAGCGGTGGCTTGAGGTAGTGCATACAGGCGACACCTTCCGTTATGTCGGTAAAAATGTGGAGGATCTCGGGTTCGGTCAAGCGGTGTTGTAAACGCGTGTTCATGAAGTCAATGAGTCCGCCTCCGTTGCAGAATTCCATGAGTAGGAACACCTCGTAGCCTCCCCCTCGCATTTCTGATGCATGGGAGTCGATGTATGTGACGATGGGTCGATGGCCCTTGAGCCTCTTCATGGTTTCGACCTCGATTCGCATGCTGCGCAGAGCCTCCTTATCGGGAACAGCGACTCTTTTCAAGACAGCCATATCGGTGCCGTCGACGGCTTTCGGAAGCTTAACCAGGTAGACGTGTGCGAAGCCTCCCTCGGATAGGTATTTCTGGATTACCACCCTGTGGCCTCCGACCTGTATCTTCGTTCCGGGCGTGAAGGTGCCAGCAGGCGCCGTAGCCACAGGGGCAGGCATTGGTGCGCCATAGGTGGCAGGGTGAGCAGCTCGAGGAGCTGCGGCAGGCACATGATGGCCGTAGGATGCCATTTCGGCTAGATGGCTTCGGGGAAGTGTCGTCGGTAGGTATTGTGGCCGTCCGGAGTATTTAGTCAGACTGAGGGCGTCGTGGGTCAGCGGGAGGTTGAGGTCGGTGAGATGCTAGACGGTGAGAAAGCACGGGAGTGACAGGAGAGGGAAAGTGGCATTGACGAGCGTTTGCGACCCGAGCAAGGAACGATCAAGCCATTCTTGGGTGTCGATGGTATTGATGGTGTATATTGGCGTCCTGGATGAGTTGGTTCTAGGTTGCCATCCAGCTGGACCTGAACTTGGACATGCGTAGTGCGTAGTTCGCAGGTATGGAGTGTCCCTCGGCCGCTGTTAGTGGTGGAGCGCTGGCATAACGGCCTTGGGAAGTAACCAAGACCCTGGCACATCCTGTTCCATGTTTCGCAATGCAGTCGGGGAAGTGTCGGGTAAATGCACCGTAAATGCTGTCATTGGTTGGACAGCTGCAGCAAAGGTGCGGGCCAGATGGCACCAAGTGTGGGATTTCGTCTGATCCCGTAAACGGTCAGGCAGAGACCCAGATTCGTTGGTGGGGTAGATTCAGCTACCCACGTCGTTTTATCGATATCGGATAACGATAAGACGTTGATCGAGTCGATAAGGTAATTTTTTTTCTTTGCCCGGGTGTCGAGCCGCTTTGCGCTGCAGAGCTGCAACTTTTTTGATCTGATCTTGCACGCTAGAAAACCTACGCAGGCCTAAAGAAACGACGACGAAGACAATCAAAATGGTGGCCAAAAGAAAGAGAGTTGAGATCGTGGAGGCGACTCCCGCATCCAAGGCAGCGCCCTCGAAGAAGACCAAGGCAAACACCAATGGCTCTGCTTCCAGACCGTCGAAAGCGTCTAAGGCGTCCAATGCGAAGGAGACAACAACTCTGACGGGCCCCGCCGAAGAGGTGACGATACAGATTGTCACCGGCTCCTACGACCGAGTCCTCCATGGTATCACAGCGACGATCAAGCCAGAGGGCAAGGTCGAGTTCGCCGACACTTTCCTGTTCTCTGCGCACACCTCGGCCATCCGCTGCATCGCCCTGTCGCCTCTCTCGGCACCTATTCCCGGCCAAGGCCAGAAGGTCTTGCTGGCATCTGGCAGCACCGACGAGCGCATCAACCTCTACAACCTTTCAGCGCATCCCCCGAACCGCAAGAACCAAGACGCCCTTTCTGCCGTCGCCGCTCGCCCGATTCTCGAGAACCCCAAGAACCGAGAGCTGGGAACGTTACTACACCACTCGTCGAGCATCACCAAGCTCGCATTCCCTACCCGATCGAAGCTGCTCTCCTCGAGCGAGGATTCCACAATCGCCGTCGCCAGAACGAGGGATTGGTCCGTCTTGTCGACTATCAAGGCACCGATAGCCCAGGCCTCGGGCAGACCCAGCGGTGACACTGCGCCCTTTGGCGGCGCGCCATCCGGTGTCAACGACTTCGCCATTCACCCCAGCATGAAGTTGATGATCAGCGTCAGCAAAGGCGAGCGGTGTATGCGACTGTGGAATCTTGTCACTGGCAAGAAGGCCGGTGTTCTGAACTTCAGTCGCAAAATGTTGCAGGAGGTAGGAGAAGGTAGACACTCGACGGGAGAGGGACGGAGAGTAGTTTGGGGAAAAACAGATGATGAGGATGAATTCGCGGTTGGATTCGACCGGGACGTTATCGTCTTTGGCATGGACAGTGTTCCCAGATGCCGTATCATGCCCGACGCAAAGACAAAGATTCACGACCTATCCTACGTCACCATTGACGGCGAATCCGAATCGAGTCTATTGACGGTGTGCACCGAGGATGGACGGGTCTTGTTCTTCTCTACCAAGGCAGACGACCTGACGAAGCCTGACTCAGAAGACAAGACTCTGTCGAGCGCCAAGTTGGTCGCTCAGATCGGAGGCAAGGAAGATGGTGTTGTTGGCCGCATCAAAGACACGGCTATTCTGCAAGTCCAGGAGGGCGGTTCCACGGCACTGCTGGTGGTTGCTGGCAGCAGTGATGGCAAGTTGCGGGTATGGAAGATTGGCGCAAAGGAGCTCACCGCCGGCAAGGGTGAGAAGGCTGGCAAGTTGCTAGGAACCTATGGCACCAATAACCGCATCACGTGCGTAGCGGCATTCACGATGATTCCTCGGCCAGAGGGAGTGGAGGAGAGCGAGGACGAGGTGGATGAGGACTCTGATGAGTCTGAGGATGACGACGATGAAGAGTAAACTACAACGACTGTGCAATAGCAATGATAATTCAAGATATCCGTGCAATTCCCGTGTCAATTCGTGGTCGTCGGGCATTGTAGAGTTCCATTCCGACCGAATGGAAGTGTGGATGTCAAACGGCGGTCGGAGAGACGGCTCCGACTTGCCGTTGCCGGGCGTCGCGTCGTTGATTTCTCAAACTGGCCCGTGCTGCAATCCGCTGATCGGCATCAGGCGTGTCTCGTATTAGTCTGCAGATTGCATGCCAATCCCCAGTTCTGTTCTTTGGCACGGGCGTTTACAATTAGATGCGTCGACGGCCTCGATGGGCTGAAGGTCCGAGGGTTGATCTTGGCCACGGCTTCGGATCAAGGTTGGTCTAGTAGTGATGGGCGCGTGGTAAGCTGAGAAGTCCGAGATATTTGCAGAACGGGCTGACCACCTTAGTTAGTGCAACATGGGGAATGGAATAAATTGACAAGACGTGGACTGAACCCAGGGACACGAGAAGGGACAAGCGTGTCGAGAGTCGTGTTCGAAGTTTCCTTCACAGGCGTGGCTCCAGGCGTGCAATGCCTGAGTAATAGGTGATATAATTCGGATTTCATGTTGGTGTCTCTGGAAATAGTGACTCGAAAGGGAAACGAGGGTTAGCCGGCGAGACATTAGACCATGACGGCCCACGGGAAGCAAGGCTATCGCCGTCTTCCCGCTTCCCCCCGCCCCCCTTGGGGCCTTCGGTACCTACCTCGCCCTGATTGAGAATCCTGCTGGGCTGCATAGTCTCAAGTCTAGCAATTGAGTCTTAGTCATGACTCAAACTTGCGAGTTTTCATCTCCATCGCGTTCCCCCCTTCGTTCTCCTGTGATTTGATCCAGGGAACATGTCTGAATACGCGGACTGCTCGGAAACGGTCAAATATCATGGGCCAGCCCCTCTTTACGCCGAGTATCAAGCATTAGCTAAGCTGGCAGGGAGGTAAGGGTGGCGGTCGGTCGCACCTGCAAGGGTAGGTAGTTTCGCGGCTCTTAGAACACGCCAGGAGAGGGGAGCGTGGAGAAGAAGCCCGATTCTCAGGTGAAGGAAAGAGCGGAGAGCTAGCTGGTACGGTCACGGGACCGCACGGGTGGATTTTGAAGGCACTTGGAGAGAAAGAAACGCGGTCATCCGCTGCCACTTTGTGTACCAAGTAGGTATCGGTCTGGCTGGGCGGGAGCGATCAGTGAGGTGGTACCACTGGTGCTCCTGCGAAACGGGGTGACGGGGTGACGGGCTAGCAGAGTGTGGGGTAGCGGCGAATCAGCAGGTCAAGAATGTCATTTCAGGAGCCAACTCTGGTGGTCGAGGGGACCTCCCACGATGCTGCACGCTCCTTGCACCCAGTCATGTGGCTCCACCGGGACACACAGCTTTTGCATGCAGTTGGGGCTTGGCGGGACTTGGAGTCCCCTAGCTTCCGGCTCATATGCCCGGGCGTCCTTCTTTTCGCTCCTCACCAATCCGAGGGATGCCAATGCTCAACAGCGGGGGGAAAAGACTGTTTAATTGTGTGCAGGTACGAAAAGGTGTGTGCGAAAAGTGCAGAAATTTTGGGAAGCTGCCTTACGGTCCACAGTCCGTTTGGTCACCGTGGTCACGCAGCATATCAGCATCAGCACCACTTTGATGTACCTATCAACGACTGTAACGGCGGTCCAGTCAACGGCAGGTGTGGTGCATATGCATACAGATTCTGGAGAGGAGAAGGCAATGCAAGCCTTGCACGTTGGAGGCGACTAAAGTACCGTGGGTATGTAGGTATGAATGCAGAAAACAGAGGCATGTTGCGGTGCGGTGCGGTGCAGGCAAGCCGCAAGAACATGGGTAGGTCTCCATAGCTACTACCTATGAAGGTACCCCAGGTACGAGGCAAAGTACGGAGTATACATATACGACCTACAAAACCGAGTATCCGCACTCAAAACAAAATGTACTTCGTCCCTGCAAAACGGCAATGCAAATGCGCAAAGTCCAGACATGTGAATGTTCCTACTTCCCCAGTTCCCAGCCCTCCTCCACTCCCCTCTTCTCAATTTTCTCTTTCTCGTAACTCCATGCAACAACCTCTTCCAACCTGCTTACCCGTTGCTGTTCATTCCCCCAAGCCACACAACGCAGAGACCACACCACCATCACGCTGTGATTCCCCTCTTCTCGTCTGTTGCCCGCATCTGTTTTACCGTTCATGTCTCGTCCTTGGTCGTAGCCGTCGTCGTTCCGGACCAAAGACGCGCATGAGAATACCTACACGCCAGCCATTCTTCGTACATGCAGCAGACTCACGGCCGCTGAGAACAGACCCTCACGCCTTCCATTGCTTACGGTACTCGCCTGCCACGGACGCCAGCAAGCCACAGCGAACTGACCTCTAAGAGATGATGCCGCCGTCGCCACCTCCTTCACTCCTGTCACCCTAACCTAACGCCTTGTGCCCATTTTCGTCACTCACGTCTGTTTATAGCTGGTCATCTTGACTGCTTCTTTCCCCGGTATAGGCATATTGGTTCTTTCCTCTCTTCGCTATCCCTCCACTCCACCCACCACCAAACTACACGACATCCTGTGGCAGGGTTGTCTTGCATCAGCTCTTCCGAACCAACTCAACCTCGACCTCTCACCTTCCACGCTTACCTGTCGAATTTCCCAACAAAATATACGACCCTGGCTGCCTTATAGTACTACGCAACCACGACTCTTCCAATCTCTCTCCAGCTCCCTCTGTTCGTCCGAATTTCTCGTCATCTTAGCTCGAGGCAAACCCCGTAGCCCACGTGAGGCGAGACACTTGCCTCTTCGTCTGAACTTTACCTGTGACGACAACAATACCTCTTGCACAGTCGAATGCGGGGACCGTCTGGGTACTCTTATACGTAGACATTGAACCTCGCTGCCATCCGGAGCCCGAGCCTGCACCCTCGCTTCTACCTAACTGTGAGCACATAACTGAGCCCTACACCCCCTCGTCAACTAGCTCTTTGACTGATCGTGTCCTATAGCCTCCAACACCTCCCTTGCTTCCCCGCTACCCCACGAACTACAAACATGTCCGACGACGGCCCCCGTCTTATAAGGCCTATTCCTCGCCGTCCCTTCGAACTGAACCACATTGCTCCGACTCCTCCAGAAGAAGACTCGTCCTCCCCCAGTCCGAACCCCGAACTCGACTTGTCTAGACTACAAAATGCCCAGACGACATCCTCGGAGTCTGGCTCCATACCTCGCGCTCAGTCGGTCCTTAACATGACCGCATCGACGCTGTTTGGAATCTACTCGCCAACCACATACGGCAGAGACTCCCGAGATGAGCCAGATACCCCCTGGGGCACTGGGGCGCAAACACCAATCAAGAGGGCCAACGTTGACGACACAACGTTTGAGCTTATGAAGGACCGCTCCAACCTGTTGCGCCGACGGTCTTCGTACCGAAGTGGAGCGAAGACCCCGCCGCCCTCGACAGCAACCACGGCCCTGTTCAATGTGTCCCGCATTGCACTGCTCTTTGTAATCGGCATGGGATACGGACTAATGGTCACGAGGTTGCAAAACGAGCACAGATTTTCGTCGTTCCAGGTCGAGAGTATGATAAAGCCCGGCTATGACTGGCAGTACCTTACATTCTGGGGCTTGTCTGGTGTCGGCCTCGGCGGCCTGCTCCCTTGGTTCGACGGCGTGTGGGAGGACACATTTGGAAAGGAGGCAGTTTCGGAGGAGACGAGCGGCAACCCATCTCCAGAAGATGCCAGTCCTGTAAAGGACTGGGCTGTGGTTGTGCGCAGCATAGGCGCTTTTGTCGGCATTGTATTCGCCATTGTAAGTTGCCTTGCGTGCAAGTGAAACATGAATTGGGACACTAACAATGGGCAGCGAAAACTTCCCTGGGCGTCTACCCTCCAGGTATCTCTCACACTGGCGCTGGTCAACCCATTCCTGTGGTACTTGATTGACCGTTCGAAACCCGGATTTCTGCTTTCGGCCGCTGTTGGCTTGGCGGGATCGGCGGTACTCCTCGGCATCAACCCAGATGTGATGCCTACACCCTCATCTCTGACCTACCGGAACGAGTCGGAGCGGGCCTACTCGGAGCCCATCACACTCGGAGGGCTCGCCAGCCAGGAAACCATAGAGATGGGCATCTGGATGCTCAGCGTCTTGTTCTGCAGCTGCGTCTGCTTTGGCAACATTGGCAGACGGTTGGCGTTGAACAAATCAGCGTCTGCGCGTGGCCGATGGGCTGGCACCAGATGACAAGACAGCATGTCAAGGTGGAAACTGTATCATTTCGGGTTATGAGTGTGTTCTCAGCTTTGTTTTCTTGGAAAGGTTGGAAACGGTCAAAAGGGGCATATCCGTATGGGTACGAATATCCATTCCCGGGGTGTATTCCATACTGTATTTGGTCTGAATAGCGTAATGATATTCCCACCGTCGACACATGCCGCAATGCTAAGCGGCCGTCGCTGGCAACGAAATATGCATTGCTCAAGTTTATCTTTTGTGTCAGGTAGGATTACAACACTGTTCTTCAAACACATATCAGTATGACAATGTTGCGATGGCACACCCTATCGTCATCGATTGCATGACAGAGAAAGTGACTTAGCCTCAGAATCTCAAAGTATCAATCTTCAACCTGTGTGAAGTCAATTCCGTACCAGTCAAGTCTACATGTAGTATTTCTCAAAATTGCACTCTTCCTCTCACGGTTATTTTTGTGTCTCCCTCTCTATCCGTAGTAAATTCAATTTTTCCCATTATCCAAGCTCCTTGACGGCATCCTCGACCAAACGTCAAATCAATCCATTTCGCTTTTGTTGCATTTCCGGTGTGTGTGTGTGTGTGTGTGTCGTCGACGATGTAACCCCCTTCTTCCTCTTCTGCTTGTAATCCATTTCTATCCCACACTCTTTTTTGTTTTCAGAGAGCCTGCTGCTTCAAGACATCGACAACCGACTGCGATCTCGAAACAATATCGTTGCCGTAATCCACCTGCGGGAGACCAATCATGGTGAGCAGCTTCGGGTTGGCAATCATTTCGTTGACCGTCGCCGATCGGCCGCAGACGTCGACAAAGGATTCGGCGGCGGCGTCGGGGCCGCTGCGACCTGGTACGCCTGGGATCGTCCATGTCAGCGATTGTGGGCTCCTCTTTTTTTTTTTTTGTGTCTCCCCTCCAAGTTCTCCGTGCCGCCGGCTTGGCCCGCGCGCGCGCACTTGCGCGGCTCGGGGGGGGTAGGTAACTCGGGTACGGGGTCCGACGCTACATCTCTTTCCTAGGAATCTCATTGCAAGATATCAACTTGAGAGGATAGCAACTGGGCTTGAGAGTAGGATACGCGGTTGTAGTTTTTGACAAACAAAAAAAAATGTTCCTAACCAATATCTTGCTGAGGGATCTGCTCCGGATACCGCACGGGCTCGCCGTCGCGGATGTGGTCGAGCTCCGTCATGATGTACCGGGAGCGGTTGACGTAGTCCCAGACGTGGAAGAGACCCTTGTGGGGGTTCGGCGGGCTCCAGGCCGGGTGGGCCTCGATGGCGTCGATGAGCTCCGAGAACTTTTCAATGATTTTGGCGCGGTGTTCGGGGGAGGGGAGGCCGAGGGAAGACATGATGGGCTATGTGTGTTCAAGGGTTTTCGTTCAAAAGGATTAAAGATACCGACGAACGTGGGGTGAGTAACTGTGTTTTAACGATGTTGGGGAAAGTGATGCGAGAGGAGAAGAGCTGCGGTGTACGATGAGTAAAGCTGTTGAATAGGAAGTTCGATGACTTGGCTTTTGGAGCAAAGCTATAGCAAAAGGACTGAAGTCCGCAAGTGTCGGTCACAATTGGTAGAGTAAGAAGAAGAGAAGATGTGAAAAAAGGTAAAGGGAAAGGTTTCCGAAAGCTTCCTCAATGTCAATAAACTGTCACATGGACAGTTTCCTCTTTCTGTGAGTTGTCGGTGAGGGTAAGCAAGGGTTTGGAACGCGTTGCCGCGTTATTGTGGCATGTTGTCCCAATCGCACAGACTCGGCTGGGCAACGGAAAGGCAAAAGCCACAGCTTCAACTCTCGAATTAGGTTGCGTTTTTCCACGCTGCTGAGGGGAAAAGAGGCGAGTGGGGTTCAAATGGCGGCATCTATGCTACCCTTTAAGATGGGTAGAATGGAGGGGTTCGAGGGGTTGATGGGCAAAAGATGGGGTCAACTGGCTGGTCCTGAACCGAAGATCTGCTCTAAAACTGGAAGCTCAGTTGCAGAGTCCATATGGCGATCCCGTGTACGAATACCCCACTAGGTAGAGAGGTGAGGTTGCACAGAGACTAAATGATACAATATATGCAGCATGATGTTAGCCACAAAGCCGACTGGTTCCCAATTTCTTCTCCTTTTCTCTCGTTGTACCGAGACATTGTTCTCTTCTGGCCGAACTATGCAGATTTTCCGACCATGGAGTTGAAATTTGTCGTGTAACCACAGTCTTACAGGAACTTACGCCCGCAGTGATTAGTTAACATATATTCTGACCTGTGGCTGAGGATTTAGTCGACAACTCCCAATGAGAAGCTAAGACTGCGGAACAGTAAAAGGCTTTGATGTTCGGTAGATTCTCGCCTCGCACTTCTGTTCCGGGCATAGGTGCGGTGCGACTCGCGCTACTCTAGAGTTGGACTCGAGCCATCAAACGACTCTCGTTGCCTCGCAAGGTAGTAGCGCGTCTAACAACCACTTAGTACCGGCAAGCCAGGTTCCGCGGTCCCGGCAAGTCTGACCATTTGTGAGGTGAAGATGATTGACGGCGGCAACGGCCATGCAAGGCGTCTGTGGCCAGGGACAGGCGCAAGACCGGGTGGCCGACTGGATGAGTGGCAACCAGAAAAGAAGCTCAGCAGCTGCCGGCTAGTGCGCAGGAAGTGAGCGGTATGCGAGTAGTCTCACGACTTTGCGCCACTACATTGCTCGAGCAAGGCTGAATCGAGATCCTGCTGTCCTCGCCTTTCGACCAAAGAGGCTAGTTGCTCGGGGAGGTCAGTGTTGCCTAGGCTTCGTGGGTGATGAGCAGCCCCGTGGTCTACTCTGTAATAGTATAGGTAGTGTAAGAACTGCGATCAGTCAAAAGTCAAGACCCGAGGCTGGCGACTAGTAACCAGGACCAGGACTAGGAGTTATGGGAGTCTAGGACTGGGTCCTGAGCCAATGGGGACTTGACAGAGCTGAAACCGAGTTGGGCAAAATGTCATGTTGCAGATGCCCATGAGACTGGGAGACAGAGAGATCCGAGACACGGTCGCCCGAAGGATAAGTCAGGCCTGCGCTTCTCAGGCCTAATAGGACGAGTATGCCTAGATTGCCGAGAAGAAATTAGAGACCAAGTCCAGAGCATCGATGTTGAGCGAAAGGTACAGAATTCAGCGGGCGTGAGGTGAGAGAGGCAGGGGCGAAAAGTAGCAAAGTGTCATGACGCACTGGATCTGAGAAGCTGAGCTGCATCTGAGTGGGCGCGGTAGCGAACAAGGCGCTGGAAAAAAACGCTGGACCCTGGCTTGTCCGGGCAGGTTTGCGCTGTCTTGGGTACGTGCAGGCGCTAGCGCCGATTGCCGGCCACAATAGAATCTCGAGGGATCGTTGAAAGCAGTTGCGATCACTTTCCAGAAGGCTCATCTTCGTCCGACTCAAGCATCGAGGTGGGAGGAAAAAACACAGTTTTGTGTGGGAATACGGGCCACGGGCACATTGTTGCCTCCAGTTTCCTTGATGAGAGACAGAGGCGTCCGCCCAGCGGTACTCGCAAAGTAACGGTACTTGTCGGCATGGATCAAGCGTGGTGAATGGCCATGCTTGCTGATGTCAGGGTCCTGGGTCTCGTTCGCATCGAGATCTGGCTGCGGCCGCCACGAATACCTAGGTACGGAGTACGTGGTATTGCGGATTTTGGCCTTTCGGAAATTGTTGGTTTGACGGTTTGGGAGACGTAGAGCCCCTTGCAGATTTGCAGTTACTGAATCTTTCCCACGACATGCGAGAGATTGCTTGTGTCTTGCCGTAAAGTAGATAGATCGCCTGCCCAGCAACATGTCCCGGCCGGGATTCGGACCAGAACAGTCAAGAGCATACCTACCCAGGTACGCACCTTACCTCAATATGCAGAGACTCGTGGAGGCGGGCCATCCTCATGTCCTGCTGAGGTAAGCAGTCCCGACAGCGTGTGCACCTTCCAGGAAGCCCGCAGTCAGAAATCCAAAAAGAGGGGCAACGAGATACTGAATTGCGTCATACCACTGGTCGATATCTCTGTAACTTGCAAGTACTAACTATCGGTGACAGGCAGGCAAAACTCACAGCACACAAGGCAGGTCGTCTAAGTTCTAAGGCTTCCTCTCGGGACAACCCAGAAAAAAGAGACGCCCTTCAATTCGAGGCAAGAGGCAAAAAGTGGTAAAGCGCCTTTGGGCACATGATATGAGCTGAAGATCTAGGACATCTACCGAGTTTAGATGTGCGTAAACGCTGCTCCACAAATATCACAAAGTTTCCAGCTACTGGAAATTGCAGATCAGAAGAACAGTTACAGAGTAGTGCCGGTAAAAACCTAAGGCAGCTCGTAGCTCCAAGGTAAGGTAAGCAGTCGTCGATCAACCCGCCGCGCAGCCGTTGAGGAAGGGAAAATCTAGCAAGAAATGGGCTAAGTAGGCACGAATACAAACTGATGGCTCAACCAAGCCGTGTTGTCCCAAATCGGTCCCCCGTTCTCGCACTCACGCTTCAGGTTCCCTCGTCCTTCTCTATTGGACCCCGTGGTGTCCAAGTGTCGTCACAACTAGCCTAGGAATTTGGCTACTGACAACATCCCGCTAAACCCTTTCCTGTCTAGGCGCAAGGGGCCCCGTCCAGGGCATCTGGGAAAAAGAGCCACAAGAGCCCGCCCATGCGTCGTCGCCTGCCGCGAACTTCGCAACTTGTACCGGTACTTGACATGACCTTGGAATCTCTCGACATGGACCGCCGGGCCTGGCGCTGTCCGGGGGTGGCTCTCTTGCTGCTTCCTCTCATTGTTCTTCCTGTTTGTTGCTGATGTCGCTCCCATGGCTCCCATGGCTCCCATGGCTCCCCAATCGCCGTCCACCGTCTGCCTTTCTCTCCAATTTCATTGACCTCATTGCACGGCCACACCATCCCCCGAACGCACCCCTCCTAAACCGTCCAGCCGCCCAGCGAATTGGTAACTCGACGTTAAATGTATGACGCCTGCCAGTCGTTATCCACCATCGTTACCTTCGCGCCCCCAAACGTACCCTTTCTATGCGACAGACACTGGCCCGGTACATTCATCCCGCCAGTTCTCCAGCTTCTAGCTCCGGCCCTCGGTCTACTAGCTTTGCCGCTCTCTCTTCTCCTGTCCGCTTTTGATCTCGTTCAGGCGCATCATGAGATCCGCTCGTTTCTGGAACCTCTGCAGCCCTGGTGATCCCGCATATATGACCCCTGGTCACTGTCCCCCCGTCTCTTTTTTGCTGGATCTTACATACGTTCAGGTGGCTACACGAAACATACAGCCATCCTCCACCTCTCGATCTCGGCGGCACCTCGTCTAACTATCTCGACACACGGGCGACACGCCCACTATACACCACGAGAGCAGGATTGCGCTTGGGAAGAAAAAGTGGTTTACGAAACGAACCGGCCGCGAACGCCTACCAACATCTATCTAAACTGTGCCAGCACCGAGCTGGTGCAGACGGCTTCATGTCCTCCGATCAACCCCGGGTCGTCGAGAGCAGACCATCGGCCCTGACGTCCAACCCGGTACACGAAGCCGAGGACGAAAAGGATCATGGCACTGTCGACCGCCCACTGGAGGGCGACCAATTTCGAGAAGTCATCCGCTTGATACAATGCCGAAAATGCTCCTACCCTCTCCAAGAGCCGATTACACTGCCTTGCGGTCGAAGCCTCTGTAAACGGTGTGTTCCAGAAACACACACCCGAGAAAATATATCATATCCCGCTACGCCAAACAGACTACAAGGCTTCGAATGCCCTTATGGGGAATGTGGGAGGAATCATGCCGTGGGCGATTGTGGCGTTGATGTCATTCTCACCAAGGCAGTCAACAACTTTAAGTTCGAGATGGAGAAGGCGAAAGAGACGAGCACCAAAGCCGAGATATCCACGCACGTCATCATCAAAAACCCGGATGCCGGGCAGTCAGATACGAGCGACGACAACGAGGAAGTGTCGAGGGTTGTCAAAGGAGGCCCATTGCTCGCTGTCTACACATTGGCAGACACAGGCGAGCTAGATTATAACTCAACTGTCACTTTTGCCGAAGTCTCATCACTGGGAGATGAGGCTACTTCCATCGACACGAGGACATTCTCCAAAGTAAAGGAATCCGTACGCACGGAAATGGACTGCCAGGTCTGCTACGCCTTATTCTACGATCCTCTCACGACAGTTTGCGGTCACACTTTCTGTCGGTCGTGCCTCCATCGCGTGTTGGATCACTCCTCCTACTGCCCGATCTGTCGACGAGGGTTATCAGTCAGTCCTCTTCTGTACCGGGAATCATGCCCGTCAAATGAGAGCCTGAAAACCATCATTCAGACTTTTTGGGCTGATGCCGTTCTCACAAGAGGAGATGCTCTGGCGGCGGAAGCAATGAACAGACATCGGGAGTTTGACATTCCCATTTTCGTTTGTACATTGTCATTCCCCATGATGCCTACTTTCCTCCATGTTTTTGAGCCGCGTTACCGCCTAATGATACGACGAGCTTTGGAAGGTGACCGGACCTTCGGCATGGTGCTTCCACAACGACCTCGGACTGCCAATGACACACATTTTGTGCAATACGGAACTCTGCTACGGATTGTGAATGCCGAATACTTTTCAGATGGCAGGAGTCTGATCGAGACATCTGGCATATCGCGTTTTAGAATTACCAGACACGGCATTCTGGATGGATATTTGGTGGGGAAGATTGAACGACTTGACGACATATCGATCGCGGAGGAAGAAGATCTAGAGGCAACCGAGACACAACAAGCCTTAGAAAGATACGAAAGCGCAGCTACACATCAGAGCGAAGACTCGACTTTGCCGAGACCAATCACGACCACACCGGAGGATCTCTCAACAATGCCGACCAGCGAACTTCTGTCCTTGGGCGTTTCCTTTGTGCAGCGGATGCGGCAACAGAGCGTGCCGTGGTTGGCACAACGAATGCTGGCTATATATGGGGAATGCCCTAACGATCCAGCACTATTTCCTTGGTGGTTTGCCAGCATCTTGCCAGCCAAGGAATACGAGAAGTACAAGCTTCTCGAAACACGAAGCGTCAGAGAGAGACTCAAGATCTGCTGTGGCTGGATCTTGGAATGGGAGTCAAGCAGGTGGTGAGTAATCCCTGTCCAATGTTTCCCTTCTTTTGCGCCCTTTTGTTTGAAGTCTTTCCGCGTCTGTTCAGACGTTGCTCTGTGCGAATTCTTTTGTAGAAATTCAGTGCGGATGTTATCGTTGCCCCCGTTTGCTTGTTATTAGACAATTAAACAGACGGGCTAAGGTGCAGAAACTCTCAGGAGGGCCCTTATTGACGGCCGCTCAGGTCCCTCTCAGACTGCAGAATCTTCTGATGCTGGGGACTAGCTCAGCTACGGGCACCGAAGGTCTCGCCCAAGAGACATGATATGAAGTCGGCGATTAGGAGGTCGAGGTTTTGGCCTGCGAGGGCTGATTGATCGACTACAAGAGTCCCTCTCCGCTGGGATGGAGGGACGCTGGGATGGCAGTTGTCATAAATTCTCGCATTTGCATGGCAGCATTGGGCATGTACTAGGAATCCTTCACGGCATTACATCACGACACAATACAGATACCAAAATTGGCCTACGTAGGTATACTAGAGAATCATGTCAAACAGAAGTTGAAGAATGCAAATTCGCTGGACTGAATGCAGGTACCCGACATTGCGTTCAAATTCGGGATGATGCTGAAGTGCTATCCCGTTCCCGGTCATTCTAGACCACAGCTGCGTTGGTGATTCTCATTTCAGACACCGCCAACGTTATCAAGGCGCAGATTTGCCTCCTGCTCCATGCGTTTCTCGAATTCGCGTGGAGAATAAGATGGTAACAGCCACCACGAGGTGGACCTACTCTATCCAGAGGGGACCTCAGTCGTGACGAGCAATGACCTTTCCAAGCCAGAGGAGGCACGAGGCGCCCTGCACCCTACACCCTCGTTCGTACTTGACAAAGCTAGGTACGCTCGTGGCTCCCTCAATATGTCTAGTCGTCGCTCACGCCATCTCATCCTACAACCTTATCGCATCCAACCCCCCTCTGCTACAATACGACCGATTTTGCCATCTTCCAAGCAACCGACTTCCCATCATTCTTCACCACGTAGCACTAACACCTCGGAATAACGTATCCCGCCGCTTCAAACATACATTCGACGAAGAGCGCATCGACAATGGATCTAGGACAGAATAAGGCCAGCGCCAAAGCAGTTGCGTCCATGTCTAAAGGGGTAGATAACATGACGCAGGTCATCGCAAACCAGACGAGCACGACGGCTGGTGCGTCTCAGCCGGCTGTAAACAAGACGGAGCCGAAGCCATTCGGTGGTTTGCCGCGCGAGGTAGGTCCTGAATCATGGTGACAAAAACCACATGCTAATGCAATATTGTAGCTTCGTATCAAAGTATACAACTTCGCTATCTTACAGATACAACCCATTGAACCTATGGAAGCTACGGGGGAATCGAGGAAGTTCAAGGACGCTGCTAGCCCGATCATCACCGAGACAGATGGAGTAGAACACCAGCGCCATCCAACCGCCGTACACGCCTTCACCAGCTTACTGTTGACTTGCAAAATGCTCAACCAGGAACTCCTGGCCAAAGCAGAATTCTACAGCGTGAGTGTTCCTTGCACCATGATTGAATGACGAGTAATATCAAGGACTAAAAACATACAGGGAAATACCTTCAAATTTAATTCCTTCCAACAAACAGCGATTTTTATAGGCTCCATGATACCAGCACGGCGTCGAATGATCAAGATGATCCGCATTCGGCTAAGCTTTCTATGGAGGAATGGCGCGGATATACAGGCAACAGTGACCATACTTTCCCACTGTACCGCTCTCAGATGGCTTAAAGTAGACCTGCCGATTCGAGACAACTTGGCTCACCCCACGAGCCGGGCTGAGATGATTAGAATGGAGTACGAGTGGTCTGGGCTACCGAATAGTCGTCGCTAGGACCAACTTCGGCGCCTTAAAAACCTCGAGACTTTCGAATTTTCCTTCGTCCTGGAGGGAAAAGAGGTCATCGGTGATCCTGCGGTCATCAGTGGTCTTGCGGCCACGGGGAGCCCAGCAGACTTTATGCTTTGCGGAGATCGTGGCTTCGTGGATACAGACGCTGCCTTGCGTACTGAAGTCCAGCGGATGAACACTGACCTCGTGAGGATTGGCGTAGCCTGTCGCTCGAAAAGCGACGCCTGGGTTCCAATTCGCGGATCTAGGCTCGAACAGGCTTTCCGACGCTATCGTTTAGACATCCAGATGGAAGATCTGTACAGCCCACCAAATCAGTCGGGCGATTTGGCCCCTCGAACCCGAAACCAATTACAGAGGGCTGGCTTGGCGTCTTGGAACGGAGTAATTCCAATGGCTGAGGTGAACCCAAAGTATGTTGAAATCTCCGAGGACGAGGATTGAACTCCTGGAGGGGTTGGAGTGCGGACTGAAATCATAGATTTGCATGTAACTCAGCCAAGAACCCAGCGTTATGAAAACAAAAAAGCGCTTAATACCATTCTCCTACCCTGCTGCCATTATCTTTCCTGTCTGAATGGCGCTCTTTGATCTTCTTGTTTGTCATTATGTTTGTGTGTTATCTCAATAGAAAGTGATAACTCCGATTGAAGTGATGATGTTCGCAGTCACACGCCGAGGTACGAACACTTGAACTGAGCTATCTAAGATGCGCGTATCACCGTGATCAAGATCCCTTTGAGGCTAGGTACGTTGAGATTTCCCCGTCATTCGTCAAGAGAGCAAGCATTTGTAAGTCTAGACGATGGTTGCGTGTATGTGAGAAACACCCTCAGATGTCAGAACTATAGCTTCGTCCTTCAACCCTCTTTACGGAATGCTTAACTCGGGATTTTGCGATGACATTTTTTGTTTAGGAAATATCTGGGCGATAGCTTGCTCGAAGGGCCATTCTGGGGGCCTGCAATACTCGTGGTGCGTAGATGTGGTCAAATCGGTTTTCTAAAGTAGGCCACCCCTTTTCCCCATGGTCCAGTGCCAAAACCGATAATCATGTATCTCCATGACGCCTACTAAATGGAAAGAAGCACGAATCCAAACAAAGTCGGTCCGGCAACGACAATTCGAAGTAACCCCGTGTTTACTGAATCCCAAAAAAGGCATCGTCAAACTTGCCGTGCTCCATCTCCGTCATGTCCCCGAAGAACATATCATCGAAGCTGTTGCCGTCGCCCCCGTCCCCGCCCATGTTCATGTCGAGATCCATGTTCTCCATGCTTGTGTTACCGTCGAGTTTGAATAGATCGTCGAGATTCGTTGATTCCTGCTTCTCCATCTTGGCCTCCACCGGTTTCTCTTGCCCGGCTGTAGACGCTGTCACAGCTGTTGCAGATGCTGGCGGAGCTACGCCAGTCTCTTGTTTTGTGGCATTATCTGGAGGAAGGAGATTATCGAGTGACAAGAGGTCGCCGCCCATATCACCGGAACCGAATGACATGTCCATGGCCGCATCCTGTGCCTGGGCTTGGTCTGGTGCCTCGTTACTGGGTGGCGCCAGACTGAAGGTCATATCTGTGAAATGGAACTCTGGGTTGTTGCCCTCAGTACCGCCTCCAGAATCGCCACCGAGGTCGAACAAGTCGTCCATGGGCGCCTCTGGGGCACCTGACGGCTGAGGTTGTGAATTTGGCGGCGAGGCCTTCATCTCCTGCTTGATCTCGCCCATGGGGGCCATCATAGCCGGCGGTGCAGCGGGTGGCGCGGGCGTCATCTCCTGCTTCACTTGGGGACTGGGTTCTGGCGCTGGCTGGAAGCTGACGCCCATGTCCGGGAACGGAGCCATGGATGGTGCTGTGCTCGGTTCTGCAGGGACCCGGTGAGGGCCCGTAGCCTCCGTGATCTTGGGCTCGTTCTCAGGAGGGGTTGGCTCCCGAGATGATGAGTCGAGGTCGATGGCCATGGGTGATTTGGTTTGCGCCTCGACTGGCGCAGGCAGTTGCACCGGTTGTCTTGCTTGCTGGAACCGATCCAGATCTCTTTGCAAGGCAGCCTTGGCCCGTATCTGCCGTCGGTGTTACTACTAGGCGTGCGAAAGGGATCTCATTTTCGACTTACTATCTCGCTCTCTAAATCATCCAGTTTCCAGTGGAAGTTTTCGATAATCTCTGGCATCTTTGTTTGCAGAGAGGCTTGGGCCTGGAATTGATGCCTGCCATCTTTGCTAAGAGACTTCAATGCCTTGCCTGTTTGAATCAACTGCGGATATGATCAGTCATTGCATTCAAATTTATGTGATCAAGGCAGGTGTACAAACCACATCGTTAATAAGTCCATGCAGGGCTTCCGCAGAGTCAGAAGTCGCCGCCTTGGAGTTTGCCATTGCGGCTATGTGACACCACTGGCTATATGTTTAATGACCAATTTTCCGAGGAGTTACGCGTGCTTTCAGACGGAAAAATTGGTACGCCAAGTTAAACTGGTGCGATATAATGATAGATGCCAGTCGGCCGTTCAAGGGGATGTGTTACTTTTGGTATTACGAGGTTGACGAGACTGAGAGAGGCCAGGTGTATCCGTAGATTATGTGAATAAACTCTTTGGCAGCGGCAAGAGTGAGTGAAAATGTGACCGTCAATGACTCCTTCTTTACATGGGTTGGTGGGATGATCGAGGTTGATTTGGTGAGAATGAATTGTTTGATGGTTGCTCAAGTTGCAGTCAATTCTTTGACAAGCATCAAAACGTCAATGTTTGACGTCTGGACGAGCCCAGGTCCCCAGCCTTCTTTCCCGAGGAGCAGTACGTACCTAAGGTCAGTCAGGGCAGTCAGTGTTCTCTCTGTCGTTGATTGAGATGGAAAGCGAGACTGAAGCCCGAGCGCGAAGTCTTAACCAATCAGACACATCATGAGGCTCAACCAATAGACAGCCAAAGCGCGGATGCGGGCTGCTGTGGCCATGCAATTGCGCCACGTCCACAGCAATCACAGCTCCTAGCGCCAACGAGGAAGAGAACATTGAATGCACTGTGAGCCCCGGAAAGAACCCCGCACCTGTCATACGGCACGGGGTGGACGCAAGGGAAGCAAGCAGGCGCCAGCTCGAAGCGGTAGGGCACTTTCCCCTCTTTCTATTTCCCCTCTGTCTCTCTGGCTTTGGTTCCACCTTTTCTTCCATGCATCAGATCACGACCAACGTGGAATCTTGGGATGAGTTCGACTACTGAAAGGGTGTTCTATAGCTGACTTGAAACCCGATTGCGTCGGATGGAAGGCTCATTGGGGACCGTGAACTCCTGCGAGAGGCTCTCATCGTCAAGAGTCTGGTCTGCCTGTGTCTGCGTACCTTTTCATGTCCAGACAGACACAAGCTAGTCTGTCAACACTCATCTTGCCGACATTGGGTCTCCAGACGGCGACTTGGATGCCCTTTCACGTTCAACAGCAACCAGTCCACATGTGGAAGACGTTCCTCGATCTCTCGGAGGACGTTGTTGCGGATGCGGAAGACAAGGGCCAAGCCCACCGTCGGGAGGTATGGGTAACCCTATTGCTGCCGCCGGTGAGCTAACCCAGGACATCGTTCGTCCCATCGTGCCGGGAGCCCTCCTCCCGGGAAATTGGTTGCGTCCTGCAACAATAAGTTTCGTAACCCACATGCCCGGTCATTGATGCTCGGAACTCTAGCGTCTTGGGGGTCTTTATGCATGCTGGAGCTTGCTGTGACTTTACATAATGTAGGTCAGAGAATGTCTAGCTGTGAGACACCCCAAGCCACCAAGTAATCAGTGATGATGAGCCCGATGACATGGAGTTGGTTGTCGGTCAGCCGTTCTCTGAAAGCGGGACGGATTCTTATTCTGGTTCATATACCAAGGTGAGTCCCCGGCCGTCTGTTCTTGATTGTTCAGTTGCAACAGGTTGAGCATTGGTGTTGTGGTCTACTCACGCTAAATGCTTATATCTCATGGTTGAGGCTGTTAGTGCCGCCCCCGATCGCGACTTGGCGTGAGGCATGAGATGAAATCCTGGGAGGCTCTTTAGTCAATTGAAAGAAAGTGCCATTATGGCTAGCAATTTACTTCTAATGCACACAGCAGGTGAGCCTGAAAGACGCTTAAGCAGGGAGTGACCCGAGGCATAGCTGGGATATCCTTTCCTTCGGGCACATCATATGGCACGGTGATCAGTCATGATTCCTGCATTGAGACTCAAAGGCTTGGAACCCTTCCTATAGCGACGCGTTTGCTGCCATTATCCAACTCCGAGGCCAGGGTCTCATTGAATCGAGTTCTGTTTGTTTGCACTGGCTTTTCAACCTTGATGAGAGCTCATCTTATATGGCCTGTTGGCAGCAGCAATCTTCATTTCACAGCGACGCATTTGTAACTACGTTGATCCACGCCCCAATCAAGAGTGTGATCAATGCAGCCTATATGTGCATCTCTTTATGACCGACTTTCAGGTTCAATGGATGTTCCCATTGATTCGCGAAATGTCAAAATCAGTCGCCTGTCCTGTCTACTTTAGGTAGCTCTAACAGGGCCTGCCTCGTCTCGCGTCTGGCGCAGAAAGTCGAATTGGCCATCCAACGTCTGTGATGGTGCAATGCTCAAACTTCCACGTTGTCAGCGGCCGTCCCAGGCTTCGCTCCTTGCCTAAGCAAGTTTAGCGCAAGTCGCTTAAGCATCTACTTGTTGCAGCAACACCCCCTTTTTTTTTTTTTTTTCTTTTTTTTTCTTGCTGCCATCCCATCTCCCAATTCCCCTCACGCCAGAAGCCCTGACCAAGCGGAAAGCCCACCCGTTGGTTTTCAAGGTAAAGAAGGTTGAGTGAGTAGATACCAAGTGATCCGGGTGCAGCTAGCTGAGACTCGTAGGTACTCGACACCAGATGACCGCACGTACGGATAGACAAGAGTAGCCGAAAATGTGGACGGACTCGAATTAAAATAATAAAAGAGAAAAAGGATAGAATGGCGTGAATAGGTAACCCGCCCCTCTCGCGCCGGGGACCAGCTACAGCCACCCGTATCTTACTTAGTAGCGCCACCCTTGGCCGACTGGGGATAGTGCGCAGCTGTACCCAGTGGAAAGGCACGGCTGGACAAGCAAGAGCCTGGCACAGGGTTCAACGAAGACCTTCAACAGACCAATCCCACGGTCTGGGACCAGCTGTGGGCGCCGAATGGGCTGCCCTTGTTGCTTTGCTGGCGAGGCGAGCCTGGTGAGGCAACAGGGAGGGACGCATGTACATTTCTGTAGAAGCTTTGCAGTAACGCGCAGCAATTCGCATCCAAGTTGTACATGGGCAATGTAAAAAAGAAAAAAAGTAAGTGGGGATGCCTTGGATGTGGATTCCCTTCCTACCTTGACACCCGGTACAAATTGGGCAAGCCGGGTACGAAACTACCAGCACACAAGGCAATTGCGGGCAAAGCTCCAACTGAACCTGTCCTGCACCTCCCTGCCTTACCACCTCACCACTTACCCAGCACTATGTACAGGTGGCCAGGGTCCCGCGGGCTGTGCGAATTTCGTTTCTGGTCTCGCCATGATCAAATGTCCCCCTCATCCGCCCTCCTTCTTCTCCCTCCTTCCATCTGCTCCCCTCTCCCCTCCCCATCGCAGAATCTCCTCTCGACGTCTTCAGGAAACGTTTCTCTCTCTCCTCTCTCCTGTCGTCTCCTCTCTCTCTCCTCTCGGACCGGGTTTTGTTGTGATTCCTTTCAGGGGGTTCCAGTCCTCTTTTCACGCCTGTTTCCTTGGTGCTCGCCTCCGCTTATCATTTCGAGTCTCCTGTCATCTCATCTACAGCACTGCACAGTACACTACTTTGGAGCTTCTCTCGGCATCTCTCTTATCATTCGCCCTTCCCCTTGTCTCTCTATCCGCTCAAGCGTCTCTCTTGTCACGTTGGGTCGACGTCCTTTTTGCCTGCCAGTACCGTCCCCACGTCCACAATTTTTCCTGTCGACTTTCGGTTCGGTTCGTTGTCTTCCTCTTCCAAGGCCAAGTCACATCGTTCCATTCTCGACTTCGACTGCCTCTACCGATAGATCGCAAAGAACAGACACCAGGAGAAAAGAAAGAGAAAAAAAAAAGACTCGACATCGTCCTAGCCGCCCTCGGCTAAGACATCCTAATTGTGCCCGCCACTTTTTTTCCCTCTCTCACTCACACATATTCTCTCTCGCGCGTGCGCTCCCCGCCTCCCGCTTCCCGCTCTCTTAGCCTCGTTGCTTGCTTGCTGTGAGCTTCTAGGGTCACGTCAGTCTCGGGACAAGTTTTCAATACCAAATCCTCCCGCAGTTCTACTTACGCCACAACCAACAAGCTTCAGGCGGTCGGTTGCTCTTCGAACATCGCTACCGTTCCAAGCCATACTCGGGCAAACACCGCATCTTGCAAGTCAAGTCTAGAGCTATAGTGGTCTAGCTATTTGCTCTGCCGTCTCTCATATTGCTGTTGGCAATCGACGAAATTCCAAGCTTCCAGAGTTACCTGTCACACAATCGATTTCAAGCATAACTAAACGACGCAATGGCGGACAACGGACCTGCTTCGAACGCGGCACAGCTGCCCCCTCCTCCCCAGCCGAACGCTGGAGCTCCCGGCTACGAGAACGGCCAGAATGGCCAGTCGAACCAGGCGCACATGCCCCCGCCTCCCCTCCATATCCCGCAGAACAACAACCCGATCCCGACTGCCATTACTTCGCCCATGTCTGGTGTCGATAATGTCATGTCGCCCGGTAGCGCTGGGGGATTCGGCCGCCGTGCTGCCCCCGAGCCTAATAAGCGGGCGTTGTACGTCGGAGGCTTGGATCAACGCGTTACCGAGGATGTCTTGCGTCAGATCTTCGAGACTACTGGTCACGTTCAGAATGTCAAGATTATTCCCGACAAGAATGTGCGTATACTACTGCCATGTACAAAACTTCCCATGAAGATGCTGTTGATGGTGGAGCCGACAGCTGTCGGCTTGGCCACTGCAAACTTTATGTCTATGTGATCCACGATATAGCTGACCGTGTATCGACAGTCTAAGGGCTACAACTATGGATTCGTTGAGTACGATGATCCCGGTGCGGCCGAGCGCGCTATGCAGACCTTGAACGGAAGACGTGTGCACCAATCCGTACGAGAACCTCACCCTACCGTTGCGAGTCTAAATTGACTGGTTATTAGGAAATCCGCGTCAACTGGGCTTACCAGTCCAACACCTCGAGCAAGGAGGATACCTCGAACCACTTCCACATCTTCGTTGGCGACCTTAGCAACGAAGTCAACGACGAGATTCTGACCCAGGCTTTCTCTGCCTTTGGCTCCGTGTCCGAGGCTCGCGTTATGTGGGACATGAAGACTGGCCGATCTCGCGGATACGGTTTCGTCGCTTTCAGAGACCGCCCGGACGCCGAGAAGGCACTGAGCTCCATGGATGGAGAGTGGCTTGGCTCGCGCGCCATCCGCTGCAACTGGGCGAACCAGAAGGGCCAGCCGTCTATTGCGCAGCAGCAGGCAATGCAGGCTATGGGCCTGACGCCTACGACGCCTTTCGGTCACCACCAGTTCCCGGCTCATGGCGTTGCCAGCTACGAGGTCGTTCTTGCCCAGACGCCGTCGTGGCAAACGACGTGCTATGTTGGCAACCTGACCCCTTACACCACGCCGAACGACGTGGTCCCCCTGTTTCAGAACTTTGGCTTTGTGGTTGAGTCTCGATTCCAGGCGGACCGAGGATTCGCATTCATCAAGATGGACAGCCACGAGAGTGCGGCCATGGCAATCTGCCAAATGAACGGTTATAATGTTAATGGACGCCCGTTGAAGTGCAGCGTGAGTTTACCCCCAAAGCCAATTCAGAAAGAATACGCACTGACATTTTCTGTGCGAAGTGGGGCAAGGACAAGACCCCGAACCCTCAGGGCGGCGCCGCGGCCGGCTTCGACCCCTCGCAGCAGGCATACAGCCCGCAAAGCGCCGCTTCCGGACCCGGAGGTTACCCCGGCACCCCGACTGCCTACTTCCCTCAATACGGCGGTAAGTTCTTAGCCATAGATGAGAGATGCGGACGGGACCCAAGCTTACATCTTATCCAATAGGTCAATACCAAGGTCAGCACGGCAACTACGGTGGCCCGGCCGCTCAATCCCCGGCCGGTTATGGAGCGCAGCCCATGGGATACGGCGGACCGCAGAGTGCCGGAGGCTATGGTCGTGGTCAACAGCCACCCAACGCTCAGTGGCCTCAGGGACCCCAGGGACAGAACTTCAACAACGGGTTCGCCGGGTACCAGGGCTAATTGCAATTCACGACGTGGCCCCAGCCGGTGAGCTGGAGTGCGCAGCGTTGCATTCTACTCGAACAGAGCGCATCGAGCGCGGTCGCACCCACAGCGTTGCAAGGTCCAAGGGGTTGCTTTTGTGGAGTCTTTCTTTCCAAATGTTGTTTTTTTTGATGGCAAAATGGCATGACCAACGCATCTCCCATGTTTTCCAAAAAATCATTTCTTGCCAAGGCGTCTCTCTCTCAATCTCTCCTATCATCTGCGATGAGGGGCATATGTCAGTTTCTCTTGTGTGAGCACTGGGGATGCGAAGGGGACATCATGTGCATTTTCCGGGACGTTTCTCAGTCTTCTTCATATCTTCCTTCTACGGCCTAGTGATTCCCACAAGTCACGAACTTTTCCTTGTGCAGTCATTTCTCTCTCTCTCAACCTGTCAGAGGGCAGAGGGCAGACTTTTGATATGCTGTTTCGTTGCCAAAAAAAAGTTTGCTGCTTTGTTCTATCATGGATACCTCTTCAGCATGACGAATCTGTTGGATGATGAGTTTATGACTTTTTATTTATTTTCCTCTACGATATTTCGGACACGAGCTTTTCTAAGCGCGTGGTGGTCTCCCGGATACTTGGGGTTCACCATTAGATACCTACGACCAGGCACCAGACTTTGATGAACCTACTAAGAGAAGAACGGTGCGTGTGGCTTGGATGACCAAGGAGCAGGTGGGGACGACATGTGGTTGGTTGAGTGGAGGGGCTTTATGCATGTGCGTGGGAGGTGCAGGTAGTTCTTTTTTCTGGGAAATCCTTGAAATGATGGAAAGCGAAAAACGAGTACAGAAGAGAAGACTGCAAGACCAGACAGACGAGGCATCTGTTGAATGAAGCTGACGTTTGACGAGTGATTCGTATTTGCAACTCTTGAAATTGTCTGTATGATGAACGCGGCTCTCTTTTACTTTGAAGGACTAGCCAGCGTTTGGTGAGGACGACTGATGAGCTAGCGGTACTTAAGGTATCTTGGTGGCCAACCCGTCATCTTCGATCCTGCAGGCCGGCTGACGGGAGGGTCTTGGAAGTACGTATCGTTGCCAACGCCTGAAAGCATTGCTATTGGATGCCTCTGGGTGCCAATCTTCTCCCCGTCTGATTCAGCAGGACGTTGTGGTTTTGGACATGTGAGATTTGGGAGGGGGGATGGTCCTGACGCCATATGTAAGTACACTTCGCAGTGGTGGTACAGTTGACCATCACATAACGGCGTAGGATTCCTTTTGTTTGGTAAAGATGACGAAATGGACATGTCGTCACCGAGTACCATCTCATCGACATAAGGGGAGTTAGAAAAACAGTCACCAAGCTTGCGCGGATGAGAGTCTTCATCAGGTGTTTCATTATGTATCAGATGTATCTGGAGAATATCTCTCTCTCTCAAAAGGACAGAAGTCGAGTGTGAACATTTGCAGGGGAGCCATCTCACCGGATGACAAGTGCTATTTACCTTTATACTGGCCCTCACTTCGAAGAATTTGAACCCCTTCTTGAAGCATTTCATGACGCTGTCGCCCGAAACCTGCTTCTGGCAGAAACAACGTTCGTAGGAAAGAGGCCAAGTGATACATCGCCTCCCGATGCCCGGTCATGCGATACCGCACCAATGAAACGGGGCAATGAAGCTCATTCGTGAAGCCAAAACCCGTGAGACACTTGCCTTCATTCAAGATTACGAGTGAACCCGGGGATGTGGTCATCGGGATTGTGCTTGTACTGTGGTTGTCGAGAGTCGGCCTACAACTTTGCCTTCTCAATTCTCTCCTGCTCCGCCCATGCCTTGTTGATGCGGACATTCTGCCAAAATCGCCAGGCCCCGAGGGCTGCTGCCGCTGGTGGACACGCCAGGAGCAACCAGCTCCACCACACTGGGCTGGAGGCCTGAACGTGACGGATAGCCTCGCCAATGTCTCTCTTCAGATCTTCCTTGGAGCCGTCGTTCCATAGTACGACGCCCTTGCCCTCACCTCTGGCCTCGCATCTCCGCGCCTTGAGTCTCACATCCGTCTGGCTGAGCACGCGGTTCTCGGCGTCTTCGCGGCTGAGATGGGGATCGCGGGCCATGAGACGCTGCATCTGTACCTCGGGGTCCTTGACGGCAACGACAAGCACGGTGCCGCAGAGACGGTCGAGGCTGCTTTCGAATAATAGGGGAACGTCGAGGAGAACAGCCCAGTGACCGGTGACGTAGGCGCGGAGGATGGCCTTGTACATCTCAGAGCGAACGGCCGGGTGAACGATACCATTGAGTACGGCACGGTCCTTTTTGAGCTCTTCCGTGTCTCCGAAGACGCGCTTGCCGAGGGCGGGTCTGTTGAGTGGTCGTCCTTTGCCGTCGGGGCCGGCCTCGGGCATGGTCTCTGAGACCGGGACGAGGAGGTCCGGGGTTGTGGGGAGGAAGTGCTTCACGATAGCGGCATATCCATTTGATCCGGGTTCGACGACTTTCCTGGCGAGAACATCGGCGTCGATGAGGGGAATGGAGTAAGGAGGGTTGGAGAGAATGGAGGAAACGGTTGACTTGCCCGTTGCGATGGAGCCTGTTAGACCGATGAAGAGCATTGTGAGAGAATCCCCGTTTCAGGGCGTGACTTTGACTTGGCCTATTCTTCCGAAATTTGGATTGGAATCCGGCTTCAAAGAAGTACGGTGGATTCGATGCCGGCGTTGCGGTAGTGAAATGGAAGGCGGGAGCTGGGATGGGGAAGAGGGATGAAGTCTAGGTCGTTGATGGTGATAGTGGGGTGGACTGATGATGGACCCGAGGTTATTTCGAGTTGAGGAAGGAGGAAAGCACAGGGCAGGTACGGCTCCTTCGTACATGAGCTTGGGGTAGGACTGCCAAGGTGCGTCAGCCAATGGACGTCCACCTGTCCGTAGGAATTTCGCTACCAAGCACAATTGAAAGTGAATGATGAGAGTAGCAACGCAATTGGCTTCAGGCGACTCTGGTCACCAAATGATATTGTCTGCGCATTCCATGATCTGAGTGGGACTATTCATCTCCTGCCTAGCCCAGGAAACCGCGAGCCTTCGTTCAGGCCGGTGTTTTCCCACCGGGGTTGGCCTCGGAAGCTGCTGCCGTCATCAGCGAAGCTACGCGGTTAGGTAGGTAGCCTGAAGGGAGGTGTTTTTAGCGCAGTAGCGTCAATTGGTGGAGCTGTGGAACAGTCTCCCCACCGCTGGCGGCTAGGCAATTCTGTTGATGCCTTTTTTAGGACGAGACTGTGATGTTTTCTTGCTCTTCATCTTACCGCATAGACAAGTGCCATTTCGCTCTAAGTATTTCGTGTTATCAGCATGAAGGAAAGGTCCTTGCTTGTGGGCATGAATTGAGTTGAAGCGGAAGCTAAAGGTGCACCTTCCAAGCTCACAACATGGAAGGTGCTTGAAAACTGAGGGCAGAAAAGGTAACCACGGATTCGGCGTGGGATTGGACTCGCATTTTGTGGAGTTCCGCAGCGCCTGCCTTTTTTTGGTGGCTTTCTGTATTCTCCACTTGAAGGTAAGTACTCTGCGAGTCTGTCTGCACACTGCAAGTGCATACTGCGCAACATGTCCGGGAAGGAAGTTGGCCCATTGACACCTGCAAGAGCGAACTGGTGAAGAAAATAGTGAGGTGATGGAACATCTCAGACTGACAATGTACGTACCTCGACCTTGTACTCGGCTCCGAACATGTCACGAGCAAAAAGAGAACCAAAACACGAGAAAGTCAGCGAGACCAAAAGATATGTTTACCTTGGTGTGGCAAGCAGACAATACTTAGCCAAGCCAATATGCCGTCGATTGGTGGTATTCATCTGCATTGTTTTTTGGAACACACAACAGCGATCCATCCACCATCTCACCATCTGAGAGGGTCCCTTTTGTTTGATGAACAGGCGGGACGGATTGAAATGGTTTCTGGCTTTATTACTAGCATTGCTCAGTCCGGACCCAGAGCTGGCCTGGACGTCTCAGTTTTCCCACTCGCAACTCGCAAGCCCTCGCAAAAAGGCTGTTGTCTATGGCTGAGAACGGATACTCGGAACGTCTGGCACGCTGGGCTGGGTTTAGCCAAGCCCACCACTTTATGCTCGGCGCACTTTTTCGCCTCTCGCCATACATCATAGCTGATTATGACTATGATTAAGATGGTTTGTTATCATTCTTGGAAAAAACTCTGCGGATACTTGGCAGCCTTGACAGGAATCCCAATTAAATGGACCTCGCTTTGGTGCCTACTAGCTTGAGTGAGGTGCTCAAGGCTCACAGCATCGATGTCTGTTGGGGGGTCCTTGGGGAATCCGTGGAATCCATGAATTCCGTCACGCATAACCCCACCACATCGTCGTTGCTGTCGTCGCCAGCTCGCAGACTTGCGGGCTTGCAGCCACTGAGAGTGAGCTTGGGGGCATTATATCGGATCCATACTTCAGCCCGGCCTCCAGCCTCTTTCTCTCCAAATGTTCTTGTCAGCTCGACACAGGACCGTTTTCGTCTCCCGTCACCGGTCACGGCCGTTGGTCTGTTGATGTCAGGTCAGGGAACCCATTGCATCACTTTGCTTGGGCTCCAACCATGTCGCGAGTGGGAGAGAATGGGCAGTACAGAACACAGGTGTTGATGTTCGTGGTGGTGGTGACGCAGGTCGGTGTTGGTGAGGCATGAGTTGAACATGTGTTGAACAGCATCTTTGTCTTTCTGCCCTGCTCTCCACCGCCGTACGTCGTACTTTCCATTGGTACCACGCTGCGCATTCGCCGCAGTGTGCACCGGCCAACCTTGGTCTGTCAGGTCTGGAAACCCGAACCCAATGCCAACCTGACGTACTTTTGCCTGGGTACCCTGCCAGGTCTTCAGCCTCTGATTGGACATTTTTGTTGTCGACGAAGTACTCGTCCTCGCCCCCAATGTCCCCTTCGACAGTCTTCACTGTCTGATATCTTTTTCTTGCCAGACCATCTCTGTTGGGTGAATGGGTGAGTCTTTTGGACAATCTTCTACCATGGTGCAGGTGGCTTGATTATGTCCTTGCTTTGCCTTGCTTCGCTTGGTCACCAACGTCGCTCCCGTCATTGTCATACGGACATGTCTCTTCAAACCGCCCTTTACTGCCTCAAGCCTCAAGGTAATAGTGTAAATACTTCAGTTTTAGGTGGAGGCCATGTGAGACGGGGGACAGGTCTGCTCCCGTCCGTTGGCATTGGTACACAACAGCCAGCACCTCGCCGTGTCTCCAAGCGTTCCTTTGCTCCTCGACCTTGGGTGCTTGGCTTTACCTACTCTCAGGTACCTTGATCCATGGTATGTGTACGTGCGTGGTGTGTGTATGTTTTGTGTGTGCTGGGAAATGGTAATTGCTTTTCAGATTACTCGCAAGCTATGTTGTCCTGCCTTGCACAGCTCTCCAGGTACCTTAGGTTTCTACTTGTTATCCGTATTATTACTGCCTATTTATTCTTTTCGTGGTGCCGTACGGAGTACCTTGCGCGTAGATATCGCACTCACTTCAGGGCCCTTTGATTCCAGAGGGCAGGGCAAGGTTCTGTACATGGCTCCCCCCAGATCTGAGGTACTTTGCCTGCTTTAGGTGCCTTACGTGCCTATCTGAGAAGTAGTTTCTTGAGGAACCTTGTCTCCCTCTCCCCCAAAGGCTCCAAAGCCCACCTCATCAAGCGGAAGGCCCCGCCTTGCGTCAAGTTGTGACTTGCGCCTTCTGCCACTTCAGTCAAGTCTACTGCGTATTACTGCGTCTCCGTAGGTATTCTGTTTCCCTGCCCGACCATTTTAGGCCTGCGTCGCAAGCGACCATCGTGGCCCGCGGAACACTCGCATCCTCTCCCACTTATACCTCCCAAGCTCCACCAGGCCATCACAAATCCCCCCCCTCCCTCCCCTCCTCCACCCCCCGTCGTCGCGCGCATTCTCTCCCGACCCCGTCGTCCACACTCCTTCCCCTCCGCCCCCCCTCCTCCTGCTTCCCAGGTTGCGTACAATCGCCCTCTTTTCCCATCCCGATTACACGTTGGAAAACAACACACACCAAATACTTGTTGGTCAACGTCAAAGGCTCGTCTTTGAAGTACCTTACCTTACTCCATTGCAGCCTTCCCGCGCCCGTCTTTGAATTGTCATGATGAATTCTTAGGGAAAACCACCCAAAACTTCCCCTCCGAACTTTATTCCCACCAAGAGAGTTTGGGCCGTGTCAGCCCAATTCTGCCGAATCCCTCTCCTTGGCACCCTCAGAGAGCTCGACTGCATCCCTCCAGTCAATTCCCTCTGCGCGCCTTGGTCCTTGGTCCTTGGTCTGCACTCTGCGCTCTGCCTCTGCATTTGCCAGACAGACAGACTCTGAGCCAGTCCACACACACTACTTCCACTTTCCACTACCTATTCGTACTGGACGGAAACTCACCCGGCCATACCTTACCTGAACTCTCACGTAAGGTAACCAACCCTTCACATCCCCGTCCTCACCCAACCGCGACAATACCGGCACCGCATCAGACACGAGCAACGCAGTCCACACACCTGGTCGACCCTTCGACACTTACTGCCAACCTTACCTCACTCACCTCCCTTGGCTTGCTCTACCTGCGAGTCTGCGCTCGCTCCTGCAACTTGCCTTTCAACCTTACTACGCCCAGTTCAGCCTGGCCCCATTCGCCCGCTTAACGCGTCCAGTCGAAACCACCGACGACATCAGCTAAAGCGCTCGGCCAGCCCTTTCCCCCTTCCAACCTTTCAACCAAAACCATCCAACCGTCTGTTTGGCAACTCATCCCGATCCCGACCGACTGCATCATCTCCTCTTTCGAGTCAACATCGCTTTTCCGCCCGCCATGGACTCCCAGTGGCAGCAGGGCTACGCCGATCAGGCCGGCTCTGCGAGGAGATACAATGGCAGCGGCGCTCAGATGCCTCGTGGGGAGTACAACGGTCAACCAGGTCCGCAAGGCCAGCCTTCTGCCGGCTACAGGCACGACCAGTATCAAAGCCCTGGCGGCATATCCTCTCACGCTGCAAGTGCCGCCGCCTCGCCCATGTCCACCCCCCAGATGCGCGACAACAACGGCGACATCCCCATGCACGACGTTCAGGACTCGTACGCCGGCATGAAATACCCCATGAGGCCCCATCACCAGTCTCACCTCTCCGGCAGCCGCTCATCCACCCTCTACTCTCCTCAGGAGCCCTCGGCTGCTGCCCAACGGTACTCGCCAATGGAGGCACTATCCCCCACCTCGCCTTATGCGCCAAAGTCGGCGCAAGGTCAGTTCTCGTCGCCTCCAGGCCAACGACAGTCTCCGACGAGGCAGCCCGATTACATGCCCCATAGTCCTCACTACGGTGGCCGTCAACAAGCCCCGCAGCTTCCTCCGATCGCGCCGTACGGTTCCTCCCATGACGGCTACCCGTCCGCTGTCGTTGCCAACATTGACGGCGCCTTTGCAACCGACCCCAAGTCACCCCGCCGCCCTATTCCGCAAGCCATGGTTCGAGGTCCTGCGCCCGAATTCAGACAAATCAGAGCTCCGACGGACCTTCGACCCAAGGTTAACTCTCAACCTCCATTCCGCCGTGCGAACCCCGAAGGAGGATTCATCAGCGTAAGCCCATTCCCCTAGCCGGGTCACTCCAGAAAAACGCAGCCTACTTACATTTTCTAGCCTCTCCAAGCGCTCACGGTGCATCTTCCTGCTACCTACAGGATCTGCAACCCGAACTTCAAATACGAGTCGTCGCGAAACCCCCGCCGAGTACTCACGAAGCCGAGCAAGGGTGTCAAGAACGATGGATACGACAACGAAGACAGCGACTATATCCTCTATGTGAACGACATTCTGGGCTCAGAGGAAGCCGGCCACAAGTACGTCTAGGGTTCCGACGGCGCCACCTTTTCGCCGCCTTCAGTCGAGTACTCGAGCTAACTTGTGATTTAGGAACCGGTACCTTATTCTCGACGTTCTGGGCCAGGGAACCTTCGGCCAAGTTGTCAAATGTCAAAACCTCAAGACTCAAGAAGTTGTTGCCGTCAAGGTCATCAAAAATCGCACGGCATACTTCAACCAGAGTATGATGGAGGTCTCTGTCCTGGACTTGGTAAGGCGGCTCTCCTGCTCACGATTGACAACGAATTGCTGACTTTAGTCTGCTAGCTCAACACCAAGCTCGACAAGAACGACGACCACCACCTTTTGCGACTCAAAGACACCTTCATTCACCGGCAACATTTGTGCTTGGTCTTCGAGCTCCTCAGTGTCAACCTCTACGAGTTGATTAAGCAGAACCAGTTCCGAGGTCTAAGCACGACTCTCGTCCGCGTTTTTGCTCAACAACTCCTCAATGGCCTGGCCCTTTTGAACAAGGCACGGCTGATTCATTGCGATCTGAAGCCCGAAAACATCCTTCTCAAGAACCTCGAGAGCCCCATCATCAAGATCATCGATTTTGGTTCAGCATGCGACGAACGGCAAACAGTCTACACCTACATTCAGTCCAGGTTTTACCGGTCTCCCGAAGTTCTGCTGGGCTTGCCCTATTCGTCGGCCATCGATATGTGGTCGCTCGGCTGTATCGTAGTGGAACTGTTCCTTGGCCTCCCCTTGTTCCCCGGGTCGTCCGAGTACAACCAAGTCTCGCGCATTGTTGACATGCTTGGTAACCCTCAAAATTGGATGATCGAGATGGGCAAGCAAGCCGGCGAGTTCTTTGAGAAGAGGCAGGACGAGTTCGGACGACGGACATACCAGCTGAAGAGCATGGAGCAGTACGCTCGGGAGCACTCGACCAAGGAGCAGCCCAGCAAGAAGTATTTCCAAGCGAACACTTTGCCGGAGATCATCAAGTCGTACCCTATGCCACGCAAAAACATGAAGCAGAGCGAGATCGACAGAGGTAAGATTTCCAAGGTACTGCACAACAGTCGGGACAAGTGCTAACATAGCGTGTAGAAATGAACAACAGAGTCGCCTTTATCGATTTCGTCCGGGGTCTGCTCAATATCAACCCGCTGGAACGTTGGTCACCGCAACAGGCCAAGCTCCACCCGTTCATCACCCAGCAGAAGTTCACCGGTCCATTCGTCCCGCCCATGAACTTGAAGTCGAGCTCTCTGAACCGGTCTCCAGCACCAGGCACCCAGCAGCAGCAGCAAGCCGAAGCATTGAGCAAGCAGAGGGCACAGGCCGCCCAGGCGCAAGCGAACTCTGCGGCACAGGGGGCCTATGCACAGATGGCTGCTCAATATCAACAACCCACACACCCTCAGCAGGCGCCCATGTACAATAACCAACAAATGTACTCTCCTAGCAACAGTCATGCAGCCCAGCCGCCGCCCTACGGAGCCCAGCAGCAAGGCGCCTATGGTCAAATTGTCATGCCTCAGCAGCCGGCGCAGATGCCTCCTGGACCTTATGCGAATGCATCCCAACAACCTGGCCTGTATCCTCAGCAGGGCATGCGGCCGGCACGCCAACGTGCCTCAACCATGGAGCAGCAGCAAAGCGGTATTCCAGCCGCCATCCAGCGCGTGGCTAGTCACCTTGACCCGAGCCAGCCGATCCGTTTGCAGCCTAGCCCTGCTTACTACCCCCCTGGTGCCGACGGTGGGATGGCAGGCATGGACAATGCGGCTAATAGGGCCGGTAGACGTGGAAGTCGAGCGCAGCAAGGAGGAGGAAGAGGAAACCGAGACTTCATTCGCAACCTCGAGGAGCGAACGCTCGAAGAAGGCTTCATGGGGAGCCAGAATCCCTGGCATTGATGGCTGGGCGACCTCCGATCAAAGTGATTTGAAGTGCGCATTAAAATTCCTTCGCATCCTAGGGCTATCAGTCTATCCCTTACAGGAGACTATGGGAGGTGACGTTAGGACAGCCCGGGGATCGATGCTACAGCATTCGCTTGCGCCAGGTCGACTACAGCAGTGCAACCCCTGAACGCATGGTGGCAATTGGACGAAGAAGATACCCGGTGGCCCCAATAAGGGAGACCTGTTGCAGGGGACCATCTGAAGAAGACGAGGTTCAAAGCCGGGCTGGAAAGGGACGACGACGAAACATACACATGTACGGGAGCTCTGATGGGACGATGCATGAGAGGAAATTGGCGGACGATATTGGGTTGGCGGGGACGGCGGCCTCGACGGTGGAGGAAAGGGAAGGAAGGGCTCGACAGCCAGCAACGACATACGAGATCACGTCCTCTTCACACACCGTTCCTAACTACTTACCTACCTACCTTTGTTCCTAAGGTTTAAAGGGTTCCGGATACAGCAGGTTGGCTTTGCAAGTTGTTTGACTAATGTGGAAGTGACAATGGTGTCCAAGGGGAAAGAAGTTGCTGACCTGATCATGTGTGCCTACTCAATCAATGTTTAAGATACCAGGTTTTAACTCGACACTTGTATGGCTCTTCGCAACTCCCAGCCTTAGGAAGGGGCCGGTGATGTGGTCTCTTCAGTACAATGTTGCCAGAGTTCTTGTGCGTCTCGGGAAGCACTGACAGACACCCTAGCCCCCACGTCTGTTCCTGTACATCATGCTGTTGGGTGCTTCCTTTGAATAGGACCTTCTGTATTCACATGTCCTCCCATATCCTCCTTGAACAGGGAAGTTACTAACTAGGTACACTCTCGCCTTCCATGACATTGCGGAGAGGGTTGAGCTAAGCTCCTCCTTGTTGTTCGACATCTTTGCATTCACATTCTCTCTCTTCGACCACCTCCATCATTGCCCACCCAGCTTTGGCGCCCATTGCTAAGACAACAACCTTTGGTTCTTTGGATTTCTCTGTTGCTTTTACAATCTAGCATCTACCCACAACGGGGCCACTCATCGGCGTCCTCGCTGCTGTTACCTCAAGCATCCGCAAATTTCTTGGCCAACGTCTCATAAGATAGCCATGGCGCATCCTCTCTTGGTAACGAAGCAGAGGGATGCTATCGGATCCAAACCCTCCTCGAGACCTCAAGCCAAACGCCCCTCGGAGGTAACCCCGAAGAAAGACTTGACGTCAACGCAAGGAAGCTCCGATTCGGAGCCCAGTCTCAAACTCAACGGCAGCACAAGAAGCAGACACCGCGCGTCCTTGAGCATCTTGTGGCACAAAACTGTTTCCCGTATGCCGACCTTCAGCAGAAAAGATGCCTGGAAAGGACAGGCTGCCAGGGCAGCTCATGCCTCCTCAACAAGTCAGTCCGATTCGCAGACCGACGAAGGCGAGCAGCATCAGGTCGACAATTCCGCAACTATCAAGGACGATGTCACATTATCCCAGAAAAAGAAAGGTGCGATTGAAGGCATCCCACTCCTTGATTGTTGTCTGTTGAATGCTGACTTCAATTTCGACTTAGGTTTGTTCAAACGCCGAAGCCTCGGAAACATATTTGGTACCAGCAGCCGGAAAACGCTCAAGAGATGCATCAAGTCTGAGGAGGCTCTCACCGCCTTGATGGTTCGTGACGTAGATACGTCACCCCGCGAAAGACATCTGTCTGCCTCGCTCGTCGCTCCAGAGCTGCCGAAGGTGCGGGCATCAGGAAACTTTGAAAAGGAGTGCGTGATCATCACTGGAGAGCCACCCACGGTGGAACCGCCCATTTGCCCAGGAAAGCATACGCCCCAGCTACTGGAAACGCAGAAGGGTGATGGTCAACCCCCTTCCCTTGATCTAGGAGATGCCCTTGAAGATCGAGTTCCCGATGTGTCGCTATCAGCATTGGCTTTGGTCCAGCGACCCAGATCCTTGGATCCCAAGAAACTCCTGGCAGACGGTTCGGCAGCAGCAGATCTGGATTTTATCACATCGGCATTGGCCAAGAAATATGGCAAGAAAAAGCAGACGTCACAGCCATCATCTTCCACTGATCAGCATGTACACTTGGAGTCCAGAAAACCGCAACCAGTCGAGGCGAAAAGACTTCTTGAGCTGGCCAACGAAGCCAAGGCGGAGTTTGGGAACCTCGCTGCGACCATCAAGGCGACTGATCCACCCTCCGCTGTCATCCAAGCTGAGATGTCCAACAGAATTTTACCGGTGGTGAATACCGAGGCGCCCAATCCACCCTCTACTGTCTTCAAAGTCGAGATGTCCAACAGAATTATACCCGTGGTGAATACCGCGCTGAGCAGATTTCCTAAAGAGTCCGACTCTCGAGATGGCATTGCCAGCACAGAGGCGACTGATTCAAGAAATAAAGAGGTACTCGCTGGGAATGCCACGCACACTTCCTTGGAGAAGCTTGAACGGTCAACGAGAGAGCACATATTGAGATCGTACGCTGAGAATTTTGGCAAGTATGGACCTTTCCCTCATACCGCAGAGACGTGGGAATTGATTGGTCTTGCCTCGCAAGATGGCATAGGTACCAGGTCACATGGAACAGATGCTGATTCTTTACGCAGCCAAGACTGGGGGAGTGAGACTACTGTAGCTGGACCGGAGAAGGACAGTGTTCCAGACGCAATCCTTATCCCAAAACAATCCGACGACAGGCAACATCAACAACGTCTGGCTTTGCCACGCAATGTGAGCGAAGGCAAGGCTGAGACCAAACAGAAATACGGCGAATGGCTGTCGAGGAGTGCTATTCCATTGACGGATAATTCGACAATCACTCGCGAAATACATAGAGAGACGATGGACACAGGCCGGCTCACTGTGATCCCGGACATGGCCGTAGAACTCGAGTCTACGAAGAAAAACGGATACAACATTGTCTACCCGCCAGATTACGTTCCCAAACCTCGGATCACCTCAATAAATGCTTTGGTCATGGATCCTCTCCTCAATGCAGCAACCGAACGTCATCATCTTATTTCCGAAGACAAAGGCCAAACCGTTACTAGCAATGACACCAGCAGCCAGCGAGTTGATTCAGGTGGCACGGCGCTCCAAAGGAAGACAAAAACCTTGGCGTTCACCACACACATTGATATTCCTTGTCTCGACTATTCCTACAATCACACCCGGAAGTTGGCCTTCCCCGGAGACCGGCCTGAGACATCCGTATATTACGACGGGGCCAGCTGGGACGTTTGTGAGGACTACAGTGATATGGATGAGGTTTAGCTATGAAGGGCGGTCTGAGGTTTCCTGAGTTTTTGGCTTTCGTTTTTTTTCTTTAATTAGCTCAACTGTTCGTTTATTGACATGGGAAAGGCACTGGGGGGTCTAGTAGGTAGTTTTCGGTCCCCAAATACGGTGGCTGTTTGTAAAGTAACAGTTAAACCAAAACAAAGTAATAATGCCGTGGCTCAGTGTTGGCGTTGGACGTTCAGAAAATGAAAGCCACACCCGTGAGTGCGGTGGTGGGTGTTAGTGACTTGGGAGCTCCGACTGCAGACGGCCCCATTGGAGAAATAGGTACGTACCGAACCGTCCAATCGAGTGGAGACCCTTGGAACACGCTCCCATGGGCCATGGTCCACCCTCTAAACCAACGCGCCCAGGTCAGCCTCAAGTTAAGGTAACTTTCTGTCTCATGCTCGTCAGGGTCTTTGCAAGGTACTTCATCCATTCTTCAACTTGTCTTTGCCCGCCTTTCTCGAATCAAGGTGTCTCTTTACAGCCACGAACCTATCGGCGACCCATTATTCTACCTAGTCCCCCTCTCACTCCTTTCTCAACCCATCACTTTTCTACCCAAGATCTTGCAACCAGACGTGTCTTGCAGACACCCCTACATTTTCGACCTTTGCGACCACCACACTCAACCTCATCCTATCTCGCTCCGACCGGAACCGTTTGCCCAGGAGATCAATCAACATGGCGAAGGTAGCAACCGACTTTGAGAAGATCATCCAACAAGGTAGAGCCATTTTCTTACCACGTCATCGGACGCCGCCCGTTTAGAATGGATCGCTGACCGGAGCGACATTTTGCTTCGCTTCGCAGGACGAGAGAGGAAGAAGAACGAGGCGCTGGCACAGAAGATCTTCTCCAAGGACAGAAGGCAGAGCGCGCCTTCCAAGCTCAAGTCCGGTGCGGGACCGTCGCTGGCGAGCCGAGTCGGTATCACGAAGAAGGTATGCACCTCTCACCTTGTCATTCACGACTAGCTTTCAACAAACCGACGAGCGAAGCAATCGCTAATGTTCTCTTCACCTGGAATCAGCCCCGCACCGCATCCCTTGGCCCCAAGCCCCTTCCTGTTGGCAACATCGACGGCGACTGGACACACGACCTCCACGGAACGGTGAACAATGGCGGCGGCAGAGGAGGACGGAACAACAACGGCAACAGCGCCGGTGCAGGCGGCCTCGCGTCGCGCATTTCTGCGCCGGGAGGAGGCAGGTCCGCGCCCGGCGCGGCTTCGAACGGCGGCAATAACAACAACAGACGAGTCGACCGACGCGCCGAGCAGAAGGCGGCGAGAGTGGCTGCCGCGATTGAGCGCTCGGGCACCATGGCCGACGTCCAGATGACTTCTGTCGCGAACGTGGTGCCTACGGGACCGGCGATCAGGCAGGGCCTCTCTATCAGAGGGCTGGCGGGTCCGTTCGCGGTGATGGCGCAGAACTTTGCGCCGGGGACGACGGCGGCGGATATCGAGAGCGCGATGACGCCTGTGGGCGGGGAGATGCTGAGCTGTCGGATCATCAAGACGACGCCTCTGATTCTGGCGGAGATGGTATTTGCGACGAAGGAGGGTGGTGATGCGGTCATTTCCACGTTTAACAACCAGACGGTAAGAGTGCCCGGCATCCGAAGCCTGCTATTGCATGAGGCGATGGCAGGCGCACTTTGGAGTTGTTTGCTGATTTGAGAGTGGACTATAGGCCGACGGACGCATCATCAAAGTCTACCCCAAGCCCGGCGGCTACAAGGAGCCCTCTACCCGCCCCGCCAACACCCGTTCGACCTCGAGCAACTTTGTCGACGGCATGAACGGATTCCCCGAGGCCATGGAGGAAGACAACGGCGGCTTGTACAGCGATGACCTCGTTCGCAATGTCGGCAACGGCGGCGGGAACGGCAACAACAACAACCGTAGAGGACGAAACTTCAACCGTGGCGGCAGGCGATGAGTGAGAGGCGAAGATGACGATGGGGAAACGTTCCGGTGCTAGACGGGCGAATTATGACGGAGGCACACACAAAAAGACACCCTATTCACACTACAAATTCGGGTTTTCTTTTTTCTACTTGGGCGTTAAGATTTCGAGAGCGGGCTTGGGAAACGAACGAAAATACCTAGGCGACTCATGTGTATGTTGGTTCTCCTCATAAAGGGGGGAGAATTTCAGATCGGAGGCATTTCTCGCAAGTAGGGGAGGGTTCTTTTCGAGAGGGCGCAGATCTCTCTCCATCATTCAGGGAGGGCAAGTGTACTAATAGACCAAAGAGACTTTGCCTTTTCTTCACTTTTCTTTATTTCATCTCCTTTTTCCTGCAATTCAGGGCGTCTTCGAGGAATGGCGTCGGACCACGGTTGAAGCTCAGAAAGGTGCATTGGGATTGGGGTATTGTTCTATCGATGTGACGAGACTTCGGTCGTTCTATATCTTAGGTATCCATGGCTTAGACATTGTGTGTCTTACATGGTAATGTACATTTCATGGTAAGGATAATTTACAAGTCCAACATTTGTTGCTCGTCCTTCTTTGCGGGCGTAGCATCCTCTATACGCTGGTTCGGGTCGGTAAACTCGACCGCGAACCGGTTCAGCTTGCTACGTTTCTCCTTGAGGCTGATGAGCGCCTCGTCGTCGGAAGCAAGTGCTCTCTCGTTGACGACCTTGTCGACGGCGCTAATCATCTTGCGCGCGAGGTCGGCAAGGTCCTCGACGGCCTCGGCGCGTTTCCGGGCCACGTGCTTGCCTTGGGACTTGATCAAGGCCTCCTTGGCCGCGGAAAAGGGCGTCCAGAGATTTTCCACGGCAGCGGCGAGTTGTTGGCCGTAGCCGCGCTTCGCTCCCTGGGTGTCGCCCGCCTTGTCCATCTGGCGGAAGTTGAAGTGGCACATGATGGCACCCTTCATGTAGATGAGGAGGGCGCGCACGTCCACGGGTGTTTTCTGCACACCGCCATGGGCGAGCATCGTGTTCAGGATGGATGTGGCGTCGGCGAATGCGTTTTGGCTCATGTTGTTGTTGATGCAGGCGGAGAGGGCGCGGCGGTAGACGATGGGAGGGACGGGTTTGTCGGCGGGCATCTGCTGTACGGCCTTTGCGGCGTCTTTGCTCGAGCCGCTGCGTTCGTAGAGACGGATCATTTGGTGGTAGTTATCCGTGTCGGGGTTGACGCCGTAGTAGTGGACAAAGAGGTCCCAGTATTTCACGCCCAGCTTGGTCTGCTTCTGCTCGCGGACGATGGCGAGGACGAGGGAAAGGGTGTTGGAGCGCGGTACGGCGTATTTGATCTTTGGTGAGAGAACCGTGGCTTTGCGTTTGGTGCTGCCGGTCGCGCTGATACCCTTCATCTCGTCGTTGATGCGGTGTGCGTAGTCGCCCGTGGGCGTGCGGTTGTAGTTCCGGACACTCATGGTCTCTTCGAGCATGGTCATAATTTTGCCTCTGTCCTTACTGCCTCCGAGGAGCAGAACACGACCCATGGCGCACACTAGGTCCTCGTCAATCTCCAGCTTGCCGTTGCGCCAATTGCGCATGACCTCCTCCCAGATGTGCTTGCACCGCGTGATCGTCTGTTCCACCATATCGATATGCTGTTGGAGAGACTGCCCTTTGCGGTTGTCCTGGTTCTCAGCCTCTGCACGTAGCGTGTTGATGATGGCCGTGTACGTGTAAGCGGTGTTCTTGCGACCGGATTTGGCGTCAGTCGAATCGGCCAGCGTGAACATGTTTTCGACGTCGCCTGCGCGGCCGCAGCACTGGATCACGGCGTTGACATGTATCGAGTTGGGCTTGATCTTTGCGTCCTCCTTGAGCATGGTTTTGTACAGAGCTAGGGCTTTGGCGCTGGCAGCCTTTGGTTCGCGGGACTTTGCGCAACCGGTGAAGATGATGGTAAATGTCTGTTCGTTGGGTGACTGGCCGCGCTTCTTCATGTCGTTGAAGAGGGTGATGGCATAGTTGACACGCTTCAACTCCATGATCTGGTACTTGATGAGGTGGTTCCAGGACACTACGAGGTCGGTATCCTTGCCGCTGGCGCGCTGGACAAGCAGAAGGGCCTCATCGAAACGACCCTTCTCGAGTGTCGCCTCGACGTGCTTGGCGATGTTGAAGGGGTTTTCCAAGTGCTCGAGATGTTTCGACACAGCCCAGTCCAGCTTCTGTTTCCTTCTCTTTTCTGCAAATTCCTCGCTGCCGCCGTGGGTACCTTTTTCTATTTCCTGGCCTTCTTTCAAGAAAGCCCGGCCCGCGGACGTTGTGGGTGTTGCCTTTCTATGGGCGAGTCGGCGTTGGCTGCCCGGCGGGCCATGTTGAAGGATGGGTAGAGTAGACGATAATTCGGAGAAGGAGGCCCTTCCTGACAACGGCTGAAGCGCCCGTGTAAGGCACGCTTTGCAGGATAGCATCCTCGAGTGTATTTTGCGGCGGAAGGTGATGTGAGCTTGGAGCTATTCGCAATTAAGGTATTCCGTAATGTACTCAGGTAGGTATCATCAGATGGATCTTCAATCATGAAAGCGCTACCGGGAAATTTTGCGACCAACTGCCCAAGCTCTCTTATCTTATCGGAGAGCTTGCCTGTGCCTGCGTCGTTGGGGCGTCCTGCATAAGGTAGGTAGGTGGCTTAGCGTGTCGCGCAGAACATTGACGTTGGTTGCGGGGCGATCCTCTTTATGAATGCCCCACCTTTGCTGTGTTTAGTGCAGACTCAACCAATTGGCCCGACGGCAATTAAGCAAAAACGCGTCGCCAAACACGAACGCGACTTTCATTGCGCGCCGCCCCTGGCTGAACGGCCAAATTATAGTGCACATCAATCCCGTGCTTTGTGTTAACCCACCCACAACAGGCCTACTCCGTTCCTCGATACAAACACACCTTGACACGCCAAATCTTTCAGTACCTATCGCCGGTGCCGAATAACTTCTTGCTCTATACGATGAATTGAGTGTCCTTTCGAGAAATTGAACTTCCCTCTCATACTCGACAGATCAACCCTGCCCACCATGCCCAAGGTCGACAGACGCTCAAAGCTGGCCGAGCTTCGGGCTCTGCGAGCATCCGGCAAGAGGGCCAACTACGAGGTCGAGGAGGTCGACGAGCTTTACGAAGAGGTTGACGAAAACCAGTACAAGAAGATCATCCGAGACCGTCTGGATCAAGACGATTTCGTTGTCGACGACAATGGCGAGGGATATGCCGACGATGGTCGAGAGGAGTGGGATCGCCAGCCCCAATACTACTCGGAGAGCGATGAGGATATACCAGTGAAGGGCCGCGGTAGGCCAAGCAAAGCCTGTGAGCAGAGTCTCCAATTTCACATGCTTGCGAGATCTCTGTCGTGCTGACTGTCAATAGCAAAAAAGCAGCGCGAAGAGGAAGAGGCCAAGCGAGATGCAAATGACAGAGACATCAGCGAATACTTTACAAAGGGTACAACCAAGACACAAGCCAAGCCAAAGGTTCGTCAGATGCCCCCAAAGCCAGAGGAAGATTGTTCTAACAAAAGTCATAGGTCGCCAAAACGAAAGAAGACGATGCTTTCCTTGCTGATCTCCTGGGCGAGGTCGACGCCAACATCCCCGCTCCTGCGTCCCGATCAGCCAAGCGTAACAGATCCCCCGAACGTCGCCGAGCCCGTGTGCTTTCTCCTGCCCCCGAGACTAGGACGCGCCTCACCAAGAGAACAAAGACTGTGGATGACAGACAATCATCTCCCATATTCGACAACTCAGCAGTCGATGATGGCTACTTGCCCCCTATGGGCGACGATAGAGACGATAGTCCCGCTCCGATCACTGTGGACGATATTCCCATGTCCGAGGACCCCGCGCCATCATCACCTGCCGCTAAAGTAGCCCAGCGCAAGGCACTGGTCAAGCCAGAGCCCCTGGATGAGGAAGACGATGTCATGATGGAGATTGCCCACGCTGGTGCGGTCACCGCTGCTAGTGTCAACATCACAGGGTCAAGACCACCGAAGAAACTGGTCAAGCCCGACCCCTACCCTACACCTTTGAGCTCCTCTCCGGTCAAGCCTGCTGCCCCATCAGTCGACTCGTCAGCATGGAACAAGATTACAGACCAGCTGAACGTTGTCTCAAGCTCTCCTGCGGAGGCTAGAACCGTCGGCAAAATAGACTATAAGGACGCTATCGAGGAGGACGGCAGTCTCAACATGTTCTGGACTGACTACACCGAGGTCAATGGCAGTCTCTGCCTTTTTGGCAAAGTCTTGAACAAGAAGACTGGCTTGTATGTCAGTTGCTTCGTCAAGGTCGACAACATTCTCCGCAAGCTCTTTTTCCTTCCCCGCGAGACGAAGCTCGAGGGTGGAGAAGAGACAAGCGAGGAAGTCGGGATGATGGATGTCTACTCTGAGGTCGACTCGCTTATGACCAAGATGAATGTCGGCATGTACAAGATCAAGGCATGCACAAGGAAGTACGCATTCGAGCTTCCGGGCATTCCAAAGGAGGCTCAGTACTTGAAGTGTTTGTATCCCTACACGAAACCTGTTATTGACAGTACGGCCACTGGAAATACGTTCTCGCGTATCTTTGGCACGAACACGGCGCTATTCGAGCAGTTCGTGCTGTGGAAGAACATCATGGGTCCCTGCTGGCTGAAGATCACCGATGCCGACTTTGGTTCCCTCAAGAATGCCTCTCACTGCAAGCTTGAAGTGCTCGTCGAGCACCCGAACATGGTCTCCACGCTCAGCGACTCTGACACCCTCGATACCCCTCCCCTGACCTTGATGAGTATCGCGTTGCGTACTGCCTTCAACCCCAAGGCCAACAAGCAAGAGATTCTGGCAATCAGCGCCCGCATCTACGAGAAGACTTCCTTGGCTGATCCAACTCCGGCTGAGAAGCTTCCCTGCCGGACATTCACCCTCATCCGTCCTCATGGGACAGCATTCCCTCTTGGATTTGAGAGCATGGCGAAGGACAGAAAGAGAGGCCTCATCAAGACCTTCCGTCAAGAGTCAGAAATCCTCATGTTCTTCCTTGCTCAGCTTGATGTCGTGGACCCAGACGTAATCCTAGGACATCAGTTGGAGGGAGTCGACTACAGCGTTCTGCTCAACCGCATTCACGAGAAGAAGACACACCAGTGGTCTCGGCTTGGTCGACTCAAGCGAACGCAATGGCCAGCTTCCATGAACAAGGTTGGTGGCAATGTCTTCGCCGAGAGGCAAGTCATGGCTGGTCGTTTGCTTTGCGACCTGGCCAACGATGCTGGAAAGTCTGCCATGTTCAAGTGTCAATCTTGGAGCTTGACAGAAATGTGCAGTCTATACCTGCCGGGTAACAACCGTAGGCAGGACATCGACAATGAAGCTGCGCTCAAGACATGGGCAACCCAGTCCAAGGAAGGCATGATGAACTACGTCTCACACATGGAGGCAGATACCCACTTCATCACTGCGCTGGCTTTACAGGTCCAGCTTCTTCCCCTGACCAAGGTTCTCACTAATTTGGCCGGTAACTCATGGGCGAGAACCCTTACTGGAACTCGCGCTGAGCGTAACGAGTACATTTTGTTACACGAGTTCCACCGCAACAAGTACATCTGCCCTGACAAGCAGACTTACAGGGGTAGAATGGCCCAGGAAGAGAATGAGGCCGAGGAGGGCGACGGGAAAAAGAAGGACAAGTACAAGGGAGGTCTTGTTTTTGAACCTGAGAAGGGTCTCTACGACAAGTTTGTTCTGGTCATGGACTTCAACTCTCTGTACCCTTCCATCATCCAGGAGTACAACATCTGTTTCACGACTGTGGATAGATCCACTATGGTATGCACATGATTTATTTCACCTTCACTTCAAAGTCAAATGCTAACTCACGCAACAGGAACAAGATGAAGAAGCTGTACCCGAGGTCCCTAAGGATCAAGACCAAGGCATCTTGCCCAGACTCATTGCCACACTTGTTGGCCGAAGAAAGCAAGTCAAGTCCTTGATGAAGGACAAGAATGCAACTCCAGAGCAGCTCGCCACCTGGGACATCAAGCAGCTTGCGCTTAAGCTTACGGCCAACTCCATGTACGGATGTTTGGGTTACACCAAGTCCCGTTTCTACGCCCGCCCTCTTGCCGTCTTGACTACGTACAAGGGTCGTGAGATTCTGCGCAGCACCAAGGAGCTCGCCGAAAGCAACCAGCTCCAGGTCATCTACGGAGACACTGACTCCGTTATGATCAACGCCAACGTCGAGAACGTATCCGATGCCTTCAAGGTCGGCCAAGAGTTCAAGAAGGCCGTCAACGAACGGTACAAACTCTTAGAGATCGACATTGACAATGTATTCCGCCGTATCCTGCTCCAGGCCAAGAAGAAATACGCTGCTATCAATTTGGTTGAAAAGGATGGCAAATTCATCGAGAAGATGGAGGTCAAGGGTCTCGACATGAAGCGTCGTGAGTACTGTGGCCTGTCCAAGGAAATCTCGAGCAAGATCCTCGACGAGATTCTGTCCGGCAACGAGACAGAGAAGTCCATTTCACGCATCCACGAATACCTCCGAGAGATCTCTGGGAAGATGCGTGAGCAGGCTATTCCAGTGCAGAAGTACATCATCTTCACACAGCTCGGCAAGGCCCCCACAGAATATCCCAACGCGGACTCCATGCCCCAGGTCCAGGTTGCCTTGAGGGAAATTGCCAAGGGAAAGAATGTTCGCCGTGGCGACGTTATCTCCTATGTCATCACCGGCGATCCTCAGAGTTCCGACCCTGCCCCGAAGAGAGCCTATTCTCCCCCAGATGTCATGAAGGCTGACTCCGGCCTCTCACCAGATGTCGAGTGGTACCTTGGCAAACAAATCTTCCCACCAGTCGAGCGTCTTTGCGCGAATATTGTTGGAACCTCGAGCTCTCAGCTTGCAGAGTGCCTCGGCTTGGACATCCGCAGGTACAAGTCAGTCCAGGACCAGCAACAGAGCGGAGGCGGCGATGTCGAGATCCACCCCATGGAGTCCCAAATTCCCGACGAAGTGCGCTTCGCCGAGTGTGCCCGTCTCTCCCTTCGCTGCAGGGCATGCAAGAAGACTTCCGTTTTTGAGGGTCTGCTCGCACAGCCCGATCGCGTCTCGGCATCAGGGGTGCTTTGCGACTCTTGCGGTGCCACCATCTCAATACTATCGATCGTGGCCCAGCTTGAACACGCCCTGCGGACTCAGACAGCGCGCTACTACGAGAGCTGGCTGGTCTGCGACGATTCCGCCTGCGGCATGCGCACCCGCCAAATGAACGTCTACGGCACGCGTTGTCTGGGCCCCAAGGGCCTTGCGCGGGATTGTCTCGGTCGTATGCGCTATGAGTACACCGAGAAGGCCATTTACAACCAGCTCATATACTACGCCAGTCTCTGGGACGTTGACAAGGCCAAAACCAAGGCTTCTGCGGAGAACGGCAATGACATGCCACGCGAACACAAGGACAAGGTTCTCGCGATGGCGGAGCACAACCGCGTTCGATTCGGCACTGTCAAGAGCGTGGTGGATAAGTATCTCGACAAGTGTGGTAGACAATGGGTCGCCATGGATACTCTATTTGCCAAGCTGGGCTTCAACAAGCTTCTTGCTGCAGCATAAGGCGCGTGTCACCACACCGCATGGGGTGAGTGCGCAAAGGACAGCTGATAATGATTGGGATGGGAAGTTTTGGACATGACGGAACCCTTTGAGGAGTTGGTATGGAGGGGAGGCTGGCTTCGAGGTTCTGGCCTAGTATTTGAGTTTGCTTTTAGGGGAGGATGATGACTTGAGGAGTTGGAGAGCCCGGAGTTTTCGGTTGGACTTGGGAAATCGAGGCGGGCAAAATTAGCCTCTAGATATGTTTCGTAGTTGTTACCGTAGGAAACGTGGTTAATATCTTTTCAAAGTGCTTGTGTGATATACGATATGTTCCTTCCTGTCACTGCATACACAATTCATGACTTTCACACCCTGGAGATCAGGAGTTCAACCGCTCATCGATATCGCAACGCGAAAGATGGCCGGTAGCCAAGTGCTCCCTCCGTATGAGGACAGCATGGGATTATTGACCAAGGCAAGTCGTCCTGGCTTTGGCTTCACGTCACACATACACAGTCACAGATGACAAACACACGGAAAGGTTGTGAACTATGTAGTCTCTTCTTTTTTTAAGGCTAGGTCCACTGGCAAGCTCGCTGCCGAATTAAATGTACAAAGTCAGAGAAAGCATTAGGTCCCTCCACGCCCGGTCGGTAAATCCCCTCACCAGTCCCCTTTTTCGCCGGCGAAGATGCCTAGACCAAGGGGACAAGCCACTGTTGGCGACCAGTAACTTGAACCCAGAGTCCCGGCTCTTTCACCGAGCACCTCTCCGCCTTCGTAGTGGACAGAGATGGGTGCTGGGACCAGTCCACTCCCTCCCATGACCGGGAAACCACGCTCAAAAAAGAAGTGTTGGTGACGTCGAGAGACCTGCCAGTGATGACCAAGCCAAGGCCAAAAGGATGAAAAAAAGACGAAAATCCTCTTCTGAACAAATCCCTAAATCCCCTTTTTGCATTCGGAACAGGATCACGACCTTGCCGACGCTCCTGCGTATGCTTTTTTGATGTCCCGCCTTTATAAAGAGCAAAATTCGCGCACTCTCATAACGTGCGCGTAAGCTCTCCGTTGCTGGATGGACTCTCCCGGGGTCGTCTCTTCCTTCGTACGTCTGGCCTGTCTGCATTCAACCATTTCCCAACTACTACTACCCCACGCAGCCAGGCACGTAGAAGAGGACCCATAAAGCGTCGTGAACTCGTATTAGAAAAGGAATAAAACACGTTGTGTGTTTTGCGTCTGAGCGCATCATGAATTGATGCGATCGGGTTGAAGAGGGCCGAATGTGGAAAATGAAACATCCGGATTCCGAAAATGGAAAACCTCTCTTCCTGGTGAGAGGTCATCTCAGTGTGAATCGTCTATGTCGGTATTCTTTCGAGGTATCATGGTCCGCAGCAAAGATCAGGGTTAACTTTTGAAACACGAACTCTGAGAACCCTCTGTGTAAATGCACCAAACAGCCCCCGCCCCTGTCTATTTGCTTAAATGCAATGACTTATCGGAAAAGGAAATACTCGGCTCCTCTCATTTGCTCTCGGCAGAGTCGGGAACAGCCTTGGACAATGCGGGAGAGGCAGCAGTCGAAGGAGGAGAAGCCGGGGTTTCGCTGTCCAAGTTGGCGAGTGCACTACAACGGTGGTTAGTCATTGACCATGTTGATTGCCAAAAGCGGTGAAGAACTTACCTGAAGGCGTTTTGGTGTTGGGTGGTGGGGGGAGTGCCGGTGCGGGATGAAGCACCAGAGTCCTCGCCAGGGCGGCCGAGAGAGCCACCAGGTCCCAGTCTGCGTCCACTGTTGCTACGAGAGCTGAACATGGAGGTGGGACCGAGAGAGATGTTGCCACTGGCAGCTCTGCTCGTCGAACCCTTCAGGCGGCGCAAGTCGTCCATACCGACTTGGTTGGATTGGGCCTGCATGTAGCCAGAGGAGAAGTTGCGAGAATCGCCACGACCGACATTGGGACGGCCACCGGGACCGCGTTGGCTACCGCCGCGCTGGTTCTCCATTGCCTTCTGGGCAGCAGCTGCCTCAGCCTACACGAATAGTTAGTACACAGTAATTGGGAAAGGATGGTTGACCTGGATGTCTTACCTCTGCGCGAATCTCATCAAGAGTCTTAGGACCCTTGTTTGCCTCCTTGGAGGCCCAGCCAGCCTTGCGAAGATCAAAGACATCCAACAGCATGAAGTTCAATCTGCTGGGAAGCTCAGGCATGTCCATCATGTGCTGAATGCGGTCGAAGTAGACGTTCATCAAGGCCTTGCCCTTCTCCGAAGCGTCAAGGTTGCTACCAATGGTTCTCAACAACTTGGAGAGAGACTCTATCTCAGCCTCGTCGGGAACACCCTCGTAGTCGACAAGCTTGCGAACGCACTCGTGCATGATGCGCTCCGTCAACATGCCAAGCTTGTACAGCTCACCAATGAATTGGACGAGACCAAGACCGCGACGCTTGGCGGCAGCTTCAATGTAATACTCGTCGGAAAGCATGGCGGCCTCGTTCGTTTGGGGCTTGCTCTCGTCGGCTTCCTCGGGCTTGGCGGGCAGGTTGGACTTCCAGCCGCGCTCGAACTCCTCTTGACAACGGTTGAGAAGGTACTTGCGGAACAAGGCACCTCCGCTGACAACCACACCGTTCTTGTCCTTGATGTTCTCGTCGCGGATCTCAGGGCTCATCGTGTCAAGCATACGCTTGCAGAACTTGGCGTACATGGAAGCCCAGTGAGCCTCGTCGGTGGCCTTCTCGAAGGTAAGCTGAATAACCTGGCGAAGAGTGCGGCCGTCGGACTCGTCCTTGGACTGGCCCGCGATGGCCAGAATCTGATCGGCAATCTTGTCGAACTTCTCCGGTGTCATCTTGTTGAGAGCAGCCTTGACCTTGCGCTGAACCATCTGAGGATCCATGTGATCGCCGCCAGGAGTAGGGCCTGATGCTGAGGGGCCCTTGCCGACGCTGGTCGGCTTCCAGCCTGAAGCTGAGACGGCGATGGGCTTGAGCTCCATGCCAGCCGTGAGAGGCATGGTCTTGGCCGCCTGCGCATCCTTGGCGTTGTAGTCGTTACGCCTGCTGCCACCACCTCTGGCGGAACGGGTCCGGGGAGAGTTGGGTCCCATGTTGGAGGAAGAAGGTGTGCGGTTCACCATCTGAGGACCAGGAAACTGGCGGAAAGTGCCCATGTTGCCAACGGGGCCGCTGCCTGAGCCCATAGCTGCATTGGCCATAGCGAACCGTTCGGCAGAAGTCGTACCACGGACGTTGTTAGAGGGACCACGGAAGCTGCCCATGGCACCGACCTGGGGTGCAGCGGCGCCACGTTGGGAGCCACCACGACCAGAGCCAGCACGAGGGGTAGAAGCAGAACGAGAACCGTCGTTGTCGCCAATGAGAGACTTGACTTGCTGGTGGAACTCTGTGGAAGGCTGCTCGGTGAAGACCTTCTGGAACTGGAGCAAGAACTGAGCATCGTACTTGAATGTCTTGCCCTTCTTAGCGACAGCGGCGTTCAAGGCAGGGTTGGGCGAGCTGATACCGGCAGGGTACAGGTCTTGGTTCATGACAGTCAAGAAGCGGGCAGACTTCAAGGACTGAAGAGCAGCACTGGGCTGAGGCGGCTCAACAGGCTTGGTGTTGAGGGGAGCCAAGTTGAGAGGGGACGGCTTGGGGCCGCGCTTCTCGGTGGGAGTGGCCTTGGGAGCGGAAGCCTCGGTGGGAGTCGATGCCTTTGAGTCGCCGATGCTGAGGTTGGAAAGCTTGTCGGCAACATCGCCAACCTTGGCAGGCTCGCTGTCGCCAGTCTTTCCGGCGAGCAAATCGGCGACGGAAGGGGTGCTTCCGCCCTGTGCGCGCTTCTTCTCCTTCTCCTCTTCGAGACGCTCCATCTCGCGCTCAGCCTCACGGAGCTTGCGGTCAGCTTCGGCAGCGTTGGTGGCCTTGTTCGCATCGTCGAGCTTCTTCTGCGCCTCTTTCTCGATCTTCTTCTTGGCGGCATACTCAGCGGCCGCCTTCTCGCGACGAGCATCTTCCTCTTCCATCTCGCGAATCATGCGCTCCACCTCGTCCTCCGCGTCAGCGGGAGCGGCAGCGGGCTTCTCGGCAGGCTTCTCAGCCGCCTTCTCAGCCGCCTTCTCAGCCTCCGCCTTGGCCTCCGCCTTGGCCTTAGCCTCGGCGGCCTTCTTCTCCTCCTCAGCGGCAGCGGCCTTGGCCTTCTCTTCCTCGTCAGCCTTGCGCTTCGCTTCGGCTTCTTCCTCAGCCTTGCGAGCGTCTTCCTTTGTCTTCTCCTCGGCCTTGCGGGCTTCTTCCTTGGCCTCGGCAGCCTTCTTCTCTTCGTCGGCGGCCTTGGCCTTGGCATCGGCCTCTTCCTTCGCCTTGTCTTCACCACCCTTGGCCTGCTGGATCTTGGCTCTCAGCTCATCCTGGATCTCTTGACGAGTCTTGGGAGTGGCCTGGCTCTCGGTGCGGACGTGGGAGGGCGTTGCGGACTTGGGGGGAGGAGTAGGTGTAGAGGTAACGATAGGGGGAGTCTTGGACTGCTGGACGATGGGAGGGGCAGGCGACGACGGCGTCTTGATGCTCTTCTTGAAGTCAACTGCTTCGCCGGCAGCGTTCTTGATGACAATGGCAGCACTCTTCTTGGGGCGAACGAAGTTGCCAGATGACGCGACAACCGGTGTCTTGACTTGTGCGTTCTGGGGCTGGGGCGTACCGGACACAACAACAGGCTGGCTCGGCTGGCCAGTGCTGGAGGAGGGACGCTCAGAGTGAGACGAGGTGCGGGACATGGCAGTCGGCGCAGGCTGGTGGAACGCAGGAGGAGCGTAGCCAGGCTGGAAAGCCGGGGGGGCTCCAGGAGAGGGCATGTATCCCATCTGGTTGTAGTAGATGGGTCGGCCAAACTGGTCGAACTGGTGGTTCGCCTGGGGAGGGTAGCCGTACTGTGCCTTTGTTTGAGTTAGCAATCTTTCGTAGTTACCACTTTCAGGAGAAAGATCAATAGGGGGAACGGGGGGACGAGAGAGTTGAGTGATGCCACTAGGTTCAGTCGACATGTAAGCCAGCTCAGTGATGCCGTAGTCGCCCAAGTCTGGACAGTAACTCGGGGTCAACCGGGGGTCGGCCCAAAGTTGCTCTCCATGCTTGTTATAGCGCCGAGGTCTGCTGGAGTCGAACGGCAAGTCATGCGAGGAATCCGCATGTCTCGACTTCAAGTAGGAAGACTTCTCCCACTGCTTCAGGTTCTTCTTCTTGCTCTTGAAAGCCGGAATGAAAGAAGCAGCCAAATTCGACGGCACGCAAACATCTTGAAAGGGAGGGGGAATTACATTGGGAGGCGGGCCCTGCTGGTAGTATTGAGGAGAGGGAGCTGGCATCGGCATGGGATGCATCTGCGCCGGAGGCATGTTCGGAGTTCCGGGCTGCGAATGGCCGGGTTGGGAATGGGCCAAAGCAGGGCTTCGGGCCGGCTGAGGCGAGTTCGGGTAGGGTTGCATGGGTCTTCCGGGGTGGAAGGCAGGCGGCATGCCGCCACGACCCTGGCCGTTTCTGTATTGCTGCTGGTTCGGGGGGAATCCCATGTTGGCCTGGTACGGGGGCTGATGAGGGTTGAAGCCACGACCACGGCCGCCCTGAGGCTGGAAACCTCCACGGCCCGGGCCTTGGTTAGGGCCAGGGGCGTCGCTGTGCTGAGAAACGCCGGACTCGCGTCGGATATGTTGACCGGGCATCGCAGGAAGAGCAGCCTGGCTCTGGGGAGTAGAGGCCTGTCTCATGTGGCGCTGGGAAGAAGATTGAAAGTCAGTGGCGCGAACGCGAGCAGGGTGTCCGAAGAGGACGGGGCAAGAATCACTTACATCGCCATCGCTTCCGAGACTGCCAAAAGTCATCGCATTGGGTTGAGCCATGCCCGAAGGGGACGGCCACCGCTAGCAGAAGGCTGAGGGATAGGAGAGGGAGAGTGCGCAGGAGAAGGCACTCTCTGGTTGGATCCGGGAATGGGGATCGGAGCAGCCGAAGCTTGAGGGGTGCTGTGTGCGACAGCAGGAGAGTTGTATCCGAACTGAATGCCGGGCTTTGCACCACCGACAGGGCCGCCGTTGGGAGCAAAGCTGTTGGGGCCGTTGGCGCTAAGGGTAACGGAGCTCTTGCGAGCGTGATCGGGTGCGCTTCCGTTCATGTTGTCGGCGGAAGAGCCGTGAGCGACTGCAGGGACGGCAGGGACAGCAGGTGTGACAGGAGGACGTCCATTTACTGGTGACGGAGCAGACGGCTTTGCATTTTGCGCAGAGGAGCCACCGACCACCACAGGTGGGTTGGATCCCGTCGCAATCAGCGGCGTGGAGGCTTGCTTCTTGTTCGCACCGGCAGCGGAAGCATATGAAGGAGCCGAAGTCGCAGCAGAAGGGGTGGGCGCCGGGTTGGACTGAGGGCTGGCAGTCGAAGTCATATGTGGAATCTCGTCGTAGCGCGTCTGTTCGTGTAGAGAGTAGCGTTGATGAAGGACCGTGTCGAAACGAAGCTGACGTCGGTGTCGGGTAGTTGTTGAAGTACAACTGCAACGATGGCTCGAATACCGAATCCCAGATTCGCTTTGGGGGTGGTTGTGACGGATCGCAGAAATTCAATAATGAATGACTGTGTCAAGAAGAACTCGAAGAAGAAAAAATCCTCGCAACGTGATGGATCGGATCGTTTCGGAGAAAGCGAAGTCGAGTCGGTCCAAAAGGTGGATGCGGGAGGAGAGATTTTTTGTTGTTGCGGGTGAGTGTTCGTGGATTCCTTGACGGCAGGAAGTCGCTAGGCGATGGGGGTGGAGAGGGGGGCAACAAGGTCTGTCTGCCTACGCAACGGGTCTTGGAAGGAACCAAATAAATGTGTCCTTTGACCGGCGGGTATTGCAGAGGAGGGGAGAGTCGTCTTCTGAAGGGGAAGCTACAGAAGAAACTGTCGATACAGAAAGGGTCTCTGGTGAAGGAAAAATTATTCCACCTGGACCAGTTTCGGTGTTTGTGGTAGGTTTAGAAGGAGAAACGACCATAAAAAATTTTGGGCAACGAGATATTATGGCGTGGATCTTGGGTGTGAGTGGGAGGGAAGGACCCAGGAAAAAGGTACATTGGCTTAAGTACCTCCTCATAAGCCCGCGCCGCGCCCACACCCGCCTCAGACCTTTTTCTCCATTCACTTTGCCCGCCCTCGCCCTCAACCCTCACCTTCCAGGTACAGATGAAAGTGTTGCCAATTCAGTGATGGAGGCACTGAGGTGAGGCTTGGGTTTCTCCGTAACCACCTCACCTCGGGCACCATTCACTACTCCTTCTGAACAGCTGACCGTTCGCATATCTTCACCTTATTTTTCTACCCTTTCTCCTATGGATGTTGGCACCTAAGGTATTTCATGGAAGCGAGACCTATTCACTTCACTCAGGCGAGGTGAACCACCCACGCTCCCTCCGAGTCCCAACCTCTACGGGTATCCGTACCCCAGTGAAGAAGGGCCCTGGCCCATCCTTTTTTTTGGCGGGATGACAGTGCGTTGCTAACCAAATCTCTCGCTTATCAACACGGTATCGGACCCGCAATTGCCACGCACAAAAGACAGTGTGGATTCCATTCGCGGAAGGGACCTTCCATTCGATTTATCTTTGCCACACTTGCCTATCGCGTTTTGCCAGTCTGGCGGCTTATCCTCCCCCCCCCCCCATTGAGGTTGCTCAAGCACCCTTTTAAGGGCGGGCACTTTTACTTTTGTCATCACCTAGGTAGCCATCACCAGGTTGGCGACCAGAAGTTGAGGCACCGTCAGTAGAGAGTCAACTCAATCAGCCTCATATTTCCAGCTGACTTCATACTCTTATTTATTCTTATTGCCTGACTGAGCCACACGCTGTCTTTGTCTTGTGTTTCAAAGCCCAGAAAAGTGTAGAGTAAGGTATTCTTGGGTCAGCCTGTCTTGGATGTACAGAGGGATTGATACATGGGGCAAAGCAGGCACAAAGAATGCACAAACAGTGCCTAGCTGGCTGGCTGGCTGCTTCGCCCCTACTTCCTTTCTCGTTTCTGTTTTGCACGTAAATTCACCATGGTCTAGAGGAGGTATTCTGCAATATGCAGAATCGAAAGATGAAAGAAAAAGGCTGAATGGAGTATCTGTAATACCAAGGTCGCAACTTCATATCAACATCGCGCCTGGATCATGATATCATCCCAAGATGGCCTGACGTTGGCAAGTTGCCTAATCAGGGCGCTCTTAGTGGAAGATGACTACGATATGGATACTAAGAGTGCGACTTGTCGTCCCTCCGACGCGCCGGGTGTTGGGTCTGATTACTTGCATGCCTTTTCCCCAACTTCCGGTTCTACCTGGACCGGACTCAGGTCTCAAGCGCACCTTAGCTTGGGGTACATGGAGATACAACAAGACTGATACAGACCACGGAAGGGCACGCACCACGTCAATTCCAGGTTATTACCTCAGGTTGTCCTCACTCTAACTCGCCGGCTGGCTTGAATACGACACGGAGGAGTTACAGTGGCACAGTGGTAGCAGATGTGGTTATTCATGGAGATGCTGGGGGGCCAAACCCTTGTTCTTTTCTACAATCTGGGCAGCAAACTCTAAGACCCTTTTCTGTCCTTTTTTTTTTTTTTGTTTTTTTTTTTTGCCATTTGCTTTTTCTGTCTCCATACGGATACTGCTCCTTCCCACTCTCGCCTCCATCGGGGTTCTCTCGCAGCAACGTTCACCCGACCAACCTGTGCCTGCCCCAGAGTCGCTGTACAAATCATCGTGAAACTCCGGTGTTCGGCACCTGGCGGCAGGCTGTGTGGAAGTGCGAGCTTTGCATGCCGACCGGTGGAGTCGAACAAGTCCTCCAGCCACATTCTTGGGAAGGTCAAAAAGTCTTTCGAGTTTCCACGGCTGGAAATTGGAGAAAGGGTGTTGAGTGAAAACCTATGCCATTATCAGATGCCCAGGTCGGTGGATAGGCTCCCAGACAGCCGAACAACCAAGGTTCCTGACGGAGATGGCTCGACCCTCCAGTTGGGCTCCTTCCAGGTATCCGCGACTCATCCACCTAAGATTAGGTAAGGTAGGTAGGTGGTAGGGTAGAGTTGGGTTTGCACCTGCAAACTGCTTCACCCTCTTGCCATGCAACGCCAGCCCAGCAAGATGAGAGGTGTCCCATTTGCTTGCTATCGGGGGGCTCCCATGCCAAACTCGCACCTCGCTGGGCCTCCGGCTGAGAAATGCACTTCAGAAGTTCAGACCCAGCGAAGTCCAACAAGTGACGACCACCAGCTAACAACCAGCTACTGCAACATGCAGCTCTGGCGCCTGCCGTGACGGTACCGGCTGTACATATAGCAAAACACACATATATGCAATACCCGTGATTGTGGTCAACGCGGCCTCTGTCTCTCTTCTTCATAGGTATGAAAAGGGCGCAATAGTGGCCACAACTATTGGAAGCTTCTGCAGCCATGCCTCGAGAATCTACCCGCGTACCTGACCCGGCAACCCGTAACCAAGCCTTCCATTTTCCTTCCTCCCTATTGCCTACTACGGATACAGACAATGATTCCAGACAACTTCAACAATCACCTTTTTTTTTTTCTTACAAAGAGAAGGGGGAAATTTTAATTTGGTTCTGAATGTCGGTTTCAAACACTGACCCTTGTCTCCCGAACAAGGAACCAGAACACAAGAGGCGAGCAAGGCTGGACAAGGGCCACCCCAAACATCCCTACCCTGCCCGAGCTCGTACCCCTGCAGTTGCTCGGCGTCGGATAGAGGCTGACACGTGCGTTGTGTCTTCTTTTTTTTTTTTTTGCCCTCCTTCTTTCCCCCGTGATTAGTATGCTCTTTCGCAATGCCGTACGTACTTCCAGAATAGGGCAGCATCAATGGAATTCAAGAACAGCTGCTACTGTTATCAACGCTAGGGAGTGTTGTCATTTCGCAACTCCCGACTTCCAATAGTATGTATCCGTACAGAGAGGAACGGCTCATTTCACTCAGCCAAAGCCAGCGAGCCATTCGTGCAACAGCACGGCAGGTTGCAGTAATTTTTTTCTAATAGAGTTGCCACCGCGAATCAGTGCGGGAGAATCCAACACCACTCCGGACGAGGCGAACGTTCCCGCTCCCCCCGGAAACCCAGCCAACCACTCACCTCATTCGCATTCGGCGGCATCGCCTCCGGTGTCTTAAGTCCGATGGTTTAAGAAACTCCCGTTGCGTACAGCTGTCCACAGCAGTCACGATAATTCCCAAGTCAGCTCACTCGGTAGTGAGCTGACTTGGTAGTGTACGAACACACAAAGACTCATTGATTTCGCTTTGACGCTCCTCTGATGAGTCGACGGCTTTCATGTTGAGCCGGGTGTGGTAACCCCAGGGGCCCAGTACCGTCAGGCGGATCGGCATCTCTTTTCCCATCAATCACCCATCGCACGCGTCAACGCACAAGAGGGCGCGGTTCGGGCTAAATGGCAAATGCGCACGCAGTGGGATTAGATGACATGGGATTTCCGGGGACCAAAATGTGCCCTTGTCGGCCTCAATGGCCCCCCCGTCAATCTCGTACGTGAGATCTGCGAGTCTCTCAGTTGGGTATCCGTAGAGAGGTGAACCCCCCCCCCCATTCGCTTAGTAAATCTGGAAGAGAAGACGGCTTTTTCAACATAAGCCCTAGGTCCAACCGTCCAACGCCGAGAGAACAGACGAAGCAGGCTTCCTTATTGCTTGCTCCTTACACTACGGATACTGGTCACAAGGAATAAGCAAACCACTTGCGGCGTGCCTCCGTGGACGAAATCGTCCCCTGAGTTTGTGCCACCTCATGCTGTGAGCTAATAGGGGGTTGCGCCGCGGGAACAGGAGTCGTCTGGAGATGGAAAGTCTAGAACAGTGACAAAAGTGACTTCATCGGCAGCCTCATTCCTCCCTTTAATTGATTGCATGGCATGGCGTGGCGCGACATGGGTACGCGCCGTGTCATCCATCAACCTTTCACTTTCTCTCACCCAACCTTTTGCCCACTCCCATCTACCTACTTCAGAGCAAACTGCCTCCAGCACCTACCTTCAAAATGGTAAGTTCGCTGACGGCACTTTTCAGCTTAAGTCCCTGATCATTACAGCTTGTTGAGAGCAATGTTGGACCAAAAAGAATAAGTGGCAACACGCGCGCGTGTCAGACGCGTCCTCTCTCTAATCGATTGGGCTTC